TTTACTTTTGTAAGTGTCTTAGACTGTTTATGAAATGGCGTAATAGTATTTGAAGACAGACTGTGATAAGGTAAATATGTAAATTGTAAATTTTAGAGTTATCTGTAAAAACAAACAATAACAGCTAATACACCAATAGTGGAGATAAAATGGAATAAATATCACTTAATCCTGAAGAAGGCAGGAAAAAAGAAACAAAGATAATAGATTTAAGCCAAACCATATTGATATTTGCATTAGTTACAAAAGGTCTAAATACTTCAATTAAAAGGCAGAGATTGTCAGATTGACTAGAAATGAAGATGCTGTCTACATGAACTTACTTTAAATAATAACATGCAGATAAAAGGATGAAAATATACTATGTAAACATTAATCAGAAGAAAGTCGGGGTGGCTGTATAAGACAAGAAGATTTTAGAGCAAGGAATACTACCAGGGATAAAGAGAGAGATTTCATAACAATAAAGGGGTCATAATAATCTTAAATGTTTATGCAGAGCTTCTAAGTACATGAATCGGAAATCGATGAAATTGAAAGAGAAATAACTCCACATTTATAGTCAGAGATTTCAACATCTTTCAACAACTGATAAGAACAACAGTACAGCAAAATGCTATACATTCTTTTCAAGTACACATGGAAATTTTACCAAGAATAGACCACATGGTAGGCAGTAAAACAAATGTCAATAAGTTGAAAAGTATGCAAAGTATGCAGAGTATGCAAAGTATGTTCCACAACAGAATTAAATTCTGTTAAAATCAATAGCAGAAAAATATCTGGAGAATCTCCAAATACTGAATGACACACTTCCAAATCACATGAATAAAGAAAAAAATGACAGGAGAAATTAGAAAAGTATTTTGAACTGAATGAAAAGGAAAACACAACATATCAAAATGCGAGAGGTGCAGATAAGGAGTGTTTAGAGAGAGAGCACTAAATTCTTTCATTAGAAAAGAAGAAAGGTCTCAAGTCAATGATCTAAGCTTTCACCTTAAGAAAGCAGAAAAGATGAGCAAACTAAACCCAAAACAAGCAGAGGAAAGAAAAAATGAAGATAACAAATCAATGAAATAAATAAATAATAGAGAAAAATCAATGAAACCAAAAGCTGGTTCTTCGAAAAGATCAATAAAATTGATAAACCTCTAGACAGAATTATCAGATATCAGGAATGAGACTGGGGACATTACTACAGACCATAAAGACATTATATTAAAAGGATAAACAAGAATTTTTTATCAGTATGAATTCTTTAGTCTTCTAAAGCCTCTGCCTTGAATAAATGCCTTCCCACATTCCTAGCATTCTTAGATACAGCTTTCTGTAAGGGAATATTATAAACAGGTGTTAGGGCAACTCTGTGGTATCATGCTTTCATAACCTTCCTCCGGGTTGACATCAGCTCATTAATCATCCATCTTCAGACATGATCATTTGAGAACATATTCTGTTGAGGTGACTGATGTAGCTCACTGTCTGTAAACTCACTATGGTCTACCTGGGTTGGTGAGGGACTCAATGCTGAGCAGCCTCCATTGCTGCTAGGATTTCCTTGAGGGGTTCAATTGCTGCCTCTGGCTGGTGGTAGTACGCTACAATCCTCTTATATGTGCTTCTCTGTCCCATGCTTTGGCCGATCTTATCTGGCTTTCATCCCTCAATCTGATGTACCCTCTGCCGTCCCCATCCTGCCCCCTAGTAATGTCCTCTGGGATTGGTATCCTCTGGTGTTGTGAAGTTTATAAACTGAGTGGGCTTATCGATGGTAGCCAACCTTCTTCCCTACTTTTCAGGACTTGAAAAGTTACCAAAGACTTGAGGTAGTGCTTCTTGTCTCTCTGATGCTGTGCCATTTTTTTCTGTCATCTTCTCCATACACCTTCAGGCAAATCAGAGATCCCTGGGCTCAGGGGAACCCAAGTGGAGAAGTCAGTATCAGTTTTTCTTTTCCTCAGACTCCCAGGCACTTTACAAGTTATTGCCTTGGGAGGTGAGGTGAGGGGGTAACTTTTATGGAAACTCTGCTTTCCTGCAATTCACTTAATGAATATTTATTGAGCATATACCTACATGTCAGGCACTGTTCTAGGCTCTTACAACACATCAGTGAATAACACAGACAAAAACTGTGGAGCTAACATTCTGGACAGTGCCTCCTTCTGTTGCCTTTCTAGCCTCTTTAGACTCTGTGTGTGTGTGTGTGTGTGTGTGTGTGTGTGTGAGAGAGAGAGAGAGACAGAGAGATGTGTGGGTGGTATGTTGGGGACATCGTTGTGTTACCTTGCTGGTTGTGCTGAAATGGCTTCTCTGGGTCAGTCCTAAAGGAGAAGGGATTGGCTCCACACCTCAAAGTTTGGTGAACTTAAAATTTGGTGTATTTACTGTTATATAGGCTGCAGTCACCAATTTAGGGAAACAGGAAAGACTTGACACCCTATATTACCATGTTACATACACAGATATGGGGCCCAGAGAAGAAATATATCCCAGCATCTTCTGAAACAGCCCGCCCCCCTACAAACTCTGGGCTGAGAACTGAGGGGTTTGTACTACACAAAGGACAGGTGGATGTATTATCCTAGGGCTACAGAATGGGCAATGCTAAGTTTTTTTCTTTTCTTTTTTTTAAGTGTATGTCTATAAATGTGTGTGGTGAACACTTAGAACCATACTTTCAGATAGTTTCATTTTGGTCTCAGCTGTTAAGTGCTTGATTCTTTCTATGTTTCCCAATTTAAAATTTTAGTTGAAAATATCCAATTGTTTGAATTCATCTTTTCATACCACCAGAGAATGGGATGTTGCTTCACTGGAAAGCTATAGGGTGGTGCCCTCATCCAGTCAGCTGTGGCCATGAGAGGAGGAAGAGGGACACAGGCCAAATAGGGCTGCTTCTTCTATGGGAGGCCTCTTCATTTTGAAGGGGCTCTAAACTGGCAGGGACCATGAACAACTGGTCAAAATTACTATGAGCACCCAACCCATATTTTCTCTATATGAAGTCCTGATATATTATGTTTAACTAAAAAAAAAAAAAAAAATCCTACTTCTTTCTCCCTAGACAGAAGCTGGGAGAAGATTGGGTCCCATCTAAGAACTGAATCAAGCTCTTATAAATGGTAAATTCAAAGTTTCAGGAGGTCATTGTGTGGTTGTTAAGAGGTATATGGGTCAGTAGATTCTCATTTGCCAAGCATAAGAATGTGAAATACTAACTCTGCAAAGTGCCTTTGTAAATTGTGGAGAAGATAGAAGAATTTCTGTGGTTTTAGTCTGTACACATGTGAGTCTGTGCATGGCTGGTGGAGCTACTGGAGGACCAGGCAGGGTCTGCAGCTTGGCTGGTTTCGTTTACTTTGTGCTACTGCTGAGAATGAGGGGATAGAGGAGCCCTCTAGGAAGCCTCAGGAAAATCTTTTGGAAAAAAAATGGTAGGCTCTAAGTGGTTCAGAGCCACTTCTTCCTGCTTGTGTCTGATGGAGGGAATACTGAGAGGGTTCAGTGTGTTTTAAACACTGGCTCAATCTGTACCAGTTAAGGCCCTAGACTCTTGGATTCAGAGTTTTTAGCCCAGAAGTCACATATGGCTCCCAGAAGGTTTTGTTTGGTCTGCCCGGTATTTTCCTGTTGTGGTTGCTGTTGCCTTACTGTAATTAGTTACCAATCGAAAAATCAGGCCATTTCAAACCCTCCAAATTTCACAGCTCCAGCTTCTTTGGAAATTCTGGCCCTTCAAGACTTGTGTTCTTTCATGGTGACAATTGGCTGAGTTGGGCACCTGCTGCCCTTCTAGATGAGCCATGGCAAGTGCCTTCTTGATTTTCTCAGTTGGACCCCACCAGCCTCGCTCCTTCATGGTACCTCTCTGGCTCTGTAGGCATTTGGGTTTGCGCCTCCAGTGTTAGAGACCAGCTGAGAGTTGGCCTGAAGGCAGACAGTCCTCTGGAGGCAGGAAGCAAGGGAATAATCTTGCAGCCCCTTGTTTCAAAACCTGGCTCCTCAGTCTAGCTGAATGACAGCTGACAAGATATACCTAACCTTTCTAAGTCTCAGATTTCTTATCTGCAAATGCTACCTCATAGGATTAGTGTAGTGATCAGATGAAATCAATTTTAGCTTATCATGGAGGCTGGCACTTGGTAAGTCCTCTATGAATTGGTATTAGCTATTTACATTGATATCTTCAACATTATTATTAATGTACCTGAGACAGGAGGGTAGGAAATATAAGTAGATATATACATATAATATTTTCAAGGTAAGAGATTATTTTATTCCTTAGTAATTCCTCAAAATATTAATCCTTTTATATATCTTTGATTCTGTTGATATGAGGGCCTATTTTCTCTCATTTTGTCTTTAATGTTGATTATCTTTTCATGTATAATTCTTTTATTTCAGTTTCTGTATTTTAATATTCCACCAGCTATTCAAGCCTATTTTTTTTCCTAGGCTTTATTAATATAGATACTAAAAAAAGATTATAAAATTTTAGAAATAAGACTAGTTGTGTTGCAGATATGTGGGGAAAAACTTTTAATAAAAGGACTTTTATACTTTTAGATTGAATTTTATGATTTTTGTTCTCTCTTTGCTGTAATGTCCTCCATAATTCCTACAGAACACACAGTAATAATATCCTACAGAAGCCTCCTCTCGTGCACAATTTTATTTTTCTTTTAAAGAAATAAGGGGAAAAGTAGTTCATTTAATTTCCTTTTTTATCTAGAAAAAATTAAATTATACTTCCATTTTTCTAATAATTTGTTAGAAATTTACTTTATTACGCCTTGATAACTGCTATAGACCTAAAATATTTTTGTTATATTGCTAGACCAAACAAAAATATTAAAAGCGAATCTATTATCTAATTTTAGATTTTATGTAAATTAGTAAATCTTTTCAGGATAAAGAAAAGTATACCCAAGATATTTTGGTATAGATCGAAAGTTATCTTCCCTGAAAGAAAGATGAATTGGAGAATTTAGCCACACTTTAGAAATGTGTGCCAGTGTTTATTTAGAATCCCTTCTATTTTATTAGAAACAGGAACAGTAATTTCACCAGCAGGAAGTAATACAATACAAGTAAGTTTAACACTCCTTTGATTGTTGTCCATTGAAGAAATTTTAGATCCAAGGTAAGAACCCAAATGAGAAATAATAAACATCCAGTCCCTGATGATTCACTCAAGTCCTGCTCAACTAGATGAAAGCTCCCACCAGGAGGAAGAGTTGCTATTCCTCCTGGCTGGCTTTGTGTTCCCTTCAGTGCTCTAGAGAACATGGTACTTGGGCAGCTCTGCTCTGCTGGGTCAGGCTGCCGGGCAGGAGTTGATGCTCACGGCGCCGCTGACCAGGGCTGCTTTGCTGAAGCTCACTGGGCGCCCGTCAATCACGAAGTGACGGATGCAGCCTGTGAAGGGTCTGCCGGGGGCCAAGCGTGGTGTCAGCAGAGACTCTGCGAAAAGAAAGAAATGGAATGGAAACAAAGATTGCAACTGAGTCATTCCAAACCCAAATATTACTTTGTGGCAAAAATATACGTCATAATTGCTTACATCATCAAGATGATTTACATGTCAAAAGTGGAATATAGTAATAATTTACTCATTTTCTCAGGAATATTATCTGCTTTCAAAGTAATATGAACATGTGGTAATTTTAAAGTTTTGCCATGTTTTCCATGATCAGATTTCTGAGTCTATTTCAGCTGTCTTCCAAGGCTGAAATTGACCACTTCTATGTAAAGCCTCAGCAGTGAATTTTCAGGATCTGCCTGTGCTCTTTAGAGTTAATTTCACATGGGCTTCATTTATTTTGTGTGCTTTGCTGAGAAGGAGGAAAGAAATTTTAGCTTCCACACTATTTTTGAACTTGGTTAATGTTTCCGTTTAATGTGTATCATTATCCTTCACCCTTAAGCCTCCACAGTTTTGCCAAGCTCATAAAATATAATGAGAAAATAATGAATTCAAATAAACTAAATTTTAATTTTTATGAGCTCAGTGTTTAAGAACTATAAATAGGATAATGATAACCAGCCTAGTCTCTGTGTGGGCACAGGTGCCCTGCGGTACGCCTGGGGAATCTTCTTCCCTTATCTTAATTAGAGATCTAGAAGAAGCCTTATGCTTATTAATTGTACAGACACAATTAAATTTGTTGAGATGATAGAAGCAATATAATTTAAAGCAATTTAGAGAGCTTAGAAATATGAAATTAAAATCCATTTAGTCAAGGCTTATTATTATGTACAAACAGCTATGTGAATAGTAGCAAATAAAAGATGGGAAACACTTAAAATCACTAACTCAGGAAGGATCATAAAACAGGACAGCAAATTAAACATTATCAAGCAGCTGTAATAAGTTTTCTAAGCGATGTAGATTAAGAATATGCAGAAGAAGCTTTGCATTGGAAATAAATCATGGAAATAGCATTTCATATTTAGAATGATAATTATAAAGTTTTAGATTTGGAAGGGGCCTGAGAAATCAATTTCCTTTGTCTCTAGATTAGTAAAACTATATATATATTCTTCAAGCCTGTTCAGTGTACATTATCATCAGAATAAAAATGAGTGAGCAGGAAAGACTATAAGGGGTAGAAACATCTATTTCTTCTGCCCATTTTGGAGACAAGTTTTAGAACATGGATTTTGACTCTGCCCAACCTGCCTACCCTTTGCTTCATGGGGGATGTCATCTAGAGGAAATAATTCATATAGAAATTATGGCCTGCATAATTCACCACACAGATAATTGTAGGTAGTGAGACTAAAGTGCCCCAGAGCCCTAAGTAATTGATTAATAAAATCAACACATGATTTTAAGAGTGAGCATTCAGGTTGAAATATACAAAATAATGCAGAATTTTTAGTAGAGAAATGAACGGTCAGACCTGTGTGTTAGTGGACTACATTAACTTAAAAAATTCTTTAACTTCTAATTTTGATTTTTAAATTTATCATACAGCAAAGTTGATATTTTTGGTGTATAGTTCATTAAATTTTAATGTATTAACTTTTTATTGATAGAAATAATGTCACCAAGGTTCTGAGTGGTACAAGAGAACTGTTTGGGATTCCAAGAGAATTTAGTGCATCTAGGGGTTTTATTTATGACAAATTTCTTTTAGTTTTCTTTTTAATGCTCCAGTTTCTGATGTGATTTTAGTGGAATTAATCTTGAACAGCTAAAAATGATGTAATTAATGACATTCAGCTTAAATTATAATTGCTTTTGTTCTAGGCTTGCTGGCATGATTTCTAAATGGAATTAAAAGCTGCAATGGTGCGGTGGGCTGGTGGTTAGGCCCCTGTGGTCTGCTAGTTCCTGTGTGCTGGCTCATTAGCTAAAATTTGCTACTCATTACATGTCTCAGGCAGGCTGAATTTGGCATCAGGTACATCTTGCTCAGCCAGTCTGTGGAGCTTAGCAACTCTTGTCATGAGAGATGATGGCAGTGTATAATACTGGGATCAGACTCTAAAAACACACAAAAATCAGAGACAAATATTTGTTTGAATGATGTGGTAAGCACTTTTGGTGCAAAGTAAAGAACACATACTGTAACTTCCATGAGGGAGGGCCATGCTCGTTTTGTCCATCTCCTAGAGCCTAGCATGGTGCTTAACAGACACTCAATAAATGTTTGATGTGTGTTGAATGAAGTTATGTTCCCTGGCAGCAAGGAGTGGATTAACGTCAACAATATTGTGTGGTAAGAGCTGCGACAGTGGAATGCAGAGCACATTCTAGGGAGGGAGGGGACGTGTGTGTAAGTGAAAGTCTTGAGCGGAGCCCTAAAGGTCAATGAGGAGTTAAGTCAGGGGAGGAGTGGGAGTTGTTCCTTGAAAAGGTACTAGGGGAGGCAAGGAAGAAGAACATTTTCCAGAAATTGAGGCCCTATGCACTATGTAAAGGCTGGAGCAGAGGAAGCATCCTTGAACATTCAGAGACCTGCAAGTCCCAGAAGATGTGAGGAGACCCCAGGGGCAGGGCAAGGAGGGGCCAGATGATGAAGGACCTTGCGTGCCGTGCTGAATTTGATCCTGGAGCCCTTGGGAACCTGTGAAATATTTTACACCATGTTGTGGTTCCTAGGAAGAAAGCAATGTGCAGAAATGGGAGAAGTGATGTGACACGTCTTCCACACTGCGCCTGCATGAAGTGCAGTGGTGGCCTTTGCCAGAACCCCTTTCAGAACCGAAGGCAGGAGCGGGAGGAGAGGCCTGGGGAATGGAGTGGATAGTGGAAGCAAAGGAGCGGACGGGTTGCTTTTTGAGAGTCTCAAATATTTCATCAGTGAGTTACTATTATTAATACTGGTGTTTGAAAAATTCACATTACAAAGCAGAGGAGCGCGTAGTTGCTACTATTTTGGGAGTACCCAAGGTCAGATGCTGAATTTTAACTGTGCTTTCTCTCTTAATTAAAGCCTTATTTGCCTTGACACGGGTCAGTCTCAAATATTCTAGTTACGAGGCAAGGAAAAACCATGTTAAGTTTTTGCTTAAAATCTCCACCAAATTCCAGATACAAAAGCTTGGTTTTCTCCTTCTTATATCCCTCTTTCTAGCTTTAACATTCAGTTTTTCCAAGTTAGTGAAATGTGTGAAACAAACACTTTCAACATAAGGTCATGGTCCCTGCTTCTGAGGTTTAAAACAATTGTGGGGGGTCCCTAAGTATCCTCCTTTCACCATCCTGGATTCTACACCATTCTTGGCAGATGACAGCAGCAATGTACTGATGATGTTTACAGAACTGCAGCTGGGGACCTCTCTTAGGGAATGTCACACATACGAACAACAGAACTTATGGTTCGCAGCTGTTTCCGCCATCCAGACTAATCCTGGACAGGGAGAACAATGTATTCTCTTCTTCCCTACTAAGGAAGGGGAGCAATTATCAGGAAACTTTTAGTCCTCCAAGCTTCTCAGATCCTAGAGCAGTATTAGTAAATGAGTTGTCTTTGTGTTAGAGATAAAACAGAGCGTGTGTTTCACTGTGTGTATGTGAGGAGGCTATGTAAAGGGAAGAGAGAAAAAAATAAGCAAATGTGGCCAAGGGAGAGTAATAGCTACTGGTTAGAATGCTGGGGTCTGGTTCTTAGGTGTTGCTTTGTTGGGATCCCTGTATGAGGAGTCACAATTGTCAGTATACTTTTTCCTATGAAAGGACATTATATATAAAATCCTGAGAATTATTAGGTGAATTACAAAAACACATAGCCCAATTCTTAATACTAGAGTAACAATGATGAAAACTTCCCGTTTTTTGGATTTGGGAACTTGTCATTTTTAAAAAACTCTTACCTGGAACACCTCCAACAAACACAGGCTCTCTGTGATCAACCGGTTTTGGGTTCAGGGGTCCAACCACATGGTTCACTTCAGAGTCTACATCCAACTGGACCACATTTGAATCTCTAATGACTGAAATACAGGGAAAAGACTGGTCAGAAGTGGCCCTGGAGTGATTAATTTTCACATGAAAGGGACTAATTTATCACAGAGATGGCTTTTATTTATTCCAGAATAAACCCCACACTTCTATATCATTGAAAACATTAATGTCTAACCAAGTAATCACTGTAACATTTTCCTTTGAAAGGGAGAATATTTAAGATACTCTTTCCCCCCATAAGTTATGCATTATTTAAACAACTCCCTAAGACTATTTTGGCAGCATTCATATTTCCAAATCACATGTGGATTCAATATACACATTTTAGTATAGTAACGTATGATTTTCTTTTCTTGGCTACTTTTAGACTGTCATGCATCATCTATTCCATCACATAAGTTATAGTCTAAGTTCTGCCAAGCCATTATCGCACAGGTGGGTGTGTAGACTCATTTTAGAAAAGAAACCTAGGACACTCAGCTTTCTCACCTGTAATTCTGTGCCATCTGCCATCACAGAGACTCTGCTTGGGTGTCACTGAGGTGGAAAAGTCTCTGATGCCATTGTTGACTTTCACTATGACCTGCAAAAGACAGGGGACATTATATAATTTAATTTTTTCTCCTCATCATGATTAAACTAAATTTCTTAAATAATTCACCATGGGCAAGCAATACTTGAACAAACATTCACACATGATTAGCTTTACAATTTGAACACAAGGGGTCACTCTTCAGTAGGCTATAGAAATAGTTTAAACTGAAGGCTCCTAGGAGAGAGAAGGAAATGATGACACAGGAGAGAAGATGGGGGAGAGGAACAATGAGATAAGAGAATGAATTCCTCTAATTTCTAAGGATGTCATACAAAGCAGTTAAGGTATCGGTGAAGAGCATGGACTTTGGAGCCAGACTGCCTGGGTTCATATCCCAGGGCACCCCCTCACTCTGGGCCTCTGCTTTCTCATTTGTAAAACAAGGGTGATAATAACAATACCCACCTCAGGGAGCTAGGGGGGAGCTTAAATGAGTTAACCCTTATAAAGCATAGAATAGTACCTGACACATGGTAAGCACCGTATAGGGATTTGTCTTATTATTATATGGCTTATATAATAAACCATATTTTTCTAGGTTTATTATATAATAAACCATATATTTTAGTTTATATTAAGAAAAATCAGTTATATTAAGTTAGGGACAACAATGAAAATATGCTGCTTTTTCTTTAATATTTATTTGAATACTCTCATGAATGTTCTTTTAGTAATATTATTTTAGGATGAAAATGGTGTTTATAACAGAATTTTTTCATTTCTAGCAGTTGAAAATAATATATGTGTATATATTATATATACACATACGTACGCACATCTGGTATACATATAGATAGAAAGATAGATGTTTTAGTGTTTGTTGGTTTTGATAGTTGGCTATGTCTGCTGTTTCCATTTGTTGTAAAAAAGTTCCAGTTCTTTTGTTAAAACCCTTTAATTATGTGGTTATTGTTGATGAATTTTTTTAGCTATTCCACATTTCCACGGCTCTTTCTAATCAAATCAATTCCCAGCATATGAATCTAAATCCAGATATTGACATCATTTAAATTTCATGTTATAGCTTCCCCATTTTTTTTTCCCAGTTAGGAAAGATTGATGAAGTAATTCTGTGAGATAAATTTGCTTCAGATCTAGAAAACAATGTCAGAGGAGACGGATGGTTGAACAATTTGTAACACACTACCTGCCCGTTTTTCATGTGAACATTTAGGTACTCCCCATTGACACTGTGGCCGTGAACAAGGGTTCCGGAACTGCTTCTGGGACGGACTTCAAATGCAATCTCAAACTTCAGCCCAATATTGAAAGACTCATCTGTGGAGAGAAACACTATTATCTCTCAAGAACAGCAACCTGAATCTTGTAAGCATGGTGTGATTTTGTAATTATATATTTTTGTATCTGTTTTTGAAAGTTTAGCGCCTTTTTCCATAGATAAGTAGAAAGTGGCATTTTCCATGTCAAACACACTGTGGAAAGCTCTGTGCGGGGCTGAGATAACTAGCACACCATTCTTGCTGTAGGAAGCAGGGTGTGGACAGCACGCTGAAAATACACTATGGCTGTGGAAACTCAGAGGAGAAGAAAGTCATTCCAGCTAGTAGGACCATTTAATATTTCCAAAGTGAGAAGGAGGAAAGGGCAGAGGTTGGTACAGAGGCTGGAATGTTTGGAGAGCGCCGTGGAGGCCAGTGTGGCTGGACTGTCCCCTGCAAGGGGAGAAGGAGGCACGGTGAGTGGGGAAGGGCTCTAGTGTTCCAGTATGGAAGTTAGACTTTATTTTGCAGTCATTGAACAAGGGAGCTGACTTGATCAGATCTGTATTATAAAATAATTCTTAAACAACAAAAAAATAAGTCGTGCCAGTGCTGCAGAGCATTTCGGAGAAAGAGAAAGTGAGTGCAGCAAAAACAGTTAGGAGGTGCCATTGCAGTGACACAAGAAAATAAATTCCTCTTAAGAATAGCTGTGTTCACGCCAAGAGACTCATTGCAAACTGGGGCATCTTAATAATGTTCACTTGATGGAGAACATAAATTGTGCAGGTTGCTATGCATTTCACGCTATCCATGCCTTTGAGTTCTTATCACTGAAATTCAATGAAGGGCTGAGAAATGTGAGTGTTGGTACTTTAGTAGGGATAAAGGAGGAGAAAGGAAAGTAAAATCACAAGCTAGACAAAGAGAGGAAGTATTAGCTCTGGTTATTTGATTGGACATGGTGGTGGTTTAAGAAGGTATACTTGGCCGCATTGGAATGTCTTTATTTAGGGGATGCACTCAAAGTACCTAAGTGCCTTGAGAGCACGGAACATGTGGAAGGTTTTATACCCTTCTCCTATCCTCTTTCCCAGCACCTATCCTGGTGCCTTCCTCACACGTAATGGTTGCTCTATAGAATGCTTGTCGGAATGGATTGGATGGTGATTCCGTGTATTCCATTGAGATTTTATTTCGTTTTAGAACTATTACGTTCCATCACCTGACAAAGAGACTGTCATACCAGAAGCATACAAGAAAAACTTGGTTGAATAAGTGAGAGAATAGTCGAGGAGAATACAAATCCAGAAATAAAATTTTGGGAGGTTAGTGTTGTCCGCTGGTATTGCAGGGCAAGGGGAGGAAGTGGAACTTCCTTTCGTAGGGAAAATGGGTCATGCTGAGAGGGAGTAGAGAAAGACCTAGAGAGCAAGGTGGACAAGAGCCGACATGGATCAGACCACAGAGCAGCATAGAAAATTCTAACGGAGCCAAGATGGTTTACATCCAGAGGTTTGGCAGCTGTGGAGAAGTTCTGGTCGGGGAAAGCAAACAGGGATGGGCACGTGTGTCTGTTTGGAGTGGTAGGAGGGGAGAAGTGGTCCTCGTGGAAAGAGGCCATTTTCTAGGCTGAGTGAGTTTGGCATTCTGAAGTTCTAACTCTGGGCCCAATATGCCTGTTAGCCACCTCCAGGAAAGAAGTATTTCATGACTCATGTTTTCAACATGCGTCATTGTTACCTAGAACCACGTATCCTCCTTCTGTGGAAAAGTATGTTCCTGTTTCCATTGGACCTTCGAAACAAGGAGTCACGCTAAATGTCTGAGATGCAGAGGTGATGGAGGCCCCATTGAGCTGCAGATTGCTGAGACAGCCACTGAAACTGTAGACTGAGTTTATCTGAAAGAAGACATTTCTTAAAATCCATTTTCTCGACACTCACAGACACACCAAAAGGAAACAAAACGAAGAGATTTGAGTCTTAAGAGAAACCCAGCAATTCCTTATTTATCTTTGCCAGCTGAATGATCGATAGTTTTCCAGGTAGTTGTTCTTTGAAGCTGAAATTTTGTATTAGATAATGTCAGCCTGCAGTAATTAAGCTATGGAAATTTTTACATATACCATGACAAAATAAATTGCAGCTGTGGTTTCCAAATTGAATATTAGAAGTATCCTAGTTTGTTTTCCTTCAAGAATGACAGCTGTCCCCAAGATCACCTAATGCTGATGGGGGCTAGCAAAGTTCTTAACTGTTAAATATACAGAGGTTAAATAAACAGCAGAAAGCTTGCATTTCTGGCTTCATTAGCTGTGTCTGTGCTTGAGCATTTATCATACCACCGGAGGGGAAACAGGCCACTTTAGATAACTGATTTCACACTGCTTTGGAAAGCTTTTCTTTAAAGAGGTTGTCATGGAATTGGGGCTACTTACCTAAAATCTAATCAAACATGAACCCCTCTTCCCTTTTTTTGCCCTATCCACATATATTAATAGATCTTAGGAATGTGTTAACTCTTTGTGTTAAAGTCAAATATATATTCATGTTAAGAAACATTTAGTCCTTTGATGCATTTCCTTTATTGCTACACATTTTTTTAAAGGTGCAATATTTTAAACTTTTAAATTACAGAAGTAACGTGTTTCTTACTATACCCTCACTTCTCCCAGGGGTAACCACATTTCTTTGCACATTTATAAACTGTGTGTGTGTGTGTGTGTGTGTGAGTAAGAAACAAAAATGAGATCAGAGTTTACATAATGGCCTGAAAGCTTTTTTTCCCTCAATAACATATAACGGAAAGACTTGCTTTCTCTTTTTTTGGTATTTTTTACACAAAAAGTTGGGTACTTGCTGAGCAAATAAGCATCATCCTTGAGGCATAACTTTTCATGACAATTTATACCTCTGAAACTTTTTTCATCTCACCTTAACCTTAGAATCTAAAGATCACTCCTGACTTTGTGATGCCACAGGGTGGACAGACATCCCACAGGACAATGCCTTCTTTGATATTCCAGCCAAACTACAGTTTTACTCTTGCCAGTTTCCTGATCATAAAATGAGGGCTGGATTAAATGATCTTCCAGCTTTAAAGGTCAACGGCTCTACCTGGTCACACCTGGCTTACCTGGACATTTTTCACAGCCCTTCCAGGAGCCACACCTCCCAAGTAAATAGGACCCTTGATTTTCCAGGCAGCTCTAGTAGGAGGCAGACTTTCTTCTAGGACTCGAAGACCATCAATTACCAGTCGGCCGCTGCTCTTTTCTCGAATAAATATCACCTGGATGGAGAGAAAGACAGTAGCACATCTCAAGTACATCCCAAGATTAGGGGAAAGACTGTGTTTCTCTCCTCCCAACTTTGCTATTGCCATACTGTGGGAAATCTGCAGAAGTTCTTTAAAAAAGTGGTCCCTTCTCTGAAGGGTAGGAGTTCATCCCTTCCTGTAAAACTTGATTTACAGTTATAGGCTTCATTTCTGAAAACAGCTTATATTTAGCAAGTTCTCTATGAAGCTCTTCCCGATTGGCCAGCCCACATGCTCTCTCTCCTAAATTTATTGTAGTTAATTGCAATGCAGCTTACACTGCTTACTCTTTCCACTACATACACACTGATTTCCTTCAATATTTAGGTAATTCTCCCTGTTGTATCCTGTCTTCCTAACAGATTTAGTCTTTACTTTGTATCTTCCACAGCTTAGCCCATAAAAGACATTCAGCAATCATTGTTGAAAATTTAGAACATTATAGGCAGTGGAAAAAAAACAGTCAAATGAAAAATCCTTAGAAACTAGATTTCAGTTTATGCTGGCCATTGATCCTTTGGTTAAAATAATTGCACTAAAAAAAATAAATGGAAATTGATCTGTCAAAAAAAAATTACATCAGCCTGTATCTCTTGTAAAATAGTACGCTTCAAGATTTTTATAAGGAATTAATAAAAGTTTTTGAAATTGAACTCCGAGCATATAGCAACAAAATAGATGTTTCTAGAGAACCCAATAGTGGGGCATTAGTGTCAGTCTATTTGATAATGGTGGATGTTTGCTGATAATAATATTCTCTCCCTTCAACTTACATCGTGCCACAATCCATCATTGTATTTCTCTTGGCTTCTAATCTTCAGTTTCTTGTGGCCAACATTAAACATGAAAACCAAGCGGCCATGGGCTAAGAATAGGGTCATGAAGTCATTCTCGTCTTGATCTGAGACATAGAAAATCATCCCATGGGAGGAGCGAGTTTTCAGACGAATGGAAAACTGAGATCTGGTAAACAAAAAGAAAAAGCTTACCACCTGTAAAATGAGACTGAGGGTAATCTCTAACTTCCCAAAGTAATATAGTGTAAGGAACAATAAATGAGTAGCCATTCTATCTAATCCCAAGCAGCATTACTTCTATTTATCCCTCAGATTATTAATGAATATTGAGTAAGCACAGCTAGTTTAAAAATGTAAATCCTTGTCTACTTCCTTATACAACAGAAATACATTCCACATTGAAGGAAGTGTTGTTTCAGTTAAGGATCATATCATGTCTTGCTTTGAAAATATGGTTGCAATTAGTTTAGTAAAAATCTATATGTTAAGGAAGCTTATTCATGCAGACAAAATACTAGTGAGTAATTAACATGCATATAGAAATTTGCATAGAAACTATGGTTTGTGTACTATCTAAAATAACAGATTCAATTTTTTCCCAGTAAAAATTAATCAATGAATATTGCATGTTAAAAACAGGCTCCAAGTGTGTAGAAATTAAACAACTTTCTAGAAATTTAGCTCCAGGCCATAGATAGGATACATTTATTAGGCTAATTTCTGGTTTGATTAACTCTAAATTCTTCCTGAATTATACAAAATACTGATTCTGCCTTTGAGGCAAATAGAAAATTAGAAGGCATTAGAAGTTTCTTATTGAATGCACTGCCTGTATGAATATTTGAAAGAGCTATATAAGACCTATGTAAGAATATTTGGATGCTAACACCATAAAAAGAAATCTTCAATTGTACTGTAACTTGGAGATCTGTGAAATACTGGGAAGAGGTGATGTGCTTTAGAGATGGCTTGAGGGCCAATAGAGATACAAGCATATTTGTATTTTCAGTGTCTTTCCTTATTAACCTTCTAGCAGTTCAGGTGCATTCCCATTTACAATCTGAAAGCAATTTGTATGGGGGAGGGAAGGTGATATCAAGGTTAGATAATGCATCACTTGAAATTTGCCCCATTTCCTTTCTTTGATTGTCTTTTCTTCTTGATAAAACACAGCAAACTCCTAGGAAAATGCTGTTTTATGCACCTTGCTTTTGGGAAAAATGTCACAGAGAATGTAATTTATTGGAAAGTATGAATTGTGTATTATTTAGCGTTTATTTTGATGATAAAAAAATAGATTAAGGTGGCATGAAAAGGAAAGATCATAGGAAAAAGATGACATATAGCAAATAAAGATGAAGATCAGCCATAGTGTGAAGTTTCTGGAAGGAGAGTGTGTTACTTTACTTTTCACCAAAATCTCCTTTTAAGTGTTCAAACTCTTGGCGGCTATTGGCAGTCCCTCCATATTGATAGGCATGCTCTATTGCTCTCGGTCTGTTGGAAAGGTGGCAGTGAGAGTCTCTTGGAGCATTCCGCTCTAGGAATTTCAGGCCAACAGGATCCCATGAAGGTGCATCTTTACTTTTTCCTCCCTATAAAAATAGAAAATAAATCATATTAAGGTATAGAAATGACATACCAGCAGCAAAAATTCATTTGTGAACCTTACCATTAATAGTAATATGAGTAAGTGTATATTATTTGTGCATTGTCCATTCATGAAATATTAGGCCCCTCTCTTCTCTCCCTTAACCACCATAAGCAAATGACAGCAGTAGCAACAACACCAAACAACATAATATGTTAACAAATCCAAAATTCTATTCTGTGATAGTAAAGTGGAACTAAACTGAAGTGATAGAGCTAATTGCTCTATCATTTAAATTAAAGATACATCTTAACCAATGATAAAAAGTGGAAAAGTTGGCAATAAAGTAACCCTGAGAGAATCAATCAATAAAACCCTCATATCATAGGCAACAGTATGACTTTAATACACAGATTATTACTAACACACACTGTGCAAAATGTCAACATACTTAGCAACATCTTCAAAATATTTGAGAATATTTTTGGTGATAGGCCTTGTAGCAAACTTTTATAAGACAGGATATAGAACAAATTTTAAAAATTATCTTGTGCTCTTAGAATGGCACTGCTGATTTTAAAATTTAGAGTGGTGAAACTATAGGCTAATATTTAATGGTTATTTAGTCTTAATTTCTGAAGCAATATAAAAGTAAATGCAAATAAATTTAATAATTTAGTCATTTATTCATTTATTCAAGCAAATGTTTACTGAGTACCTAATGGGTAGAAGTGAGGGAGAGGAAGCTTTCTTCAGTGTGTGTGACGGAATAGAAAGGTGAGTGAGAAACGGTTCCTGTTTTTTAAAGACCTGAAAATCAATTGGGAGGAAAGGCATATAAATAGCAAATTAGAATAGCAAATTAGAAGACAGGTTGGTGCCAGATAGAAGGGACCTTAGATAACTTGCTAGAGGATGGGGTTTTGTTTTTTAGGTAATGAGAAGCCACACAGATTTTAAAAGCAGGGAGTGACCTGATGACTCACTTAGGAAGAAAGCTTGCAACAACAGAAGGGCAGAGAAGAGAGGAAATGTTTGGTAGTAGGGAGAACTGGAGAACACAGCTAGAGTCAGAGTGAGATATAGGATTAGAAACGAAAAGACAACTTTTGGTTCAAGGTTATCGAATAGACACACACAATTAGTTTTTCCCCCTCCCTAATCCCACTGAAATGTCAGAAGAACTATACACATAAAATAAATCCACAGTACTCCTGGAAATCTAGGAGAGTTTCTACTGGCAGAACAAACCAGTATGGAATTTCTGGAAGATATAATACAGATTCAAACAGATAGACAACAGAACCCTTAATCACATATGGGCAAAAGACAAGACCTCCAAAAAAATCAATCTTCCAGGCAAATCCCAGAATTACCCTCAAAATCCAGGTACAGTGAGCAGGGGGCAGGTTAATTAATTAAAGGGCAGACCAGTGGTGCCAGTGCCCTGCTCTCAAGGCAGCAGCTCTTACAGTAGGACCTGGCAATGGAGACTCTCTCAGTGGTGGTTAGATTGGAGAAAGTGAGACGGGAGCTCAGAGACTCACATATCCTAAAGAAAAGCTCACCTGGTTCCATCATCCCCCCTTCCCTTCCTCACATAGTCATCAAGACTTGGAACCTGATTTGCTGCTACAGAAGCAAGGCTTCTTTCTTGGCTGGAGGAAATATACCCAGTATTTTTTGTTCCAGGCCCTCACTTACAAATAATGGCCATAGCTTCAAGCCATGGGTGGGCAGAATGGGCTGGAGTGGGCTTCAGGAAGACTCTTTTCCTCTACTATATCTTGGGAAATTTCCTCCCACTCCATGCTGTATTCTGGCCCTAGTGGAGTAACATGCCTTATAATGGGAGATATGATCACCCTTGTCTCATTGAGGGATACAGTGGGAAATCCCTTGCACAGGAGGGTGGGGGTGAGAGATTGGTAGGGGGTTGGGTTTCCCTAACTCTAGCTGCTCCCCATTCCCTCCATTCCAATGGAGGGGATCTCTTTCTCCATCAGTGCATCCACTTAGGTAGGGGAAGAGAGCAACAGTGCATTAGACTACAGGGGCTCAGCAAAGTATGGGCTTATTGGACCACGACATTCTCAATTTGCCAGCCCCGCCTTTCTCTGCTTCAATGTGGGAATACATGGACTAGGATCTGTCTCTTGTCTGCTGCAAAAATTAATAAACTCTAATATCTTTATATATGGCAACCAAATACTCTAAATCCTCTGTGGATATATGCTCTGAATAATATTAATAATAGTAACAAAGACAAGTTATAACTTAACTACTTCAGTACCATGTAACACAGAGACTCAGTTTACTATCCTAAATGGGTATGTGTGTGTGCATTTTCACTAAACCCCACTAGACTTTGACTTTGTTTTTTTCTCTGAGGTTTTATTAGTTGCAATCCAACTGGTGGTACCAATGTCAATTTAGCAAGATTCTTTTGTTTCAGATAATAGCCAAACTAGTTGAGCTACTTAAGAAAAAGAGGGCAATGTGTTATAAGGATATAGGAGTATTTTACACAATCTGAGAGAATTTTGTACAGTGAGGTCCTACCAGGGGCAAGAATCAGGAATTGGAAAGCTAGGAAGAGTCTGGGAAACTCCTTTTCGGGATGTTTCCGGTATCTCAGCTTTGTTTTTCTGAGTGTCTGCTTTCATTCTTTCTCTGCAGGACAGCTTTCTGACTTTCTCTAAAGAAGCTTTCTTTCTTTGTGCATGATTAACACAGAGCTCTTAGGTTTACATGCTTTCTATGCAATGACCAGCCCAGACTAGTCTCTCTCTGTTCTAAGTTTCCAAGAGAGAGAATCTGATAGTCCAGCTTAGTTCAGATGATCTACCCTGGTCCAATCATCTATATCCAGGTAGATGAGGTCACGTGCCTAAAATACTGGGCCTGCCTGCCTGGTGGGTAGGGAATCAGCTCTCAGATAAGGGAAGGGTTGGCCAGATAGTCCAGAACAATGTCTATTACAATATATAAAATGTTCATCATCACATTAAACACTAAATGAGAAAGAAACTACTTTCCCAATTAAATTTGAAAACCTAAAAATTATGAAAAAATTTCAAGCTGGAACATAAGTGGTAAGACAGATATTCTTATATGCCCATGGGGGAATATAAATCAGTGTTACCTTTTTGAAAAATAATTTGCTTTGACCCAGTAATTCTACCTCTAGGAATTTATCCTAAAGATTTATTCAGCAACATGATCCAAGACTAATGTACAATGATCTTCACCCATAAAAGGGAGAAAACTGGAAATAACCAAAAGTCTATTAATGGCTAAATGAATTATAATAAATGCATAAAAAGGAATATTAGAAAGTTATTGTGAAAATAAATTATTATAAGCCCAAATTGTTGTGATTCAGTCTTAATAAAAATTTAAACCGGAGGTCACAAGTTTTTCTTGGTAGCTATTTAAGAAGCTTTTGATACAAGGGTGATTATGAGAGAAGATTAGGAAATATTGACATTCTAGTTACCAAAAAATATAAGTGAAATCTATAGTGATTCTGTATCTTGTTACTGCAAAGTTGAGTTTCTAAGACTATTTACCAGAAAGGCTAAGAGGTTTCCTATTAATATTGAAAAGTTTGTGTTAACAGTTCTACAAGGCTGTTGATTATAACCTGGAGACTATGAATATTTGGTAGGAAACTACATTTGATAGACAGCTTCATATAGAAAACTGTGTTCATTTAAAGGGGTAAAACATGTTAGTTTTAGAGGGTTGATCTTCCTTGTCAACCTATGATGTTAACCTGTTGCCTATGATCTACTGATCCGTGCTCAAGTGCCAGTAAAAAATTCTCAGGATAAGCCTTTTAGCATCAATATATGAAGGTGACGGTAAGAGTCCATCAGAATTTCATAGTCTCCTCTGAAAAATCTTTCATAGTGTCCTCTAGCAAAATCCTTCATAAAAATCAGTGAACTTATCCCTCTCCCTGAACCACTTTATAGTCTTATGTGTGAAATTCTAGAAGGGATCCTGAAAAACCACTAAGTTTTGATTATGTGTGAATTACTTTATTAACATTGATAAGGCAATCACGTGTGAACAAAGAAGAAGTTTCATGGGGATTCTAAAAAGTGGTCCACATAAGCTGAAATATAGGGGGAAGTGCTCAAGACATAATGATCAGTGGAAAACCATCAGAAGCGAGAAGCTGGTGGGGATGCTTCCCTCTTGCTGATGGTTCGGAAGCCAACCTTGGAAGGAAACCAGTTCTTCCCCTGAAAAGATGCTCAACCTCACTAGCATTCAAGGAAATGCAAATTAAAACCAGAACGAGATGCCATATTTGTCCATTAGATTGACAAAATTATAAAATTTTGATTATATCCAGTGTTAGCAATTGTGAGAGACAAGAGATTCTCTCAAATGCCGTTTGTGGGAGTATAAATTAGTATTGCCTCAATACTAAAACCCACATTCCCTTAAGCCAAGCAATTCCACTTTTAGAAGTCAATCCACCAGAAACACTTCCAAGGCTTTATAGCCATATATCAGCTAATGTTTACTCTATGCCAGGCACTGTGCTCAGAGCATCTCAGGCATTAACTCATTTAACCTTATAACACCTATGATGCAGACTGCTAAATAGTTATTGAACACCTATTATGTGCATTGTTCTAGGCTCTTAGGCTCACTGTTCACATCAGTGAACAAAACAAGGGAACTTGCATTCTAGCAGAGGAGATAGACAATAAATAACAAACATAATAAATAAAGTCTATAATAAATTAAAATGTGATAAGTGCTATGGAAAAAGAAACTATCAGGAAAAAGTAAAAGAGATCAATAATACTGGTAGAAGGCAGGAGGTGGGCTGATATAAAACAGGAGGTTACATAGGCCTCAGTGAGCAGAGGAGAGCTGGGCAATCCTAGGAGAAGAAGTTGTCTGTGCAGATGTTAGGGGAAAGAGTGGTCCAGGCAAAAGGAAAGCTTGAGGAAAGACCTTAAGGCAGGAGTGCACACAGCCCATTCTAGGAATAGCCAGGAGATCGTTGTGGGGAGAAGAGTGACTGAGGGGAAGGGGTCTGGATAATATAGGGCCTCTTATGACATTGTAGAGACTTGGACTTTTATTCTGAGTGCAGTGGGGCCCAGTTTGAGCTGAAGAGTGACATGATATACCTTACATTTATAAGAATCTGGCTGTTATGTAGAGAACAGACTATCAGGGAACAAGGTAGAAGCACGGATGCCTGTTGGGAGGCTATTGCAGTAATCCAGATGGGTGATGATGGTGGCTTGGACCAGGGTGGAAGCACTGGTACCTGAGAGCATTGTTAAAATTGGAGCTTGGAGGGGACAGGGAGGGTTGGATTGAAAGAATGGGAAGGAATTAAGAGTTTCATTTGTACTGAAGGCAACTAACATACACACTAAGAGCAAATGAATGAGAAAGAATATTTAATAATTTCCATGATTGTGACAGAAGGCTGAGATTGTTACATGAAAGCAAATGATACTAGAGAATTATAGTACTAAATAATATATATTACATATACAAATTGTTAAGTACTGAGCAATTATAACCATTGTAATGAAAGTATAACCATTGTAAGTTGGAAGTATGAGTAAAACCTGATTCAAACTGTTTCTTTGGGAAGAAGAATCGATGTAACAAAGCTAGTAAACTGGAATATGATACTACAAGAATCCTGTCTTTCATATGTACGCAGTTGCAAACAGAGAAAATTCTATAAAGCATCAGTGTCTAGAGCTGTGTGCATAGAACACGAGGTCAATTGGGAAGTTGGCACAGCATTATCTTTTACCTTTTTACTCTGACTTGTTTTAGGCTTTGAGGAATTTTTTCCTTTTTTTTGAAGGAGAAACAATGGTGAAGATTCAATGGGACACTCATAAAGAGAAGTGTGGACCTTTTCAGAATACCGCTGGAAATCTTCGACCTCCACATCTCTATCCAACCTATGTTCGTAACAGAGGAAAAAAGTCTTAAAAATGTTGTTTAGAATTATGTGATGAAAACCATGGAAGTCAGAGAACTTTGGCAATTAAAATTTTTTGTGTATGTATGATGAGTCTTTATCCATCAACCACTATCTTAATCAGAGCCCTTTAAATGATCATTTAACCAATTAGTTAATAACTATGTGCCTGGCACCAGCACATTCTGACAGATGAACATCTCACCATACTCTGAAGACTGGGACATCTCTGTGTTACTTACTCTGCGTTAAATTCCTCTCTTGCTTGTTCTTGTTCTCAGGGAGCCCTCATTGTTGTTGTTAAGGACTTAGATTAATGGCTTTGTTTAAAGTCATGCATTACATTAAGGAGACTTTCTTAAACCTCTAACAAGGATTTGGTGTGTTGCTTTCTTTGTACTATACCATTAATAATAAGTCCAGAAACAATCGCATCTAATATTTATAGCTTGCTGTATGCCAAGTGCTTTGTGTATATTATCTCATTTAATCCTCACAACAATGCTACCAGGCAGGCACTATTATTATTTGCATTTTGCAGGTGAAGAAATGTAGGCTTACTTAGCCTAGGTAGTCTAGAAATTAAAGAGCAAAAAACTTGCACACAAACCCAACTATGTCAGTTGCTCAAGCACACGCAAGCTTTTAATTACTACCCTCTAATGTCTTTGATAAATTTTACAGTTCTCATTTTTAGTAATGTAAATATTTTCATTATTGACTTGATCTTTATCAATCATGCAGATTTATGAGTAGTAAAAACATTATACCTGGTAAAGTAGGCATTACTTATGCAGCCAGTGAAATTAGCATACTGGGGACTGATGGGCGAGCCACCGAAGTAAAACTTCTTTTCACCTGCTTGTGTCTGTTCGGCTCTCCCTTTGGTGGGGTTCTTACTGCCAAGTCTGCTTTTATCTACTATCAGTTCATATCTGCAAAGGAAAAAGCTTCTTTACACACCACACAGCTAACATTTTGCCTTGAGTTCCATTCGAGGTTGCAGGTTTTCCCATGGAATTGAAATGGAAGATCTGGTTAATGAAAAGACAATGAGTTGCCAGACTCTTCATGAGGCCCAGCATAAAATGGTTGAATATTTCTATATGCGGAAAAGACCCTCCAAACTATCATTGGAAGTTAAACCCATAAAACCAAGAGGTTCAGATGACTAGTCATCAGCATTTGTGTGTGTGTGTGTGTGTGTGTGTGTATAAAAAAGAGAATATAACTCATGGGGATCAGTTAATCACATTTGTAGGAGACAATTTTCATTGTAAAGCATATTGAACGGTTTTGATGCTCATTGGAAAAGGAGGCTAGAAAAGGCCTATTAATGTTTTCTTTTGATGGGAGGGCTCCACAGAAGTGGACATAGAAGAGCAGCAGTCTACAACAGAGGTTTATTTCTTATTCCAGAAAGCTTTCTTATTATGGAAGAGAAATTCAGTCCTCCATATTTTAAAGATAAATTTACAGCTTTTAAAATGTGGCCATAAATGTAGCATTCTCAATTGTTTAATTTAAAAGCTAATGAAACCAATATTTGCTAAGCTCCTTCTATGTGCAAAACACTGCCCTCCACTCTATAAGTACTGTGTGTAGGCACTTCCCTCAAGGAGATTATAGCCTATGGTTTTAAGGGAAAAAAAACTTTATATTTCTGTTAAGTAATTTTATAGTGATTTATTTGGCATGTCTTGAAAATTAATAGCAAATTTTTTTGAAAAGGTAAGTAGTTTTTTCTACCATTTTTTTAAACACTAGGAAAATAATTGGTTAGCCTATTATTCATAGTGGTCATTTGACAGATCATGCCCTATGAGCAAAGCCACTTGGCGGAAAGAATATAAAGGGAGGAGCTGTACCTTGCCGGTGAGACAGAGGTAATGATGAAGTGGGACAGCCCGTCATTGTACTGCTTATCTGCTGACTGCACCTTGATCCCCTTTACATCCATGATCACGGTGCCATTATCCAACGAAATGGAGAACACGTCTGACTGAAATGCAAGCACAAGTTTTTAAGAAGGGAGGCTGGGGATCCAGAAGATGGACACATTTTCAACATTCACTTAATGGTATTGCTTAAAGGAACACACAGTGTGAGAAAAGTTTGCTTGTAAAATAATTTCTATGAATAACAATAACAACAACACAATGCTCTATTGTTTCTATGGTGCTGCCTACAAAATTAGACATGTTTCAATGGCAAAAGGAATCTCCTATATCCTGAACTGAAAATTTCTGGTGATTTTGTCATGCTGAGAGTTGTCCCAGTGTCACTTTCCTAACTCAGGCATCTGTACTCCATGATTATTCTTGCTTTTTAATCCCTTTTGAAAAGGCAATATTTGAATCTCCTTGGGCGTGTAGCTAGATGGCTGGGCAAGGGTTAATTTGCTAGTCTGGCTTTTTAAATGTTTCACTTTTCATCTATAAAGGCAGAAGAGAAATTTAAAAAAGCAGAAGTTAACATCTCTTTTTCTGAATTTGCTTATTGCTTGTTTTAAAATATTGGTAAAAGGATAATCTTGCTTTTCTTCCTTTATCTGGGCACCAACTTCTACAGTCAGTCCTCAAAATAACCACTTTTTGTGGACAAAAAGTGTTATTTAACTAACATGGTAATGAGGCAGGCTCGCTGGCAGAGGTCCTACAAAGTGCTTTGAGTAAATTCTCATGCATCCTACTGGTTTAAATTAAATTTTATGTAAATATGACAGATATAAGGTAAAGTATGAGAAGTAAAAGTTGCTTTCATAAACTATATTATGACCTGGTGCATCAGTGTACATATTGGTGATGATCTTTTCATAGATAAATCAGTTGGATTTTGGGGACACCAAACCTCTACAGATCTTACTTTATTCTTGAAATAATATAAATATATAAGCTGAGTTCAAGTGTTTTATAGCACATCCAAGAACAGAGAAGTATGTTCTTTTCACTATCTTATAAATTAAATCACACATGTATTTGTTTGTTAAAAACACCAAGAGGTTTTTAACATTTTTTGAGCTATGGATGCCTTCAGCAGTTTGGTGATACATATGGATCCCTTCACAATATGTCTTAAAATGCATGAAACAAAATGTGTAGCAATACAAAGGAAACCAATTACATTGAAATGCAGTTTCAAAATATTAAAACAATAAATCTGCGATATAGTAATATATGTACTTCTTCATTAAAGCATTAGATAATAAAATCTAGTAGCAGATCTAATAAATACTGTAATTTAGAAGTAGCAATAAGAAAAAGTGATATTTTGATATATCTGTCACAACTGTAATGTGAAATGAAAAATACCTGTGATTTCTATTAATGACAAAGTCACAGGTACTTGCTAATACTACTGTGGTTTGTTGCTGACATTCACAATTGAATAAAATGCTAAATTTTAGTTAGAGACAATAGAGATGCCCTTTTTCCCCACCCAAGTCCACAGACCCCCTGAATTCTCTTCATGAACCCCTAAGGTCTATGAATCCCAGCTTAAGAACTCATGATGTACAATTTATATAATACTTTATAAAGTATCTTAAAGGAGGCATTCTGTGTGTCTACATGTGAGTCAAAATTAATCTGAATTGAAAATCACTTTTAACATGATTAAAAAGTATTTTTAATAGACAAAACAATTATCACAAAGAAGTTTCCTTAGGAAAAACAAATACTTACTCCTGAAGCATAATAGAATAGTAACCCATTTGGCTGTAATGTTCGGAAATTGAAACCTCCTTCAAAGCCATCAAAGAAAGATATTTTCTGAGTTGAGGCAATGAAACTCTGTCCATTGAAATATGCTCTGCGAGATATCTGTGTGCCAAAAAAAATTGAATATAGCATTTTCGATAATTACCAAATGCTCAAAACATTAATTTCTCACATACCAAAGGCCTTGACCGCTAGTTTCTATGTTAATAGTTTATGTTTTGACTTCTGGTTTATACTGGAATTCAGGCATGTTAGCGTTCCTTCTGTGTGCCTCTAACAAATGGAGTTTCAGTTTCTCCAATTCCTCCACTCTGTGTGAGTAATGATGCTCACACAGCCTCTCTGGGCTTTGGAAACCCACCCATCAAAAATTGAAGCAACTGGATATGTCACAGAGGAACCCTACAAGCCTTTCTAGCTTAATGTTTCTTCTTTCTGCTGGCGGCAGAAAGGAGCCTGAGGGGTACCTAGGATCACAGAGAAGCTGAAAAGAGCTTTTCAGCTTTTGAGAAGGAGAAGTTTTGTGTCTACTATTAAAAAGCTTTTGATTGACTGGTACTTACAAGAGAGTCTTCTGGGCATCCATAACCAATTCCCAGGGTTTCTGTCTGTTCTAATAAATTGAAATCTTTCTTCTGGAACTGGAAACCCTTCATGCATCCTCTGAAGTTGATATCTAGGGGAAGGTGGGCTCTTAGGGTCCTGGAAAAGAAAATTAGTCTTCACTGATATAGCCATGATGATAATGATGTTACCTTGCATATGTAGGCTATGAAATTTAATTTTATTTAGTCATTTGTAATAGCTTTATAATTGTTCATATTCTCATGCTTTCTTTCATAAGCACACCGTAACGTCTAATCTTTGCCTATAAACAGCTTTATTCTAAGTCAAACCAATTTTTTTACTTCCTTATGGTTTTTGAGATCCTTTAACTTACATTAACTCATTTTATCTTTATAACAATTCAGTGAGATAGAAGAGGATGCTATTATTTCCCTTTTATAGATTATTCTTAGGTTGAACCATAGGGAACTAATATATTTGTGGGTCAAAAATGGTCAACTCTTGGTAATTTCACATGGTTTAATCTATAAAGTTAAATTAAGAAGTAATAAGTTATTTTCTTATGTCACAAATGGTAAGTTAGGGTTGGAACTCAGGTCTTCAGTCTTCCACTAATTCACTTGGGTCATGAGCTCATCTTCTTGTCCTTATTTTCAACACACTGTAATCAACTAAGGCTAGAGAGATGTCTTAATAAATGTCGGGCCTTTAAATCAATAGGAAAGTCACAAATTCTTTATCTTTAAGATCAAGGATGGCATTTTGCTCAATACTGTAATCCTAGTATATAGAAGGTGCCCAAGAACATGTTACTGAATATTGAATGAATATGAAGTTAGTTTTGACCAAATTACAATGGCTTCAATGTATTGTAAATGAAAACTGCCCAAACTAAGGGATAATAGTCCCACTATATTCCGCTCTGACAAGATCACACGTGGAGAACCATGCTAATTGACGGATTGGGGTGCACAGAACGGCAACCATAATGCTTAAAAGTCTCATGGGGCTTGGTTGAAGATGCTGAAGAGGGTATTTAGTTTGGAAAGGCAGCTTGATGTTAGGGCCCTATTCCAGACCAATTAGAATTTCTGGAGAGTAGTCATGGGACATCATGTTTATAAAATTTCTCCAGGTTATTATAATGAGAACTAGGGTTGAGAACCACTGGACTGGATCATCCTAAAGTTGACTTTCAGTTTTAAGGGTCTCTGATGCTATGAATTAATTGTAATAAGAATTTTTGAATACATTATTCTAAAGTTTCATTGTACATAATCCAAAACCCCTTGGATAAGCTTAAAAATATTTGTACCTTCAGATGCTATTTGAAAGTTCAAATAAGTTTAAATTAAGACTAAAACAAAAGTAAAAGAACACATGCTGCTTTGTTTTCACACAATACACATGTCCCGCCTTTCCTTGCTGATGAGGAATATCGCATTAGACTATGTTCTAAGAGTAACACAATAATTAAAGAAATCTGCGGATCACATCTACTAGATGCTAATTGAAGGGGGTCATGAGGACTGGCTGCAGAGGGCCCGAGGGTACATGAACGTGTGTGCATGTGCCTGTGTACACGCATAGAAGTAGCAAAGGGGAGCACTTAAACCTTTTACTAAACCTCTCCCAGATGTTGAATACTCAGTCCAGTGCATCGTTAGGAACAAACAGCTACTCAACAAAAAAAAAAGTTACCTGGATTGTAAGATTTCTTGGGGAGCGCCTCCAATGTATATGTCTGTAAAAGGTATTTTCATCTTTTCATTATCCATGCTTTTGACATGTCGTCTGTCAACCACCAAAATCATTTTCTTATCATTGTGGTAAATGATCGAGATCTGGGAGAAATAATACATAGTAAGTCTGGATCACTGCTTAACAATTCGCTTTTTGAAGATTACTATATATTTTAATTATTCTGGTTACAACGGCTGGGTCTCCATGTTCTTGTGCTTGTTCGTTCACAAAATGGGGATTAGATTTTCCTTTCTTACTCAGAGACATGAAAACTCTTACTTATATAACCAGAAGTTCACGTTACCTGGAGAAGGATCTCCATATGGAGATGGATCTAGCCCAAGAAAAGTTTTGTCATGAGACCAACTGTTTCCTTTTGCCCCTTTGAGGGGATTTGGGAAAGAACTACTATAAGCAGGTACCTTCTGGACCCCAGACTGTATGTCACCAGGTGTCATTTTTTGGTGACAAAATGAGAAGCTTTAATGACTCTTTGAAAATGCTAGTCAGAGAAATAGTTAAAATATTCTTTTATTGTAAATCATCCTCACGAAAGCTATGGACTTTGAACTGAAAAGAGAAATATAAGCTCCTATTCTCTGCATTTCAGGTCAACCTAAAGATATTATGCAATTTATACATTTTATTAAACTATAGATTTAAAGTAGTTATTAATGAAAATAGATGACGTATACTATCAGTACACTGCACATCTGTTTCAAGACTAAAGAGCATTCTTTGTGAATTCTCTTTATAAGGAAATCTATGTTAGTATTTTCTAAGTTCTGGATAAATGGTTTAAAAGGAAATTCTCTATTTACTTATATCTACTTTTTTTACATTTAGTGGGGCTCAAAGAATAAGTAAAAAAATGGCTATGTTTCTATACTCTGGCATTTTCAACAAATGTATAGATAGATTCCATAGGAGTGCCATGGTAATCAAGATACTGAGCATTAACAGGAGCCTTTGGTCAATAAAGTGATTAAAATGAATCTTTCAGTGACTCTTTTATTAGAAACATCAATATAACAAAAACAGCCTTTCTTTTAAAGCAAATGTTATCCTAGAGTTGAGTAGATGGGGGCCCTTCAGTTGGTTCTTGGATGTGAAGGTGTTCAGTTTAATTACTTTCCCACCTATTACATTTGACCATCTAACTAGATCAATAGATCTAAGAGCAAACAAAACGAAACAATCCACCCAAACTGCAACGATTTGTACCTCATGGTATTTTGCATCATTAATTTGAGCTTTCTTCAACGTGTCTTCAAGATGCACAGGGCCATTGCTAAATCCGAAGTCATAGAACACGTGTAGGTAACCATTGCGCATTTCCAGGCTGAAAAACATGCTCTGTGGAGAGAAAGAAGTTGTAAGATGTGAGCATCTGGTATTTTGAAAGGGCTGATTTAGCTGAGTTTGAGAAATAACACTGTATTCTTTGTTACTGAAATTGTTTGAAGACTAAGGAAGTCTCATGAAATTCTTATTATAAAATAAAAATCACAACAACTTCTATAGCAGAAGTTGTCTGACATTAATATACCAAAGTGTTAATATTTATATACAGATACAACAATCTCCTATTGTTTTTTATTTACTTTATGAATTAATGAAATTTTAAGTTTACCTTATTGACTTTTTTACAAGTCTTGAAAACAGAGTATTATAGGCTGTACATATTCAATTGCCTTTTCTTTAGGCAACTTTTGAAAGTTATAACAGGCTAATAGATGTAATTGCATTTCATTGTAAGAGAAAAATTGGTAATATTAAAACATATTTGAATATTTTGAGTATTTTAATATTCTGAAAAGAATCCCCCCAAATTACCAGCAAATATGGATATAAGAAAAAGAAGCCCATTTCTGTATAGTTTTCAAACACCGGATTTATGTAAACAAATATAAAATTATTATGCACTTGAACCACATGATATTTGTGAACCAAAGCAATTCTGTAACACTCAAATAATTTACCAGTCAGGCTTGTCTGTTTCAGAAGATAGTTCGTAGATACAATACTTCAATGAATTTGAAAAATAAGGTATTGTGGTAAAGTCCCTATTCTACAGAAAGCAATCTCCTGAGTGGAGTTTGTATACTCCTGAGAATGTGGAAAACAATCCGCTGGGGTGTAGAAAGAAAATATTTCAGCTTCTATTTATACTCGTTTTAAAATGCTAAAATAGACAAAGAAACTAACCTTTAATATTTAATACACAGATTGATCCTAGGTCTTCAATTCGTCCTTTGGATGGATTTTCACAGAATTAACATGGTATGCGAGGTTTTGAGTGTGACGTTCCACACTTGAAGGGCTGATGGCGCCCCTCATCCATTTCTTTGCTTTTAGCCTATTGCAACTGAGTGCAGTTTATGTGTGCCTGGTGACATGGATTTATGGGTGAGATGACTTAAACAATAGAATATTTACAATGATTTTCTATTGAGATGCAGTGATGCGAAAATATTTTGAGACACATAGATGTTTGCAGATTACTTCCTGCAAATTACTGAAGATGCTGTCAAGTTTAAAGAGGGTTACACATTTTTCTTTATACGGTGAATTATTCTAAATTTGTTGGCTTTTATTTGTGATGACAAATGTCTTTCAGTAGTATTAAAATAACTAGTTATTTAAAAAAAATAGTTATCTGTCACTTCAAGGTAAGAATGTTAAAACTGGATGAGAAAGCAACTATTTTTTAAAAAAAGTTGTACTCTGGAGAGATGGTTTTAAAAAAATATATTTGGAAATTTTTCTATTGTTAAGTGAATTTGCTGAGGAGAACAATGTAAGTGTACCACCTATAAAAAATCTCATATCTGAGCTATTAAAACATTACTGGAAAGAAATTTCTAACTTTAAAAATCTTTCAAATGAATATTTTCAATGGTCTTGAACTCTTTTGTTAAAGTTTACAAAAAGATACAATATCTGATTCGCTCGCAAGAACTGACATCAGGAAAATGGAAATTTACCAGCCAAATTTCAAACACAATTTTGCCTATTGGTGAATGAAATTGAAAAATGGGATCGTGATTTAGTAAACATAGCCAATGATACACTTCTTACGTTTTTATTTTTATGAGGTTCTTGTCTAATTGTGACAGCCAATAAATCTTAGTATTGAAATAAACTGGACTTAGGACAAGACTTTTGAATTGCTGTATCACAGAGTTTAACAAGATTTTCAAAAATACCTGAGTATATTTAATTACACTGCTCTCACTAACACTGCTATTAATGATCATTTTTGTATCATTAATAAATAAATAATTTTATTTTAGTTCATATTTATTTTTAAATTTTATTTAATCTTTATAAAATTTGTTTTTTTATTCCAAGTTTTGAATATTATATCCATATATAGTATATATAAATTCTTTATAAATCATTTACATAAAAATATGTATTACATATATATATATATACATATATGTATGGTAAGCATGCAAAGTTTTTTTTTACTGATTAGGGCATGTGATTTAAAAGGTCAACGCTAAATTTCTGCAGACATACTGCTCACCTAGATCTTGGTGCTGAGTTTTTTCAAAATTCCTTTAGTTTATCAAAAGACATATTTAACGTATATCCAAAACTGCATTTTAGGGCTTCTTTTATTTATTGCTGATATCACTTTCCGGAAGGAAAAAAATCCACTTTTGCTTTCTAAACTAAAACTTCAGTTTGATGGCATGACACACTCAACCTGGGAAGGTTCCTGGAAAGATGCATAGCAGAAAGCAAAGGAAACGAAGGAGAAGATGTAGGACTTTTATTTTTACTCACTCCATTGACCATCAGGAGCACAAGGCCATTGTCAGCTGGGGTTCGAACTTCTATGTCAAAGCGAGTCACCTGACCAAACTTCCCTCTCCTTGTGATGTCCCTCACCACAGCATAGCTAGAGCCATCGAAGAAGTAACTGGCAGCCCGACTCTGAGTGAAAGCCAGTTTATCTCTGAAATAAAAACGCAAGGATCATATGAACAACACAGTTTCTGTTATGCTTTTCAAGTGGGTCCCTTTTAACCCATTCTCCTGACACCTTCCATGGACCTTAGAGCATTTAAATGAAGTCCTGATGTCTGCAAGGGAGGAAAAGAACTATTTATAGGTAAGTTAAATGAATGGCTTTTAAACAAGTTGCTTAACACTTTTAATACTTGTGCATGCTCATCCAAGGTAGAGAAGAACTGAAAAGTTTTTTGCCGGCGTGACTATTATGCAGTTTCAAAACTGGTTTCTTCAAAGAAAAGATTGAGAACCTGAAAACTGACCCACACTTGTCCTGTTTGCTGCTCTTGGTACTGCTATCAAAGTCTTCAGTACTCATAACACTTTCTCACCTGGCGCAGGGCACTGACTTGGAGGGATCCATATTATAGATGTGCTTAAAGTTGTACAAGCTGATCACATCATTATTCAAAGTTGCCAACTCCAGGCAGCCAACGAAGCCAGGCAGGTTTAAGCTGGCAGGGAGCTGTGGAACAGACAAAGCAAAGTCAGCTGTCTCATGATCATGCTTCACCCAGACGACACAGAACAGACAATGAAACAAATAGCAGGTCAAGGGGACCTACTGATTGATATAAATATCTTTCTAGATCTAAGTGTGTGTCTAGTCTATGCCAAACCATTTAGATAAATGATGATTTTTCAGTTGTGCCCATCTTAGCAGAAAGGGTGAGATTTATTGAGCATATAATATGTGCCAGTCACATGCTGGACAGTGAATTCATGACCAAAATCAACCCTCATGCCAGCTTTGTGCAGTAGGTATTCCTGCTTTCATATAAAGAGAGGGAAAGTAATTCCCAGAGAGGTTCAATAATGTACCTACAACTAGTGGGTAATAGTCCTGGAATTGAAATCCTAAATCAACTCCCCATCTTCCAGGGCCTTTCCTTTATCTGCCCTTCATCAGGTCTCATATTCCCCCTAGTCCCCCCCATCCCAGGTATTTTATTTCATGCCTATATTAGTCGAGATAACTGAATTTTTGAAACTGCCATCTGCAAAGCTGAAGACTACATACAAACTGTGGTGACACCCACAAGGTACAGACAGTCTTGCAGCAGGTGGAGGGTAATGTTAATTACCTATGCATGTATCAGAATGAAGTGAATTGATATTCAGGTGCTAGCTACAGCTTGAAAGCATTTGACATGATGAAAGTATGGGTAGCAGAGACCAGATTTATATACCAGATTCACAGATCCTGGTTCAGATTCTATCACCCACTGAGCTAAGCTCTTTCGTAAAATATCAAGGTTTCCATCCTGCCCCTGAATCACTGTAGGTTTTACGAATTTTTAAAATTAATCATTGTAGATTTGCAATAAGTCAAAATACAGCTGGATAGCTTACCTTGAAGTTTGAAGGCACTCCACCAACATAAAACACAGTGTCCTCAGGGTCCAGATCCAACAAGGAGTCATCTCCTGCAAATTCCCCCTTTTTAATAAACTTTTCCTCTGCGGTGCTACTTAGACTTGGGACTGTTAAAAACACCTTTCCATGTTTTCCTACCCTGTTGAGATAAAGAATTTTCACTCTTCATTAGCCAGACAATTTATAGAAAATATTTTTTTTAATGTGAAAATGTTAATGTTCTCTCATCACAGAATTGGTGATTTGATTTTGTCGCATTCATTAGCATTTATAGAATGTCAGCAGTCAATGGGAAGGGGAAAAAGACGTTCCATCTTGGCATCGATTCAAAGATTGGCCAGATAAAAAGATGTAGTAATCAGACTGCTATTTAGAAAGAATGACGATTTTTTCTAATCTTTTGTTTTCCACTAAGGTATTGGGAAGGAATATGGGAATAATGGGAGAAAGAGAAACAAGAATAAGGGGAAGAAAATTCTCTTTACAACATCCACAGGAGGACTGTGAGTGTGCGTGAGCACATTCCACAGATTTCTCATGAAATGTGCATAGAAGTCCTGTGTCACAGATTCACTTTACCTTTCAATCTTGACAATGCTGAAGTGAGCAGGCCAGGAACTGACAGGCTTGGAGTCCAGAGGAATCTCTACATCCTTAGTTCCCAAATTATAAACGTACACCAGGTTATCATTTTTGATTGCAAGACCCATGTACTCTTTTTTGGCCTGAAATGTCAAGAAGTCACTTAAATAAAATCCATATGAATGAATAGCATCTTTTGTTTTCATTTCTTTAGAGGACAATCAGCAATCCAAACACTTGGCTGTACACAAGTCATGTCTGGCCTGAATTATTACCAAAGTCCCTGTTAGACGGGGCAGTGCCTCTTCCTTTCCAGCCTCGCTGTGGCTGCATCAGTCCACTGCCCCCGTGCTTGCTCCAAGTGCATCCTGGACAGGGAGGAAAGCAATTGCAGGCTTGTGGACATCTGATTTGTACTAGCAGTGTCTTCACCTTGTTTGGTTAATCCAGGGGTATAATGCAGCCTGCCAAAACCGATCACTATGCATCTTCAAACAGGATGCAGCATCAAAGATAAGAGGCCTCTGTATTCCAAAGGTCTTTGAAATACTACATTCAGACTCCTCAAAGGGAGCAGCGTAAGGCTGATACAAAGCAACCCTAGACATACCCACACAGAGAAGGAATTACTTGTCCCTAAGTCATTACTTTAGTCTTGGCATTAAAATGATCTATACTTTTTCAGTTACCAGAATGATAATTCTGTTTGTTTGCATAGGTAGCTTTGTTTTAAGGCAAGAGGAAAGCACTACCTTTCCTTTAACTATTATTCCCTCTTTTAAGACCTCATGCTCTTACGGTTCTGCTTCCGAGGTACAGGATGAACTGATCCGCAGTCCCAGCCAGTGCTGGCTGCTTCGCAGGAGGAGGTTTCATGTACAGGCTCAGGGATGTGAAGGTCTTCAAGTCATCCATACTGGTTTTCGGGTGCACTTCGACTGCTGACTGGCCGTCAAACATCATGGAGACTTGGATCTGGAGTCACAAAATTATTCCATTAAAAGTACTCTGCAGAAATGGGCATAGCGCTTTCCCATGGTTCTCAATGGCTTCCCTCATTCCTTATGGGATCTCTGAGATCCACTGTCCTCCATGCCTTTATTTATTTACTTATGCCCTCAACTTGTCGGAGAAAAGATTGAGGGCAGGTTACAACGCAATAGTTTAGATTTAAAGTGGGGTGAAAGAAAGCAAAAAAAGGATGACAGAGTAGGTCCAAGAATGAGGATAAATATGAATTCCACAATGAACAGCATACTTGGTTGGGGTGAACTAAACAGCTCAAAGAGATACCTGGTCAGTTATATAATTCACTAGGCCCATTAAATTAACAACTAATTGTTCAGGAGAAATATAACTAATCTGGGGTACTAATACAGTTAGGACTGTCTCCCCAGGTTCTTCAAAAGAGGAGCATGGGATGAGGCTGTGTAGGGGAGAAAGAAACATTCTTCTATCCTTCTAGATTCTTCTGGTTGGTCTACGAATTAAATTGACGTGAGACAGAATAACAGGAGAAAGTCAAACAAATATAATAACTAAATATAATACAGTAAAAATGTATACATGGGAGAGACCCAGGAAAAGTGAGTAACTTGCTAAAACGGCTGAAGCCACCACTGTAAATACCATCTTCAGCTAAAGACAAAGGAGGCTATTAGGGCTAGTAGTTTTGGAATTCAAAGGGGAGAAAGGCAATTCACATGGAGATAGAAAAGCAAACGTTTGATAAACAAATGTTTGCCATGCCTTGCAAAGACAATGAGACTTGGAGAGGATTTCCATCAAATGAGCCTTGCTAGGTTCCTCCATGTCTACCATACCCAGTCATATTATACTATAGTTATCTACGGTGACAGCTCCTTCCTGGAACAGGCCTTCTATCTTAAACTCTTTTAGGAAGTTAGTCGGGAGATCAAAGTTTCTGCCTGAGTTTTTTCTTCTTAAAAGTAATCAAGCCAAAGAGATACATTTTGGGGTAGCAAATTCTGCTCCCCTACAGCTGCGGGCAGCATCCTTGACCACGTCTTTTGCAGTTGGGAGGAGTCTAGACACAGCTTTGAAGTCTTAGAATGGAGTCTTGATACCTGGCTCTGCCACTTACTAGCTATGCAACCCTAAGCAAGTCACTCAACCTGCAGCTTCCTCATCTGTAAAATGAGGACAATAAATTTGTTGTAAGAATGAAGTAAGATGATAACTATAAAGTGCTTTTCAGTGCCTAGCTCTAGCATTATAATAATTGTAATGATGAGTTCATGAAGATGTTTCTTGTAATGATTCTCAGAAAGATATCACAACAAAGCACAATTCAGTAAATGCATTTCTAAGAGGCCCAATATGATATGCCAAACTGGTCTAATTTGGGGTGATTTTCAGAGTATTAAAAATATATCCGTGCCATTTAAGCAAATATTTCTGAATAGTTAGATGTATTTACATCAATTAATTAATATTGATTTGGTTAATACTGACGGTCAGTGAGCTCAGGATTATATTCCCAAGTGCCTAGAGTGCAACTGTCCTATGTTGAGTAAAGATCAATACCTCTTAATAAACAACCAAGCAGTGTAGGGGATTAAAGTCTTTTTGTAAAAATTGATAGTCTGAGAAGGATGTATATCTGCACACACAAAGCTTCTCACTTTGAGGAGCTGAGTAACCTCCCAAAGGCACTGCCAAGACTTTCTTTAGAAAATGGTTTTAATGAATAAGGCCCCAAAATTCTACTCCATATAAATAAAATTACCAGAAAGCACTCACAGAACTTAGCTTTGGAAATGCCATTTCTTGACAATAAACCTTTTCAAAATGTTCTCCAAGGTATCTCAAAAAGGTAATTTGTGGTGTGGGACCAATTTTCATATATCATTTAACAGTTGGGTATATTTACCAAGAATAATCTTCATTACAAAATAGTTGATTTCCAACTCTTATCCCCATCAATATTTAGGGCCAATAGTCTGTTCAGGTCAATTATCAACTGAACAAATGAAACCATATAATTCGGTTGTAAAAAATGATGCTGGTCTATAAATCAACAAAAAACACATTTAAAAGAGGGCTAAGAACAAGCTCTGTTTTGCCACACTGAAAATGTTAATTGTTGTGTCAGGATATGTTCCTACCAACGCTGGCACTAGTTATGGTGTTGCTTCTATAGACGCATCTCAGGACGGAGTCTTTGTTGAGATTATTCCATTTAGCTGGTATGTGATTCCTCAGTTAAGCCTGTGGAGGGGTCAGTAAAAGCTTCATATCATGTTGAAGCTATGTTGTACCAGAGAATTTTTTAAAGAGGTAGATGGGCACGATTATCCCATATAGTAATTGCACTAAAACAGCTGTTAAAACAATGAATAATAATAATAACAATAAATTGAGTCTGTTATTGCAGTTGGCTTTGCTTGATTTTTGCTCTTGTTGATTAGCTTAATTCTGCTGTTCTTAATCCTGCTACACATTAGAATCACTGTGGAGCTTTTAAAAAATACAGGTGCTGAGCCTTCCTCCAGGGAGCCTGATATATGGCATTGAGGTTGGGACCAGGAATTGGTTTATTTTTCAAAGCTCCTCCTGTGATTCTAATGAACAGCTGGGGCTGAGAACTACCGAGTTGGATAATACAGTAGAAAGATTCCAGGTTCTGGAAGCCCAGGGAATTGGAGCTCAGCTTCATGTTCTCATTATCACCAAGTGACTGATGACTGCTTTCATCAGGTACCTTGCTGGCGACACTTCTGGTCTGAGCAATGAGCTCTCGGATCCTCTGGATGCTGGCAGAAACGTTGCTTGCAGGCCGCTTCTGCTCGACAGTACGAAGCTGATCCAGGAGCTGAGGGACAACCTCTGTCAGATTTCTTACTGCAGTCAATAAAAATTAATCACTTGGGTAAGTATCTCAATATTAAGTATATTTAAAGAATCAGATAAAGAGATAACAAACACACAGTTACTTCTGTTAGAACTCTAAGAAATTATTTTAAATCCTACAAAATTAATAGTTAAACCCAAAGCATAACAAATTCCTATTTTGTGGCATTTATGATACATATTGGTCTATAAATTGCATGCAGAGCAAGCTGACTTATAATGTACATTTCTAAAGGGCAGGATCCATGACAAATATACAGATGTTCCTTTCACCATGTGGCACGGGTTCTGCTTGCATTTGTAATATAACTGATACAACAGGTGAGAAGGAATGCTGGCAAAAGGAGGTGGGAGGGTTGTTTTCCAGGATGCCCATTCACAAATGACACTGCTGCTAGGGTCTCAGCAAAGGCAGAGCCAGGGGGCGGAAGCAAGGTAGCACCCAGAAAAGTGGTAGTTCTGCCAAGGTGAGGGTGGGCAGCCATGGTCTATGGGCCCAGACAAGGGTGATGGTACAAGCAGATCATACTGACTTTTTAGGTTACGTTTTTTTTGGGATATATAAGGTATACATAGAAAAGGATACAAATCATAAGGATATAGTTTGATGATAGAAAATCAAAACACAGAGAATGGCATAATTTTCTCCAAAGTTTCATGGACAGGAGCAGAGATTCTTTAGGTTCCCAGATAGCAGCATCAGTGTCCCAGGAAACTTGTTAGAAATGCAAATTCTTTGGCGCCACCTCAAACCTGCTGAACCAGAAACTCTGGGAGGGAAGCCCAGTGATCTGTGTTTAACACTCCCTGCAGGTGATTCTGATGCACACTGATGTTCGAGAACCACTGGACTAGAGATTGATTATCTTTTGGGTATTCTCTGACCTAAGGGCAGAGCCATGGTCATTGAGCACTGGCAGCTGGACAAGAGCAAGCTTCTTACTGGAGCCAAACTAAACTCAGATTCAGCAGAATATGTCAGTGAGGATGAAGGAAACACCTCTTTTCTGTACTTGCGCTTTTCCAGCACAAGAAATGGAATTAAGTAAAATAATAGCAATTATCAGTTTATTGTATTGATTAATACAGAGGTAGTATTCTTTGTTTGGATCACTGGCCACAATAGCCATTTTACGGTATCATAGTCTTTAAAAATATAGTATACTTTGTTTACACAAAAATAGTATATTTATGGGCTGGCCCCATGGCCTAGTGGTTAAGTTTGGTACACTCCGCTTTGGCAGCCTGGGTTTGGTTCCCGGGCATGGACCTACACCGCTCATCAGCGGCCATGCTGTGACAATGACCCATATGCAAAGTAGAAGAAGATTGGCACAGATGTTAGCCCAGGGTGAATCTTCCTCAGCCAAAAAATAAATAAAATAAACTAAAATAAAAAATAAAGTGTATTTAAGGCATTACATAAAAATTTGGATTATGGAAATTTATAGAAGACAGGATTCCCCCACCCTCAGTTGTCTCAGAAAAAGGGAACCACCTTATGTAAGAGTCTTTACAAAGTTTCTTATATTGTGGCACGCTTTTTCATTTACTTTGTTTTTAACCACAAAATGCTATTTGAGGAAAACACAGTAGCCTGAAACAGTTTCAGTTCATGCCAGTTCTGGATGCTGATTGGAATCACTGAAAGGACTGGTGAAAAAGGAGGAAAAAAATTAGCACAGATTTTGTAAGTAGTCCTGAGATAATACCCTTATAAATGAAAAGGTTGGATGTCATAAAGGCAAATCTTTTAGAAATCAAGCTTTAAAAGCAATTGAGTGGTTACATGGAAGAACTCATGAATATACACTTAAAAGATGAATATAAAAGAGCTATATTCCTGTTATGGGAATGGGTATTTGTGACTTGGGATAAAATTTCTAGTGGCAGACAGATTATATATAGATTAATAAAGTTGTTTCTTAATTCAGATAAAAGTGAAGGTGATATGGTCTGCAAAACCACGTTGGAGCACTGAAAGTTCTAGTCATGACAAAGACATTGATATTTAAGAGGTATGAAGAGATTGAATAAAAATATGAGAATGGCAAAAAGGAAATTTCTCAAGTAATATATAATTTTAATATCTATGTGTAACTAAATAAATTAGGTAGACATCAAAATATTTCATTTTCATTGCAATAAATTTGTATTCAAGTTGGCCAACAGAGGGTTCCTCTTAATGGAAAGCTTCAGTTATGTTTGGCCATACTCAGTACTTGTTGGTAATAACCCGCTTTACTTGTGTACAGAAAAAGCAACGCTGTTTAGTAAAAGCAAGGCTGTTTAGTAAATTTTGTTCCTAAAAGCAAACCAATATTTTGTTAAAGTTATTTACTCTAACATGTGATTGACTTTCTTCCCCAAAGGATCAGTCTTACCTTGATAAAAACAAGTGCTATTACTATTTCACATAGAAAAAAATATACAACTTTTTAGCAATCTACCTAGTGTTTATTTATGTGAAATATATATATATATATATATAGCTCATATGCACAAACACACACACACATTGATGGATGAACTGAGCAAAAGTTTTTCTCCTTTTCTAAGCTAACTTCTACAATGTTTTAATCTAAAACCCAAATGAAGAAAATTGCCTCTTAGCAGAAGATGTGTAGAGTTTAATGGCCAGTTCCTCAACTGGATGCAAATTTTGAAGATTCTAAGTGATACCTGCATCTCTGGCAGAATCCACTGCAGTGTTGTAAGCAGAAGAGTCAAAACTTTGAAGATTCTGTGACCAGTTGGTTAGACTGTCAGCCATCGGGGCGGTTGCCTGCTGGACTTCCATTGTGGTCTTGTTGGCTTCCTCGGTGATCAGCTTGGACTGATTCAGGCGCTGCTGAACGTCACCTTCACACAGAGCACAAGGACACTCACTTTGCAGAGAAGTAGGACATTTGTTGGGAACATTAACCTCCATTTAATCACTGGGATAAAACAGATCTCAAATTTTGCGCTTTTAAGCCAAACTATGATCTTTAAATATATGTCAATTATGGTATAAGTTAGGTACATGAGAATACTATAAGCAGTATTAACAAGTGAGCTTGAAAGATTCTAGTCTCATTAAAACCATGTAGCTCACTTAAGACATATTCAAATTAAGAGGTAAATTAAAAAAACGAGTAATTAGCATTTCCTCAGGTTAGAGACATGGTAAGAAAGCCATAGAAAATGCATATGAGATTTTAATTCATGAAATATTTGTCTAAAATTCATTATGTCACCTTCTTCTGTGTGAAACATCTTTTGCCATAAAAATGATGCTCAAATACAGAGTAGATCAGTAAAGAAAGGTATTTTTGAATAAGAAAAACAAGTTTCAAAAGAGTATATATAGTGAAATTCAATTTTTATTAAAAAGTTACATATTTAAAATAAAAATAATATGAGTTTACAACACAATGTTTTTTTCCCTAGGTCATGAGATTATAAATGATTTTTCTTCTCTTGTTCTTTCTTTTTTCTTATCTATATTTTTTAATTTTTCTATAATGATCACGCACTCCTTCTCTAATAAAAAAATTAAAAATCACTCAGGTGAGGTTGTAGCTTCGATTTTTTAAAGCGGAGAAATACTAAATTCAACCTCGCATGCTCTGAACTCTGATGGATGTGGCTGTGAATCCTGGGTCTGCTTCTTTTTGGAGCTGCACCTTTTGGAGCAAGTTCCCTAGCCTTGACAAGCCTCAGAGAGCACGTCAGCCTAAAGGCAATGGTGATGCTTTCCCACATGAGATAATGTATGGAAAACACACCCAATGCCTAGCATGTGGTAGCTCTGACAATGCTGATGACAGAGATCTCAGTGGATGGCACTGTCCTGGCCAGGGTGTTGGTGTGCTACAGTACTGTAGCTGGATTTGCTCTGTGTACTAAAACAGTCACACCCGGCAGTCACGTGTTAACTTTCACTACACTGGGGAAGACACTTCTGCTTCCAATCACATCTTTCCAAGACACCACTGGAGTCCCAGATTAGGCAAGAGGAGTGCTCTTGTTTCTCTGTTTGGCTTGTTGATCTCCCTGTTTGTACTGTAAGAATGACGTGGCATGTAACAGAGGGCAGCTGTTTACAGACGGGGCCAGAGAAACCCAATAACCAAATTAGGGCATATTTGTTAATGAACAAGGATGTTCACAAGAAAGCAAGTTACCAAATAGTATAAGTAGTATGATTCCCACACACACACACACACACACACACACACACACACACACAATTGGAGAAAAATGCTCTCAAACGTAATGGTCACCCCTAGGTGGTGTGATTACAGCTTGTATAAATATTTTCCAGGATTTTGTGTGTGTATGTGTGTATGATGAACATAGTTTTTTTTTGTCATCAGAAAACAACATTTATTTATAAAAAGATTGATAGGTAAGGAATCACCTACTCCTTCCTCAAAGGTTTATCTTAATACCAGTGAACAAATAGATGAGGCTTAAGTTCTGTCTGTGATCCTTACCCCTCTCTGTGGCTTGTAGTCGCTTAATGGCATCATTTAACCTGGTTTTAAGGGCACTCTTCCTTGCTAGGGCTCCACCCACACGCCTACTGGTGTCCGCCACTGCCTCTTCGTTGCCTGTGGAGAAGAAGCAGACAAAAAACCCAGTGGAGCCAATATGCTAGGAAAAGAAATCTCCATTTCAATGAGGAAAATTCTGATTTGTACCATGGAATCATTTACAATATTCTTTATTTTTTTTATTTTTTTTCCCCAAAGCCCCAGTAGATAGCTGTATGTCATAGTTGCACATCCTTCCAGCTGCTGTATGTGGGACGCGGCCTCAGCATGGCCGGAGAAGCGCTGTGTCGGTGCGCGCCCGGATCCAAACCCGGGGCCGCCAGCAGCGGAGCGCGCGCACCCAACCACTAAGCCACGGGGCCGGCCCTGCAATATTCTGAATATGATGTGAACATAGAACATTAATGCTGGAAAGTGCCAGATAAGAGGTACAGGATTACAGAAAACTTGTAACACTGCTTGGGAGTGATTTAGGATGCTCATAAAAGTGACTCATAAAAGGTGTAGAGATAATGGCTAATTTCTTTGAAAAGTATAGCACTGCTGTGACTAATAAACCTAGCAGCACAATTGATAAAGAGCTGAAAAGAAAAGATCTATCTATATTTGTGGTGATGACTGGTTATATAAAAGTAATTCTTTTAACTATTTTAATAAAATTTTAATTGATATACAACATTCATTTATAAAAAGGCACACATTACAAGTGCACAGCTTGCTGAATTTTCACAAACTCAACACAACATATAATCAGTGCCCAGGTCAAGAAAATAGAACATTATTAGCACCCATAATTCCCTGGGGCCTCTATGATTACCCAAAGATGACCACAATTCTGAATTCTGTCTCCACATATTAGTTATGTCTGTTTTTTTAACTTCATTCAAAAGAAATGACACAGTATTGTAATTTTTTTTATATCTTTTGTATCTCTGTCTTAATTTCTATAGAGTTATGTCTTGATATCTAGTAGTTTAAGTCTTCCAGCTTTGTTTTTATTCTTCAAGATCTTTCAAGATTTCCAGAGAAATTCTAGAATCATCTTGTATGTGTGCATACTCTTCTGGTCCTTTAATTGTTATTATATTGACTCGAAGGATAGATCTGGGAGAATTCTCTTTTTAACAAATTTGAGTCTTACACTCAATGAATACAGTTTTTATTTACTTTTCTTTAGCTCTAAATTCTTATTTTGATCTCCATTTCTTTAGGTCATCCTTAATTTTTTGCAGCAGTGCATTATTGTTTTATGTGTAAAGATCATAGCATCTTTCATCAGATTTATTCCTAGATATTTGATAGTATTGCAAATGGTGTTATTTAAAAAAGTTAATTTCTATTTATACATAGAATTAAACTGGATTTTCACATATTGAATTGGTAATGTGGAGCATCCTTGTCTTGTTTCCAATCTTAGTGGGCAAAACTTTCAATACTTCAGTATTAATATGCTTGCTGAATATTATTTTATTATTCTTTATCAGATTATGGAAAGTTCCTCCTATTCCTAGTTTTTATGAATTCTTTTGTTAAACATGAATGGGTATTGAGTTTTGTTAAATGATCTTCTTGTATGTAGTGAGATGATCATATGAATTTTCTTCTATATTCTGTAAATGTGGTGAATTACTATTAAAGTTTTAAAGGCTAAACTATCCTTGAAATCATGAAATAAACTCAATTTTGTCATATATTACCATCTCTATGTATGCTAGATTTGATTTGCTAATGTCTTGATTAGGATTTTCACATTTCTGTTTATGAAAGAATTTGGCTTATAATTTTCCCTGTTTATAATGTCTTTGTCAGGTTTTGGTATTTAAGTTGCGTCGGCTTCATAGAACAAGTTAGAGAGTATTTCCTCTTTTTCTATTTTCTGGAAGAGTTCATATACGAGTGGTGTTATTTCTTCTTTAAATGTTTGGAAGAATTCACTGATGAAGCCATCTGAGCCCTGAGATTTCTTTGTGGGAAGGGTTTAATTACCAGTTAAATTTATTACACATTTTTATGTACATACAGCTCTATCAGATTTTCTATTCCTTCATGTATCAGTTTTGGTAAATGGCCTTTTTCTTACAAAATTATTCTTTAAAGTGTACTTGTCCCTAAACTAGGATTATCTTGGAGCAAATTCAAACAAGTCATGATATAATATCTCACCATCTGAAGGATCAGAATTCTTTGTTTCTGTTAGTGCTTTGTTTACTTCCAAAGCATCAGGAAATGTATGCTTCTTGACAAACAGAAAAATAATTTCTTCACTTTCCGTTCTACTTGTCTCATTCTCTCCAATGGGCTTGTAAATATATCCTCTCCCATGGTGTACTTTCCCTTTTCTATTGTACAGTCTTGGTGTGCTTGGCTTATTGTTCCATTATCGTTTCCCCCATACACGTGTATAAAATGGATACACAATGAGTGGTGCTTAGTTGATTTTGTTACCAAGTACAAAGTAACCAAAGTACAAGGACTTCTTTCTTATTTCCTCTGGGTAGTGCAGAGAATTTCCCAGAATTCAAGGAGGGACTGAAACATACTTTGTAGTTGTATTGTACTCTGTCTCCCTCTTTTAGTTTCAATTTTTGACTATCGTGATACAAACAATATTTTCAAATCCTCCTTTGGGTTTTGTGACTGCAGAAAACACTGGCTGATAAACTGAGAAAGAATATATTTAACTCTATATTTGGAGTGCTTGATAAAAATAGGAGAAAGAAAATCTATTTTGGGTTGGATGTTTATAAGGAGAAATGTTTCACAAAAAGTGTGTCCTATTTGGAACTTATTGTCTCACATAAACATTTTTCATTTTACAAATGAATTCAGTAGAAGATTCCTTTAAATAGCAGCTTCCTGAGTTTATTATAGATTGTTAGCTATTTAATAAAGATAATGAAGAAAAGGAAAGCTGGGAAACAAAGATTACCAATCATTGAAAGTCATTAGGAAATGAATGAACAGTAATCTGAAATTATAATGTAACTCAGTAGATGAAGATGGTTCAATTTGAAAATCTGATTTTATATCACAAACGTGTATTGTCTACAGGGAGGCAAGTTCTGAGCCACACAGTCCTAACGCCCCATCACTGTCCCCTTTGCAAATAAATATCTGAAGGGATTTAACCAAACAAGATCATGAAATAGGTGACCAGATCTGCAAAATGATCAAAGAGACCAATGCAGAGAGATTTATCTGGACATAAAATATTGAATTTTGAAGAGATATCATTCCCAGAACAGAAAAGTTGCTCTCATGGGGTCCAATAACTCAATAATGACAGGACTGAGAAAGTACATTGCAAATTATCATGGAGAATAAAATATTCAAGACACTGCATCATGAAGACCCGCATATTCTGGTCTTCACATCACAAGAAACAAAAGCAATTCATAGATATGGCAATATTTATTTAAAAATATTTTACTATTAATATTCTAATTATTTACTGCTAATATTCTAATTTTTTTCCAAAGAGCATGTTCAAAATTAGACTTACATAATAAATTAATTAGAATAAAGAAACAATAGCATTTTTTATTGCCTTTGTTTATCCAGAAAACATAAAATAAGAGTTGCTTTATGGTAATTAAATAGCTAAATATTCTGCATATGAAAAACAAATGCATTTATTTTCTATACATAGTGGCTCTTTGTAAAAAAAAGAAAATGTACAGTTAGACTTGAGATTAATTGCTTTGATAAAATTATGTGGAGTTTTCAGTTTCAAATTTGGTCTTTGTTTTTAGATGGTAGTTAGAAGTTAGCTAGATAATGGATTTCCAACCTCATTAGCCAATGCTCGAATATCCTTAGGAATGAGTTCGTTACCTCAGAGATGAATAATGAGTGATATCCTTAGTCAATTCAATTGTTTTTAAGAGTAACTCACAAGATTCAAAATGGACTAAGATGATTTCACTTTTATCTTTTCTTCCCTCTCCCACTCTTGGATGGGGTTTCTTTAGCAGATGCAAACACTAGCCTTTGGAAATGTTTCTTTCTATGTGTTCATTAGGCTTGTCCTAAATACAGTAAACTTGTAGAACACAAACTACAAGAAAGTGCAAATAACCAGATGGCTTTGTGGTACCCTATCCTCCCACCTCTCACAGTGACATCCCATCCCTTCATGGGTCACCATTTAAACAGCCTTCTGAATTGTCCAAGAAAGGTTAAATTATGTGCAATATAGTTTTAGTATTAAGTGTATTTTATGGCATTATCTCCTTGAAAATTGGTATTTATGGCAAGTTTCTATTAATTAGCCTATGTGATTAGCAAGAATATCCACCATATGTTTTACTACATGGAATTTTTTTTAAACCACAATTTATTTTTAAGTATTTAACCTTTGCTTTTTCATACCTTGACACTGAGCAGGAACTGAATGTATTATTCAGTTGAAATATCATTTACTGTTTAATCCTAGAATTTTGAAATCTCTGTCTACATGCAGAAATACCGTCTCAAAGGAAGGAAGCAGCAATAAATCAGAAGGAAGATAGGAAAGGGAAGATACTTACTAGAATCTGCCCTTGCTTGCAGTTCTCTCGCTTGATTGAGGAGGTTCTCGCTTTCGTCTTTATGGTAAATGATCTGAGTATCAATCCCGCTCACAGCCTACAAAGTGATTGGGTGGAGAGAGTAAGAACGACAGCACAAGGACTTTTTGTGGTTTTAGGATTTCAGTGACACAGTTTACCTGCTAAACACCAAGCAAAATTCATACAGCTGCATTTTCATAGCTCAAAATTAAGGTCAGATGTGAACATCAGACAACAATGTCCTTGGCACTGTCAAGATAAATGTTTTTTGAGGAAAATTCAGTGAATCAAGAATAGTGCCTGGCCAAGGCCCTGCCAAAGTGCTTGTCATGGAGAGGCCACTCAATAAATAATTTTTGAGATGAAAAAATTTGAATATATGCATAAAGCATCTTCGCTATCACTAGGACTAGTCTTAAATATGTTTTATTCAGGGACTGTGGCTTAAAGAAGCTGTCAAGGAACTGGCATTTGCTGACTGGAGTATGGCACATCTTGAAGAACTTGCACTACTGAAACCTTCATAATATAAATAAAATGGTCTTTTCTAGGTTCTCTTGCCCTTTCTGCCATTTATATTAGACAGGAAGCTCAAGAGACGATTTTGAAAACAGAAATTTCATAAACTGGGAAAAGGTAACGTATAAATGAACTTTAAAATAAGTGAATACTCACATCATAAATTCGGTCGGTGATGTTCAAAGCCAGTTCTGCCGTTTCATTGGCTTCACTAACATAATTGGCAATCTTTTCATAGACGTTTGAAGCGTCCAAGGCCTTCTGTACCAGCCCATTTGTATCTGAACTGTGCAAATTCCTGTTAATGAACAAACTTGTCATCATTTCTCCTTCTTATCTCTTTGAGAAATGGGGCCACTTTTAGAGCTTGATTTTAATACTCCTGAGACAACAGAGACTTCCTTTCTGTTGTTCAGTCACCTGGCTTTTCTGAGCTGCCCTTCCTACGGGCGCATCTTCTTTGCATTCCTCTGACTTTGCTGCCCCCAAGACTTCACCCCATTTTGGCTCCTTGGCAGCTGCCTGCCTGGCAGTAGCCACAGAAAAGGGGATGATGATTTAAAAATAGCCCTCTGCACCTCTTCAAGCAGGAGTTTGTTTATGCAGTGGCAGTGAGGCAGAGGAATGAACCCACACTTGTCTACACCTACTATTTACCCAAATCTGCGTTGTTATTCCCTTTCCATGGAGGAAACCAAGACTCCCAGAGAGGATGCAGAACCTCAGCATGGTGTTAAGTATTAGTTGGTTTCACTCTATTCAACCTTATTTTCCTCATTTTATACAACAGATTATATTTTTCTTTAAGAAAAGGAATAACATGTACTGAGCATCTATGTGTAGCTACTGGGCAGCCCCGTCCCATATATTATGTCCTTAATTTTTACCACACCCATGGCGTAGACATCGTTATTCCCTTTTCATAAAAGAAACTGAGGCTCAGAGAGGGGGTGCATAGCTTGCCCAGGGCACACATTATTAAGGTCTGTCTGATCACTGAGGCCTAGCTGCCTTCCTTAAGCGCACAACCCACTCGCGCCCAACCCCACCACTGCCCTGTACAACATGTTCTCTGCCTTTAATCCTTTCTGGCCTCTATAAGGTTCACCTAACATTTATTGAGTGCCCATCATGCAGTGGCCACTCACATAGGGGCTAACAGTAACTGCCTCATGTGAGGTACAACAGGGATAAAATATGTTGAATGCTTGGCATCATGCCTGGCATACAGTAATCACCACAGTCTATTATTATACCTAAACTATTTCCTGAACTGGAATTTCAAACTGTGTGTGCAGCCACACAATAATTCACATTATTGACAAATACTTTTTCGTCTATAATATAAACTCCACCTTCCCCTTCCGCAGCTCATCCTAAATCCTTTGTCTTAATTTTATTCAGTCTTAAATCCACCAGTTCCACATGTTTTTCTCAGTTCCAAACATTGCTGCCTAGCATCATTTAAGTCATGCATAACTTCTAGAAGTTTCTCTGTGACCCAGTATACAACATTGCAGAACCCATGCTGGCTCATCACTTCAAACCTCCCTGACCTATTGAGCTCAGTCAATTGTTTCTCAGCCTCCTCTATCCAGTTTCAGTCTCTGAATGCACTCTTAGGCTCTGAGCGACTTCCTCTGTATTTCCTTGGCTACTTCCTTCTCTTTTGTCCAATCTATCATCATTCTGGCTCCTCTGCAGCAGGGCTGTCTTATTCCGTAGGCACAGTAGGGGCCCACAAAGGTGTTTTCGTTTCATTTTTTTTTAAATCAGAAGAAAGAAATGAGGATAATGACAATAATTACATTAGTCTTTATATCAATGCAGTCATAAAACGTAATTTTTGATTTTTTTTATAGAGGAATGGGCCCACTGAGGCAAAAGTGCCTGAGGCTCATGAAAGTCATAACGTAGCCCTGCTCTGCAGAGGTAATTCTAATCCAAATACTTGCTGTTTGTTCCTCCCCACAACCCCTTGTTCTTAGAAAAGGCTCAGAAAGTACATCTGAGGAAATTTTAATAGAAAGGGATAAGAGGAATAAAACGTTACAAATATTTATTAGTATTTTTAATTTTGCTGGCTAGAGTGGTAAGATGATGCACCAAAGAGCTCGAAACAAGGTGTTTATTACTTTGTTTTTATTACTGGGCACAAAACAGGTATCACATCAATATACAAAATAAAAATGTACTTTTGAAATGGAAGCTTCTTGATGAATTATATTTATCTCTGTTTGAGGGACAACATGCAAATCATTGGGTATACCATTTGGATGTTGAAGAATATTCACATGTTGAAGGGAAGTCATCTATAAATGTAGATGTTTCCCTGAATATGTTTAGTCAGAAATACCCTAAACACAAAAGGGGCTTCAAGGTGATTGATAGTCTGATCATGTGTCATGCAAAGCATGGAGTAATTTGCTGAGAATCATGCTAGGACACTGTTTCATGCAGAGTGGCATTTAGAAAAGGTATGTATTGGGATCCCAATCAATGGGACATGGTTACTAAAATGACAGAAGAACAATGAAGACAGCCACAGGACAGATCTCAAAAACAATATTCAACCAGTACAGTATATTATCAAAACCAATATTTTATCCAAGATCCATTTTATTGATTTTATCAAAACACATTTCTTGGGAGTATGACACTGAGATGGATATTACCCCATCTCACACATCAAGATCTTATGTGACATCTATTTGTCTCTCTCTCCCCCCCCCCCCCCTCAATTCTCAGGAGATTTGGAAGGATTTGAAAATTTTGGCTATCAGGAATAAAAAGGTGATTTAAGTTTTGAACAGAAGTTAATATTGTTTCTTATTTTATTCATGACCTTTACTGATCCTTGTTTCTAATTGCCAGATTTGTAGACTTTCTCTATAATTATCTCATTATTTACCTATTATTTCAGGATCATGAATTCAATTCCAATCTTTCAGTACATTTCAGTTAACACTAATTGAGTGCCCAAGGGGTGTGTGACTCTCTTCTAGATGCTGCGAGGAAAATTGTCAATTGATTTTCTCTTAACGGGTGTTGAAATCAAATGGTTCTTGCTGAGCACTGTGGAGTGTCTAGATAGAGAATTTACCAGAAGTCACTTGTGTTGCCGACTTCCAACCAGCTTTATTTAGGACACTTGGGTGTGGAGAGCTAACACTGTTGATGAAATAAATGGGTGCTGATGATTGATTTAGACTTGTATCCGGGTCGATTTGTTTGATAATATTTTGTGCAGCAGTTACTCCCCTAAACAAAATGCATTAGGTCATCCTATTAATAATTGTGGAACAGAACTCCCTCACCCCTAACACAAGTTTCTAATCTGAAAGATTTTTTTAAAATCAAAAAACTGTCTCCCCAAAGAAATAAGTAATGATTGGCTCTGACCAACCAACAAACAAATCAACAAACAAGCAAACCCTACCCTCAAACCAACCTGCTAACATTCTATCCCCATTACTCTGGCCTGCAAAATTAAGTAAAAATAAGTTATTCAGCCTATGTAGATATTTGCATTTCTAAAACCAGGCTATTACCTGCTCAATTCATCAGCCTCTTGTTGAAGGTTCTGTGCATGGTCAACAGCTTCTTGGACTAAATCATGACTGAGGTTACTTAAGTTGGATAGTTTTCCTTGTAGTTCATTTTTGGCTCCATCTATTTCGGCATAAATCCCTGATGCATTCTAAGGAAATATTTCAAAAAATGATTTGAATTTAGAGGCACTTAAGATATTTGTCCCAGGGAGCACCAGAAGATAGTCTCTATTCTTCCTTATTATGAAGTTCAGTAAATTCAGGCCAGGTCTACATGCGTCTAAAATATTATAAGTAGATATTTGTCTGTTTCTCTTGCAGCTTCAGCTCCCTCTCTCCTGATTGCTCTCCTAGCTTTCAGCCATGCTCTGCCATCTCCCATCTGAAGAGAAAATGAAACTAAACTAAACAAAAACCCTCCATTATCCACGTCTCCCTAGTCCCTCTACTCTTCTAGTCCCTTCATAGCAAAATATCTCCAAAAAAAGGTGTTTATGCATCTGTCTCTATTTAAGCACTTTTTAATTCACCATTTTGAGCAATTCCAGTCTGCTTTTTACCTCACGACCCCACCAAAGCAGAAGCTCGCTTAATGGCATCTAAGTAACTAAATCTAATGGGCGTGATTCAGTTCTCATCTTATCTGACTTCTCAGCCGCATTTCATGTGGTCGACTCCTCTCTCTCTGAAACTCACCTTGTGACATGACCTCTCTTGGCTTTCAGTCCAACCATAGACCTATGGTCTTGGCTAGAGATCACGCAACTGTGCAGATAGATGCGGCTGCTGTAAACCTATAACCTCCAGCCTTGGCTGGGCCCTCAACGCTGAAAGTGAATTTGCTCTCTCAGTCCTCAAATAGTGATTCTAAACATTGTCACCATTCACAAACCAAATAATAATTCCTTCCCCCACCTTCATCTGATTCTAAACAGGTCAGTTTATTTTCTTTTTTATTTAGAAGTCACAAACCCAACTGTTGAGGGGAACACTTTTTCCACACTGCTGATGTTCCCTCCCTTTGAAGGGAGCTCGATTAGCGAAACCCCAGACCTCTCTGCCTTTTCCTCACTCTGTCCCTGAGAAGGGAAGTGGTTTATTTGATTGGCACATTTTAGGGGAATAACTATACGGGCTCTGCTCAACTCCACCCTTCTGCCTCTTGGGAGAAACTGCCAGCAGAAAGCCTGAGTTTTCTGGTGTTCCTCCATAACGAAAGCTGTCCTGGGCGGAACCCCCATGTGAACCCTGCAGTGTTGCCTGGCTGGGTGGGCAGATCGGCCTAATTCTGGGATGGAGTATCAGCAACCCCACTTGGCTAAGAGACCTGAAGCCACAGTCTCAATTTAGCTGCAGCAGAAATAAAGGTGATATTCTTGGCCTTCACATTAGCTATTTCATTTATTTTTAAACTTGTTTAGAACTCGCGTGCTGGAAAGGGGTGCTACTTATTGGTAGCCCCTCAGAGACTCCAACACCAAAAAAAAGGAGTTTCCCCAACTTTTTGCTACCATCCCCCAGCCCTCCGCCCCAAACCCTATACATACACTGATTTATAGCTACATCCATACATACATTTTCCTCATATTTTCAGAAGAAGTGTTCCTTTCCTGTATAAGGCATGCTCCCCTATTTTCTCAGTGGCCCTGATTTCTGTTCTTGCTTCCTAGCTACTGGCTCTTCTCAGATATAAACATGTCCAAGTTTCTCCTATTCACAAGCAAACAAGCAAAACCTATTCTGTGACTCTAGCTTCCTTCCAGCTTCTTGTCTTGTGTTGATGCAGTGCACTCCACAGAAGTGGTTCTTGGCAAGGTCCCCAGTGTCAGAAGCCATATTGCCAGATCCATTCTACATTTCCCGTCTTTATTTCCCAGATCTATCTCTGGTTTGTGACAGGGTTGGTCACTGTCTTGGCCTTAAAACTCTCTCTTTTCCTAGCTTTTGTGATGCTACTTACTCCTGGGGTCCTATTTCAATGGTCAGGCAGAAGCCTTAAAAGCTGGTGATCTCCAGGGCTCGTCTCAGCATTTCCTTTCTGAATGATCGAACCCCTCTTTCTGAGCCCAGTCTTTTAGTCTTCCAATCCACTGTCTACCATCCAGCAGGAATGGTGATCTTTCAATTAAGCAAACCTGATCATGTTATTTCCCTTCTCAAAATCAGCCAATTGCATTGCAAGAACAAATCCAATTACCTAGCTGGGTTCATCAACTGACCCTTCCTCTCTCGCCAATCTCATCATTTCTTACCCCTCCCCACCCCATTATATCCCATAGGCCAACCCTGACTAACCGATGTTTTTTAATGCTCCGTAATTTTTTATGGCTCCTGTGTCTTTTCACATAATATTTTCTCTGTCTGGAATAACTTTCCTTTCTTTTCTATCTGATCCACCTGCAAAAGTTCTACTCATCTTTCCAAATTCAGCTCAAATATCACTTTCTTTATGAAGCCATCTCTAATCTCTCCAGGGTGAGTTCAGGGTTGCCACATATTTCTATTATCCATATACTACACTACTATAATCATTTTACACTATTATTCCACCCACCAGCTTACATAATCTTAGAAGGCAGAAACTGTGTTTAATTTATTTTTGTATTCCCAGAATGTAGCACAGGTCCTAGCATATGGATTTATTTTTATGGAGACAGTATTAAGCCTCTTCTCATTTGGTCGGTTATCTGGGGAACAATACTTTGAAAAAAATTGTATTTCATTGTATAAGCAGAAAAAACACTACAGACATTCCACTTTACTCATTAATTCATTCAATAAATATGCACTTTGTGCCCACTATATGCCAGGCACCCTTTTAGAAGAGAAGATATGTAGCTATGAACACAGTCTCTGCTCTCAAGGAATTTACAGTCTAGTGGGAAGATACAGATAATAAACAAGTGATCAAATAAATGAACAAGCTGATTTCCAGGAGTAAAAGGTATTTTAAATAAAATACAATAGGTGGGACGGGTTGGAGCGTGATTGAGGGTAAGAGCCCCACTTGATGGAATGTTCACAAGGACACCAGCCATTTGAAGTTCTGAGGACAGCAGGTGCAAAGGGCCTGAGGCAAGAAAAAGTATGGCGCACTTGAAAACCAGAGAGGAATTGGAGTGTAATAGAGAGGAGTGGGCTGGAGCAGAGTCACTTAGGGCCTCAGAGGCTGTGGTAAAATGAGCTTATTTCTTACTTTAAATGTCACCGGAAGTTTTATGTGGGAGAAATAATGTGATCTGATCATGTTCTTAGGAGATTGTTCTGCTACTGCATAGAGAATGAGTCTTGAGGGGCAAGGGTGGACGCAAATGGATCAGCAGGAGGCTCTTGTGGCAGTCCACGCTGGAGACGAGGTGGCCCGGACTAAGGAGCAGCAGCAGAGAAGAGAAATCAAGTGAGAAATCAGGATTCATTTCAGAGCTAGGGCCAGCAGGTCTTGCTGAGATGGGAACGAGGAGAAAGGAGATATCAAGAATGACTCCAGAGTTCTGATCTGAGCAATTGGATTGTGCCACTTACGGAGATGGGGGAAACTAGGGAAGGTGGTTTGATTCAGAATATGTTACCCTTACTGTGACTATTACACATCTAAGTGGTAGATGAAATTGTGATTGTGCTGTATACCACACACAGTTCTTACTTGAAAACATCACGTAAGCATTTGGATATGAGTGTGGAACTTGGTGGAGGTATCGGAGCCAGAGGTGTACGCTTTGGAATCATCCACATAATTGTTCTTGAAAGTCATGGGATTCAAGGGGATCAACTAGGAAGAGAGTATAAGCAGAAAAGATGGCCCAGGACTGAGCCCTGAGCTCATTATCCAGAGTAGCAATAGACTGGCCCAGTGCCAAGTATGGCCCAAGAACTGTTTTTATATAGCTCCCAGCTGAAAACATTTTTTACATTTTTTTTTTTTTTTTTGTGAGGAGATCAGCCCTGTGCTAACATCCGCCAATCCTCCTCCTTTTTTTTTTTTTTTTTTTTTTTTTTTTTGCCGAGGAAGACGCCCTGGGCTAACATCCGTGCCCATCCTCCTCCACTTTATATGGGTCGCCGCCACTGCATGGCTCGCCAAAGCAGTGCGTTGGTGCGCGCCCGGGATCCGAACCAGCGAACCCCGGGCCGCCGCAGCGGAGCACGCGCACCCAACCGCTTGCACCACCGGGCCAGCCCCTACATTTTTAAAGAGTTATAAAAAACTAAAAACAAACAAAAAACAAAAAATAAAGGAAAATAAGGAAGAGCAGTTGTATGTGGCCCGCAGAGCCTAAAATATTTAGCACATAGAGGATGTGCAGATGTGAAGCTGGCAAAAGAGGCTGGGAAGAAATGGCCAGTGAGGTGTCGGGGAGAACCAGGTGAGAGGGGTATAGAAGCAGCCAGGATGGAAGCTCTGAGTGTTTACACTAGGAGGGAAGGTTAATTAGCAGTGAGACTGAGAAAGCTGAGGCGAGAGAAACAACCAATGTTTGGGCTATGTTGAGTTTGCTGGCGACCTGGACAAGAACAGTCTTGGTGGAGGGGCATGGAATCCCATTCGGAGTGGGTTGCGTACAGTGGACAGTGTGGGGCTGGGAAGCGGAAACAGGAACTGTACATGACTCTTGAGATGTTTTGCTGTGAAAGTGAGCAAAGTAATGGGGCAGAAATTAGAAGGTATGTAAGCAAAGGCTTTTTCTTTTTAATTTTTACAAGATAGGAGCTACTAGAGCATGTTTGTATGTTGGCAGTAATGATCCAGTAAAGAGTAGGAATTGGATGAAACAGAAGAGAGAGGGTATACTTTTAGGAATGAAACCCTGCAACCCTGTTTTTGAACTGAGGAAGGATGGGATTCAGAGCACAGGTGGAGGTGACAGGAGAAGGGATACTTCATTAATTATAACAGGAAGGAAGGTAGAAGTGTGGATACAGATGCAGGCGGGCTGGTAGATTTGGGGAGGAAGATGAGGGAAGTTCTCTTTGTTCCTAATTTTTCAGTGAAGCATGAAGCAAATTCACCAGCCAGACTGATACAAGGGGAGGTGGGTTGCCCACCACTCATGTTGGCTTCTCTGGTATGGCCATGATGCTGGAGATACTTGGGTTTACTGGGATATGGGTTTAGAATTCTCAGGTGAGTATAGTAGGGGAAGAGGTGGGTATGGAAGTTGAGGCTGTTTGCAAAGAATGATTATATTGATAATTTTAGCTATTTAAGAAGGGAAGAGAAAATATGAGAAGAGTAAGATAAATGAGGTGGAGGAGGTCTCCATGGTCGGAGAACTGTTGGAGAGGGTATAAGTGAGATAAGAGATAGTACTCAGGGAGGGCGGTGCTTGATACTGGGATTTGGGAGGAGATACTGTTATTGATGACAAGACCTGCATATGGCCATAGGAGGGATAACAGAGGTGGACTGGAGAAAAAGCTTGTTGGATAGGAGAAGATAAAGGAGCCAGAGGTCTGAGAGCTGGTGGGCTCATCCTTCTGGATTTTGATGTCATCAAGGACAGTGATGGGAGTAGGGATGGAGGGGAAGACAGGAGCTTGGTGCTGAAATAGTCAAAGAATGAGATGCTGATCAGATGACTTTAAAATGATATCCTTTCAAAGGTAATAAAAATGAGCTAAGAGTAATTTCATGATGGTTTGGTTCATTGCATTTTATTGGAAAATTTCTACTTTAAAAAATGACTTTTATTGATTTTGAATGCCAGTTTTATTAAACACACAACTTATGAGTAAGAGTAGGTAGGATGGATTTAGATCTGCCCTTTCAATAGAACTTTCTGTGATGATATTTGTGCTGTCCAATATAGTAGCCACTAGCCACACGTGGCACTGTTGAGCACTTGAAATATGCCTAATGCAACTAAGGAATTAAAATCTCAGTTTTATTTTAAGTCAATTAAATTTAAATTTAAGTGGCCACCGCAAAATAAAAGGAATTCAAAAATTCAGTCACCTGATCTTATTCTCATAATGCCCAATAACTTGATAGATTTGAATTGGATTCCATCACTCTTCTGTGACACTGAGCCGCTGTTCCAATCTGCTATAAACACAAACTTGAACAAGTCGCATGCGTGCTTACCTTTATCATATCATCAAATTCTGAGAGGGTCAGACGAGGCGTTGTCAGAGAATCTGAAGACGTCCTCAGAGAAGCGTTCACTCCTTCCATCTGTTCCCTCACTCTCTCATGTTGTTTCTGCAGGAAGGAAGAGAAGGGAGAGAGGAAGAGAAGCTCACTTGAGAGAAAGCAACAGGGAGAGCAGTAAATGTCAATTTGCTGTCTTTGCACTCAGAGAAATCTGGGGTCATATCCCAGTCCTACCACCTAATTGCTGTGCAACTTTGGGGAATTCTACTAGTCTGATTGATGCTCAGTTTTCTCATTTATGATACGGAGATAACAAACGGAAGCACCTTGGGAGCTTCGAAGCACTGAGTTATGATTATTACTTACAACATCATCATCGCAAAGAGAGTGGACACTTCACAGGGCCTTTTACCCTTTTGTCCATAAATGTAAAGCAGGACTATGGATACAGGATTGAACATAGGCTCTACGTTTGCACTAATTGGAAAATGAATTAATTCAAAAAAGCATTTATCATATGTTAACTTTGGCACAAAGCACAAATAGCTCATTTGGATAGGAATAAAACATATACAAACCAATCTTAATGTCCTTTAAAAATTTGTAAATGGCCTCATTATCAAAGTATAAAATTGTGATCCTGCTTCCTAGCACTTTGAGCTCTTTATGTTAGATGCTCAGACTTTTTGAGGAAGAATATTGCCCAAGTGCTAATATATGTTTTGATGAATGCTTTAATTTCTACCTTCACTTTTGGGTTCTAGAGGCAGGCATGCTGTTTCAGAGTTTGAAAGCAACACAGAGTGAAACTTTAAGAGGAAAAAGTAAAAGACTCATTTTACAATCTGAGTAAAAAAATGAGTTGAAGTTACTTTAGAAACGGCAATGTAAATTGAAGTTGAAATATAAAAATTACGGTGTAATCTAAGATATTGTAGAAATAATTGCAGAAGCCTAGATATAGAAGGACATACTTTAAAACTTTCTAAGTTTGTCTCAATGTCTTTCTTACTTCCTGCAGTCTTCCCTAATTTGGTGAAAAGGGACATGGAATCCATCTTCTCCAAATACGCTCCTATAGGGGAACACATAGGTCTAGGGACAGAAAAGAATCCCATTTGAACATCTTCTTAACGCAAGAACATTAAAAAAAATCAAGTTCCCCTCAAAATTCACCAAGCTTAATACAGTGTGACTATCTGGGGTTAATTATTCTTATCTCCACAAGGAGAGGGAGTTATACAGCTCTACACGAAAGCAATATTTTAAAGTATGTGTATTAAAGTACGTAAGGAAGGGAGGGGAAAAAAGCTTGGTATTATTTAACTCTCTCAGGGCAGTTTTCCTTTTACAGAGTCTGAGATATGACACCTTCTGGAAGCTCTTGTATCTGGTCGCCTTAAGGGAACACAGCCAACACCCTGAAGTCAGAGCCAAACTTCAAAGCCGTGTGCTAACAGCGCTGCATGGTACGTTCATTTGCAGTAGTTGGAAGATGATATGGCTCAAGTTAAACGGTTTCCCCCGCTTACAACATATAGCATTAGATGGAAATGCATAAAATTAGCTGTGAAACAAAGATATTCCCGTAGAAAGATGGTCCATTTGAACAAAAGAAAGTTTTAGAAACTAATAATTGTGAAAATGACATCATTATTAGCACTATTCGACATGTTTCAGTATCCATTTCATATATGCAAAAAATAAAAAAAATTTTCTAATCCTTAAAAAAGATGATAGAAACAGTCCTGGGAAGGCAGAGCTTAGGTTTAAGAGAATCCCTCAATGGTGACAATGCTTTTTAGAGACTATTTTACCTACATACTTTTAAAATATAGAATCTTACATTCATCTGACATGGATTTTTATCATTCTGCTACTCTTTGGTGTTGAAAGTAGGATGGCGAAATAAATAACGTAATTATTAGTTGTGTGGCTATGGTTTGCACACATCAAAATGATTAAACTATGTGGTTATTTTTGGTTTCGTATCAAGACTAGAATGTTGGTGGTGTTCTTTTCTAAGCCATGCTGTAGGTTCTAACAGTGAAATGTGACATTAAAACCCCTAAGTTTAGTGAGGAGACAGATCCATTAACAGATGATCACAATACAGAAACAGAGATATGTACAAGGCACATTAAAGGATTGCTGGAGAGGAGTACCTATTAATGTGGAGATGATGGGGTTGGCCTTCTAGGGGAGGTGATGTGTGAGGTAAGACTTAAAGGATGAGTGAGGTTGTTCAGGCAAAGGAGAAAAGAAAAAGAAGTCTGCATTCCAGGCAGATGGGGTTACTGGTAGTGTGATACTGCCTGGACTAAAGGGAACCAGCAAGCGATGAGGCCAAGGAGGCTAGCCAATCAGAGAGAGTCCCCCAGGCCACAAGAAAGAGCACAGTCTATCCTATAGGACAGAGTCTTTCAAATGTTTGTAACCAAGATGCACAGTAAAAAATGCATTTTATGTTGCAACCCAGTACATATACATAACTAAAGCAGAAATGTGATGAAACCATACCTTACTGTAGGTGATGCATTTTAATATTTTCTATTCCATTTCATTTATTTTTTCTCTTTAAAAAATGCTGACTACAACCCTCAAAACTTATTTTATGATTTACTAAATGGTTCACAAGCTGTAGCGTCAAAGGCACTGCTATAGGTTGTAAGGAGAAAAGTGAATGGTCTTAGTAAGAGCAAGAGGTGACTGTCAGAACTGTGATTTGATAGGGAGTCTAATTCAAGCCAAGGTCATGCAAATATAAAGAGGTGAGAAGGGTGGTCGCTCTGGCAGGGTGGAGAGGATGGAAGGGTGTAAGAATGGAGGGGAGAGAGGAGGATGCTATTTTGGTTGAGAAATGATGAAGACCCAAGCTAGAGAAGTTATAGAGGAATGGAAAAGAGGGAAGAGAGCTAAAACTATTCTGACGGTAAAATTGGTTGACTAGATGCGGGTGTGGGGAAAGAAGGAAAATTCAAGGATAAGGATGAGTCCCAGCAACTCTCTTGAAATTTGCTTGAAGAAATTATTATTTTGTGTTACACTTATAATTTTGTTGTGTAAGATAATCATGCATTTGTTTAACAAAGAATGCTATCCTGTTATTATTCTAAAAAATATTGGCTAAGGGGTTGCTCCTAGTAGAAAAGGGTGGTGATAAGTGTAATTCACTCTTATTTAGGAAATTTTACAGTGACTTACTGAGAGGTAGTGATGACTGAAAATCAGGGCAGAGAGCGTAATTTAAGTTTGTTTTGCCAACAATAAAAATAAACATAACTGAATGAATGAATCTGCTCATAGTTGTTTCCTATATTTGACATTGATTTTTCACTCTAATCGTTATAAATATCTCCAAAGATGCACATGTCTTTCCATCAGGAGATGACCCATCTCAAATGTGGTGGTTGTGAGTGCACGTGTTGCTCAGAGCAGACACGTGACCACCACCAATTCTCAGCCCTCTGGGTGTGGGCATGCACATATCCTGGCCCATAAGGATGACCCGCTTTGCAAGCCATGGCCATGTCTGGGAATTCTTCTCACCTCTTTATATTTGCATGACCTTGGCTTGAATTAGACTCCCTATCTCTGCAGCTGCCGACCAGCCAGGCTGTGAGATTTGCTTATCACACCTTGCCAACAATTATACATACCCTTATAGAAACATGGTTCTGGGCTGCTTTGAAGTTCTAGTGCTCTCAGTATAAGTTATGCCCAGGAATAGCACATTGCTTACTCACTTGCAAGTGCAACACGTCCAAACACATGAACACAAGCACTAAGAACAATTGTGTTTTTATCAACGCAAGAGCTAAACAATTATGAGTTTCAACTTGATTTGAGGTGCACACACCTAAATTAGCAAATTACAGTGGCAAAAAATGTACAAATATTTAAAATATATGAATATTTAAATGTATCAGTATTTTAAAAATTGTATACCAACTGTCCCTTCTTGGTGTAACTTCACATTGTCTGTGCCTGAAATGCATTTACAGTTAGTGTCCACTGTACCTCGTGGTCCCGCTGCCTGGCTGCTGTGGCTCTGTTCATATCTTCTGCATCCCTGACACGGTTAAGGGCCTGGTCAAGTGATTCCTGGAGGTCTGACAACTTAGCATGGTAGTCGTCCAGCTGCTCCAGGACGACAGGAAACAGAGAGCGAGTGTCATTGTACAGCCGCTGCCAGCTCTCAGCCTGGCTCAACACTGGGAAGAAACGGACACAGAAACTGAGTGTGGGCTTCTCCCATCTCCTCCCATTCCACCCAGCATTTAGCAAAGATGCAAACTTGTCAGGCTGTGCCTTCTTTAGCAACACAGATTGAAGCTGTTGTTCACAAAAACGGCCCCATGTTTTATATTTAAAGTAAAAAAAATACTATTTTGTAGGGTTTGGGAGCTCCTGGACTACAGTTAGCTAAAAGGAGAGTTTGATGGGCTGGCCCCATGGTGTAGCAGTTAAGTGCACGCGCTCTGCTGCTGGCAGCCCGGGTTCGGATCCCGGGTCTGCACCGATGCACCGCTTGTCAAGCCATGCTGTAGCGGCGTCCTACATAAAGTGGAGGAAGATGGGCACAGATGTTAGCCCAGGGCCGTCTTCCTCAGCAAAAAGAGGAGGATTGGCGTGGATGTTAGCTCAGGGCTAATCTTCCTCACACACACACAAAAAAACAGTTTGATTAGTTTTTCCTTGGGGTTGATAGTGACAACTATAGGAAAATGATCTAGCACAGGTGTTCTTAAGCCTTTTTGTGCCATGGACCCCTTCGCAATCTGGTGAAGCCTTCAGACTCCTTCTTATATTTTGAAACACATAAAATAAAATACATAGAATTAAAAAGGAGACCGATATACTAAAAAACAAACGGGTACTATAATAACATATGTGTTTCTTTATTAATGCATTAAATAACAAGATTCAGAGGTGAGACTAATAATTACTGTAATTTTGAATTATTGATGAACTTAATGTTGTGAGATCACAGCAACAGCTAAAATATGATATGCAAATCTCTAACTTCTTTTGTTGATTACGTAGATTAAAATGGACACAAATTCTCTGCAACTCTTTCCATCCAAAGTGGAATCTATTTCTTCAGTTCTTGAATCTTGGCTGGTCTTAACCAATAGACTGGATATGACATTGTTGAGTCCCAAGCCTGGGCCTCAAGAGACTTTGTACTTTCCATTTTTGCCCCCCTGGAAGTCTGCTGCCATAGGAACAAGCCTGGGCTAGCTTCCTTGAGGCTAAGACCCCACATGGAGGGAAAAGCCCAGCCATCTCAGCTAAGGTCCCAGAGACGTGAGTGAGCTCAGCTCATTCCACAAGGAGCAGGGATGAGCTGTCCAGGTTGAGTTCAGCCCAAATTGCCAACCGATGAAATCATGAGCAAATAAATAGTTATTGTTTTAAATGAGTAATTGATAACTGATATAGGAACCAAGTCATGTTTGCTAGTACTATTGTGGTTTGATGTCTTCAGGCATCATTAAAGAAAATGTTAAATTTCCACTGGAGATTAAAAGTCATTCATGGACCTCAGAACATGAATGGTGCTGGTCTTGTGGCTTTACTGCCTTCTCAATATAATTTCTCTTACTGTAGTTCTGGGAATTGGTTCATCTTAGCCTTACATCCCCTATTTTATATGTTTTCACCAGCTGCTAAGTCCCTATTTCTTCTCCTCAGGAGTAAAAGTTTTGTAGATTCCTTGTGGAATCTCAGCTGTTTCTCAACGGCTCAAGGTTGGACTTGGATCTAAAAATCTGGGTCATATAGTCAAGTTGTCCTGAATGACTCCCTGAGGTCATGTCTAAGTTCTTTTTTTTTTTTTTTAATTTTTTATTTATTTATTTTTCTGCCAAAGCCCCAGTAGATAGTTGTATGTCATAGTTGCACATCCTTCTAGTTGCTGTATGTGGGACGCGGCCTCAGCAGGGCCGGAGAAGTGGTGCGTTGGTGCGCGCCCGGGATCCGAACCCGGGCTGCCAGCAGCGGAGCACGCGCACTTAACCGCTAAGCCATGGGGCCGGCCCTCTAAGTTCTAAAATCGCTCTGAATATTGGGAATTGATAGCTTTGACCAAATGTTGCCCTGCAGCTCGGTGTCCTCTCCTAGACCCACAAAGAAAGCAGACGTGTGCTGGGCGCTAGGAGTTGAATACACCTACGTTCATGGGCTTCATCTGCCTCCTCATCCACAAGCTCCCGTTGAGTGAAGAATGGTTGACGGCGTCTAATCTCCTCAAGCATCTTCTGGGCCAACACCAGCTTCTCAGACATCTCCTCAGAGCTAAGTTCTTCCTCCTCTGCGTAATAGATCATCTTGTTGTTGATCTCTGAAAGGAAGGGCATGGTGAGAGAAGGCAGTAGGGAGAGATGTCTGGGCATTTTATAGTGATGCCACTGAAAACATGGGCAAGTGAGGGCAAAGGGCAGGGCTGATATTAAAGTGGAAAGAGAGTCTTGTTCAAAGACAGCATACTGATGTTCACGGCGCGAGCATCAGAGGTCATCATACATTACAGGGACAAGTAAAATCCGAGGAAAACACTCTGCTTCCCATTTGGTGTCTTCAGAATGGGAATGGGATTAATACAAAGCCTGCCCTGACTTCAGCTCCGTCTGGTTTCCACAGTGATTCCAGAACATTAATATCTAAGGCACACAAATCTGGGCTCTTTGATTGACTTTTTATATAAAATATACAACTTGGAGAAAATGCTCTGAGGTATTTCCTGTCATAGGTAGAATGTGCTGGAGGTATTAATTGTATTTTAGCGGAGGATCTGACCAAGGCTCTAAGCCCAAATGAGAGTATATCGATAGTTGTTCAAGTGAGTCTTTCAGATTATTCTGCAGACTGGATAGAAAATAGAGGTTTGTTATAGCATGATGTGAGTTTTTGCTCATTTATATATATATCGTAATTGCTATTTGCTTTCTGTAGTATGACTGCTAGTCAAGATTGGGCCATTCTAACTCTGGGTCATTTTTACTCCACTTCCCTAAGTAGGATGGAGAATTTTAGAACTGGAGGGACTGCTGTGGCTCAGAGGGACTAGATGAGTTGTCTAAATACTAGCATTGCTGAGTAGTTCTCTGACTCTCTCTTCCTCCCACACACGATCCGAGGAAAGTTATGTAATTGCTGCCTTGTCCTATGGCAGCTCCGGGAGGAAGCATTCTATCTTCCTGGCATAAATGAAATTGTGTGTCTGTGGTTGACTATGGTCTATGTGGTTGGCCAGACAAGACGAGTAAACAAACACTGGAGTCCCATAAATCACACCGGGATAAGGGCTTGTATTTTATATGGATAACAGCTTGAAGGTCACCAGAAGTTACTTTAGAGAGGGTTGGGAATAAGGAATGACATACCCTGGGTGTTGTAGGGCATTCCTGAATTCTGAAGGAAGGGAGATAAAGGGATGAAGAGGTTTTCAATGCTATAAATATTACTGAGAAAGTTATAGGGAAAACAAGATATGCCAAAAAAATGTATGAAGGGATTAAACATTCACTTTGCAAGTTAAGTCTAAAATATTAATTCTTGAAATAAACTAAACATAGATATATTTTTCCTCAGATCTAGCACTTGAGATGCTGAATTCTTTGGCATTTTGATGCAAATATTATATTTACAATTTTGGCCTGTTTTAGCCATGTCTGGTATAGATTAGAAAAAGGAAATGTGGGCCATAACATTTTTGCCTTTGGTCTTTGGAGACTGTTCATACATTATTTTAAAAAGGCAAAAATTGATGAAAATTATGGTTTCCTATTTACACTTCTTTTGTATTTTTTTGGTCTTTTCCTATGCTTACAGGGTCAGATAAGAGGGCTTAGATTCTTTCCAAATGAGACACCTTAAAATCAAAAGTTGAGTTACAACAGCAAAGGTGAATGATTTTCTCTGAATGGCTTATTAGGATGTTGGCTTTATTTGCTGCCTAGAGGGACATTTATTTCTTAATTAGATGTGGGCAGCCAATCTAGGTTCAATCTTACTTTTGGAACAAATCAATAGTAACTCTAAAATGTTATAGGAAAAGAATATTTTATTGGTAGATGCAGAAGCATGAGATAGTGAGGATGGGAAAGGGGAATATTTGAAATGGTTTTACTGCATATTACAGGCACCAAAGGAAATACAGCAAATGATTAATCTTGGCTCGATATATCCTTCTGCCTGGCATATGCTTCCTATGCCTGAGTGTAAAGATATGAATCTCCCACCGTGGGTCCCTTTACTGCTATTGTGCCTTGAGATGCACTTGGTGTTGTTATCCAGCTCTTAATATATAGGAGAATAAAAGCTATGGTAACATACAAATACTGTATCTTAGCAGACTGTAACCCAAGGAAATTCTCTTTGTCTTAGAACAAATAAAATCGCCTGTTTTCTGTTGGTGAATTGAAGGCTGGCTTTCAGTGGGCTACTCAGATGGTCTTCAAAATGCAGCCTGCACTTATCAGAAGATAGAGCACACATAAATAATCCTCCAACAGGGAAGGTGAAATCTGCCACAATGATTTAGGGCAAAGAAATCCCACACGCCCCCTCTCCACTCTTCTTCTGGAGCATGTTGCCTGGCTGGTCCTGGGGAAAGAGCATCACAGAGACAGCTTAGGACAACTTGGATTAGTGGACAGTTTGCTGTCACTCTAAAGGTGGTGTGTTTTCACTGCAAATAATCAAGAAAAATGTGACTCCCACTCAACTCTTGCATTTTAGAGACACCATAGCATTCAATTTCCTCTGCTGGAAGAGTATTCTCGCATTCCATTTCTGTGAAATGCCTGGAAAGGGAATGATTCTGTACATTTACTCCTGAAAATCAAGAGATAGTAAAAAGGGATGAGAGCTCAGAAAACCCAGATAAACAAACTTGAAGACCTTATATAAGTTTAAACCTATAATACTCTAAAACAGTTCCTGGCACATAGTAAGCACTAGCAGGAGCCATTATTTTTATTGTTGTTTACAACATGAATGATTCTTTGACATTAAGCTGCACCATGTGAGAATATATTTACCTTGGATTTTATCCCTCATACTGTGGGCTTGCTCTACAAGCTGAGTTGCGTGGTTAATGGTATCCATGCTTTCCTTCTGAGCCAGTTCACTCTTTCTTGAGGCTTGACTTTCCTATAAATAATCCGTATAAACGCCAGATTAAATTTACGAGAAGGGAACGTTGTATATATGCATGTGGCGGTGGGTGGGCATAATGTATTCCATAAACATAAATTTTCCCAGCATGTGAAAGTTCTATAACATATAAAATGGTCCCAGAAATCATGCATGAAGGCCGATGGGATGACCAGCTTTAGAATTACAGAATGCTATAAAATCAGACGCAATTCCTATGCTGTGAGTCACAGTTCAATTCAAACCAACCGCCTTTCATATGCAATCTACTCTTTGAATTTTTACTGTATCTCAAGATGCCAGGAAACTACCCATGTCTGCTGATCAGTTTGACATTGTGCGGGCTGAAAAGCTTAAAAGTTCAAAGGGAAAACTGTTGAGAAAGGAGGCAGATCTTGAAATGCTCCACGAGTCCAGTGGCTCCTGGGTGGTCCAACCAGTGCTGAAACTGAATTACCACAGAGATTTAAAGGATTATGCTCATTGGGCTAAATGACGTTTTCAATGCTGCATTCCAAATTCCCATCCACATTGATGGACCTTGTGTACAAATAACTGCTCAAGCAGATTTGGCTTGGAGTAAATGGAGCTCTTCCTGAGGAGCTGACTCCATTCTGCCAACTTGGGAGCTCCCGTTTCAGAGCTCCCACGTAGTATTTGTCAAAACGAAATCCCAACTCAAACGTGGCTTCTGAAGAAAGGATGTGTGAGTGGGTATGCGTACATGTGTATTTGTGTGTGTGTAAGGACAGAAGCTGATCTAAGAAATGATTCAAGGCCGGGACACTGGCCTGTGTGCACAGTGTGGGGGATGGGTACTTCCTTTTGGCATTAGAAAGACTGACTCATGGGTTGTACTTAAGAGGAGGAGGAGTTGTTCGTCTGGCATTTGGTAAATGCCCACTTGCCTCTTCTGGTGTTTTTTGGCTCAGCTCTGCGACAAAGTGCTGCTGTCCTGAATGGACTGTGGATGACCTGCCCCACGGAGGCTGGTGGACCCACTGCATAGTGTCCCCTGGGACAGGAAAGTGGCCATTTCAGACTTCTCTCCTTTCATCCAGTGTACTAGCCTGACGATTACGCCATGATCTTACCTGCAATGTTTTTACACCTTCCAGGCATAACCCAAGCAAGTGACCCTTTAGTCAAGGAAGAGAAGGCAGAAATGGTATTGTAGCAAACACATGCCCCAGAGGCTTTTTATCGGGCAAGTCCAAAATCCTTTCCATATACAAACCCCTGAGCAGCAGTAATGTGGTCATCAGTCCCTTCCTGAAACAGGGAGCTCTTTGAATGGACATTGCATTCTGAGCCATTGCGTTCCCTCCTCCAATTCCCCTCTTTCTCTTGGTTTGTTCTAATGCTTTCCAGAGACATAAAATTTGCGGTCATTTTGAATTTAGATAATGTGGAAAATAAGATGAATCTTACTCTTGATGTTACCACTCTCCACTTTAAAAAAACATGGACAGAAACATTTAACAGATGTTAAAATTTTTAACAAGTTGATTTTTGATCCAGTTTAAATTGAGTTATATTTGCAAAGCACAACATTCATATTTTTGACTTTGGCTTCATTCCTAAGAGAAAAGGCCTATTGTTACGACTGTGTTTGTTTAAACTATTTCTTGATAGGGAAACTTTGAATTGAAGCAATGAAAGACAGCAGCAGGAGGATGTTGTATCTCTAAGAAAACTTCTTTCTGACAAACACTAGGAGGCACTTATATATATACATAGTTAATAAAAGACTCAATTAGTGGCAAAGAGGAAGATCTATTACATTAAATTACAAAATCACTGGATTTAATATATAGTGTTGCCTTATTTAAATGTTTTATTTTTTTGTGTAACTTTGCTTATGGAGGGAAAATATTGATATGGGCACATGGTAAAGCAGATTCACCTTGCTTTAAGAAAAGTGAAATTATAAAGATAACCTCATAACTATAAACCAGTTGATGGTTTACTTTACAAATAGATTAATCGTTTACTCACCTCAACAGTGAATTCCCTTTGTACATATTTGATATAAAAAGTGGCAAGAACTTTTGGTGCATAAAGAGTAATGTACACAGAATACTAATTTTAATAAAAACTATCCAGATTAAGTGAGGATGGCAATCAATATCTAGGGTAGTCATATACATTATTGTTTAAACAGGGACACTTTTGAGAGTGAAAGGGGAAATTTTAATAATCACTCTGGGAGACAAGCATAACCAGGGGTAGTCCTGGACAACACAACAGTAGGAATATTGGGGTGCCATCTCAGAATCCGAACAGTGATATCTCCTTCTGTGGGTTTACCTACCTCCTAAACATTAATGACTTCCAAATATCTTTCCAGCCTTGGTCTCTCCTCTGAGCTACAGACTCAGATCTCTAATTGCCCTCTGGGTGTCCACAGATACATCACCCTTAAAATGTCCAGAATAATCCACTCTGTATTTTTAGTCTTGGTCATTCATTTCTCCAGGCCAGAGCTTCCCTCCTTGCTACTCCTCATATTGAATCAGTCACAAAATCATTTTTTATTTCACTTGCCATTCTGGCCTTTCTTCCTGTTCCCCATGACCACAGTCTCACTTTACCCTCGTTCACTGCAAATTCTTTTCATAGGAAGGCAAGGTAGCAATCAACTACTCTTATCAAGACAACTGCAACAGTGTCCTAACTAGAGTTCCTGTCATCCCTACTGAAAAGGAATGTTTCCGAAATTTCAAATCTGATTAACTCATTGTTCTAGGTAAATGCTTCAATGTCTTCCAAAGTCCACAGGCTGAAGTCAACATGTTCCTGAGCATGGTAGGCAAGGTTCTTCATGATCTGGCTTCTGAGAACTTCAGAAATGATCTCCCGCTCCTTGCCTTACAATGAATCTTCCACAAGGCCAAGGCCAAAGTTCTTCTAGTCCCAAGAACATGCCATGTTGTTTCACACCTCTGTGCTCTTGTGGTACTTTTCCCTTGCTTGGAAGTGCTTGATAAACTCCTAGTCATTCTTCAATGCACAGGTCAATACTCATCTTCTCTGAGAAGACTTCTTTAATGTACTCCTGCTGAAAGAGTTAATCGTTTCTTCCTTAGTGTTATCTCTTTGGCCTGTACTGTGCCTTTATTACTGAATGGTGCATTATAACTATTTTTTTTCATATCTGTTTTCCTTACTAGACTATGAGCTCCTTGAGAGCAGGGGCCTTATTATATTCATTTCATTGTCCCTAGCACCTAGCACAATAACTGTTACAAACCAGGAGTTAAGTAATGCTTTAGGAATTGAAACATATTCTTATTATTTTATCCTGCCCTTTTGTTGTTGTGTTTGAGGAAGATTGGCCCTGAGCTAACATCTCTTGCCAATCTTTCTCTTTTTGCTTGAGTAAGATTCACCCTGAGCTAACATCCATGCCAATTTTCTTCTATTTTTTGTATGTGGGCTGCCACCACAGCATGGCCAATGAGTGGTGTAGGTCTGCGCCTGGGATCTGAACCCATGAACCTGGGCCACCAAAGCAGAGTGCCCTGAACTTAACCACTCTGCCATGGGGCTGGCCCCTATCCTGCCTTTTTTGCAGGATCAGAGACGAGGCTCAGGTGCTTTTGACGTGTGGAAGTGACCTACTTTCCTTCCAGTCCTAAAGATCTCTTTGCAGGAGTTGATATGCAGGGAGATTTTGCTGTGGCTGAAGGAATAGGCAAGAGATGGAGAAGCGGAGGGGATGGTGCAGCACCCTCCTGAGCCAGCCCTTGGAGACTGGGCTCTGTGACTTGAGGTTCTGCAGCGTACCTTCAAGACCCAGATGGCAAGGGGTAGCACTGAGATTGAGAGAGGGCCCCCATCTCCACTTTTGCTTGTAGGCTAGCACCACTCTGACTTAGAGCACGGTGTTTTGGGGAAGATAGGAGAGTGGGATCTTGACTAGTCTTTGGCACTTTCATTACAGACACGATCAGCAGTGGCAAAGGTGAGGTCCTTTTGAGCAGTGGCTATTGGTGAACACAAACGCATGGGCATCCTTTAGGGGGTTTCCAGAAGTAGGGGGTTGTAGGATTCCAAAAACGGGGCTAGAGGACTTGGAAACGGAGGTTGGGACAAAACCAGTAACTTTAGGTTAATGTAAATTATGAGATTTGGGTCACATGAGATCCATATGTCAGGTAATTCGCAAACAGAGGTATTTTCAAGTTCAAGAGGCAGCATTACTGTGATTTTTATCACTGTAGGAACCTACAGTGAAATCCTTCACTCTTTTTAATGCTAAATATTAGTTATTTTCTTGATAGAAGGCTTTCTAAAACAAAACTTTTCTTAAGTCCTTCTAAGAACCGATCACGGACTTTTCTAGACTAAGGGCTTGAAGGGTGCTTGAGAAGTTATTAAGACCAGCTGTGGGCATTTTTTTGAAATGTTTCAGCAGGGTCTTGCACCATCAGGACTGTTGTCATAGTCAGAGGATGTTATTTTCAATAAGAATCAACGGAAACAGCTGGGTGAATGTTCCAGTAGCTTTATCATAACCTCCAGCTTTAGTGGTCTGTTCTTGTTGTCCAGGAGACTTTTCTACTGTGATGTCACTTTTAAGCTTGCATTATTTCCTCCCTATGAAAGCCTGCATTTAACTTATATTAGAAGAGGGAAAATTGTGAACAAAAGGATTAGTAACTCCATGTCTGAGCTGTTGGAGGAACTAATCTTGGTGAAAACATTTCCTGAAGAATTGAGACACTTTTGGCAAGTTCCAACCATGATACCGAAATGAAATAACAATGAGTTTTTCACAAAGATTTCTTTCTTGGTATTTCCTTTGAAACTTAAGAGATTTCACTGCTCTTCAAATGCTCCTGGTTGGATTAACATGCACCATTGCACGGGAATGAGGGACATAATTTTCATACGCATTTCAGAGTAGTTGTCTCTTCCAAGGATTCAATTAGAGTAATTCACATTTTTAGAAGCAAAATATCTTAAAAGTTTAAGGGGTCCAATATCAAAAGAGATTATCACAGTTATTTTAACCTTTATTTTTGCAGAAAATGAGAATTGTTTTCGAAAAGAACTTCAACAGTTTATAACGTCAAATACTAGTATCGGAAAGCAGAAATTCCAGAGTACTCTGGGCAGCACTGGTGGAGCATAATCAGGAAAAAAAATGTGTTAAACATTTTAATATGTTAAATATGATGCCTTGTGGCTCAGTTGTATTTTTTTTAATAGTACAGAGAATGGATATTTTTCCATTAGGCTATTGGGAAGTTCATTTAATAGTCTCTCACATTGACTCTGCTCATATTTTAAAGTTTTTCTTGTTAATTTATGAGAGCTTTTACAAATCATATTTCCCTCAATATTTTTCTTAGTCTAGTCGACTTTTTCATTTATTTAGTTGCTTTACTGGGTATTTGAAATTTTATCTTGTCAAATCTCTTATCTCTTTTTATTGTAATTCCTCATACTGTATTTAAGTGTATTGTTATTTCCTTTCAAGGTTTAAGAATTATTTAGTTCTGTTTTCTTGTGGATTTGAGATTTAAACTCAAGTCTCTAATCTGTCTGAAATTTATTTTAGAATAGGGTATAAAGTGAGGGTCAAAAGCGATTTTTTTCCCTGCCAAACTGCAAAATTGCTTTCTCAGCACAATTCCTCTTCTTTTTCCTTTTATTATTTAATGCATCCTTTAGCAAACATTTAAATTTTATATTCCGTATAATAAAGCTTATTTCTGGGTGCTCTATAGCTCTCACCCATAAAATGCTAAGGCTAACTAACAGCTGAACGACTATGCTAATTGAAACACATAACAACCATATTAACCAGCAGCAAATATAATGCAAGTTCCCCATAAACATAGTTTTTGAAGGAAACCAATCAAACTGGGAAGAGACGGTAGAGAGCAAGTATATTAACTTTCTCCACAGGTTTTGTCTTGATTTATTTTAAGGCACTTGGGTCACTGCATTTTTTTCTGGGCTGTGTTAAGCCTCAGTCATTTGTGATGAGCCAGGCTCACACCAGCTAAATCCTTTCTCTGAAGGCAGTCCCAGAAACTGAATACATACCGTTTCAGCTAATTCCTCCATGTCAGACAGAAGGCTTTTCATTGTGTTCTCAGCATTGTTGATTTGGATCTTTCTTAGGACATACTGGTTTTCTCTTTCCGACAATTTTGTCTGTGGAAAAATATGTTTTGGAAATCATCAGGAGATGTGCACATCAGGTTTATAAAAATACACATGCAAGTCTTTCAGTGTAAGAGGGCTCAGAGAACGGTGTGAGCCTCTGTTCCCCAGATTATAGGCTCCACAGGCTGCTGTAAGCTGGTATGAAGGTTGGGGTCTGCATGAAGTGCTAAGGGCCTGAGGGGCTGAAATTCTGTGAGCTCCACTCACCAGGCCAGGAACTCTGGCCTGGGCTGTGCTGGCCAGGAGGAAAGGGCACCTTTTTCTAATTTGCACAAAGGCACAGTATAGACTGGTGGAGGCCCTGGGTGTCTAAGCTTTAAAATTTCAATTTTGGCAGGCCTTGGAGGAAATGATCAACACACCCGGATCAATGTAAATGGAGTTTGGAAATTCACTTTCCTCTTTTTTGGTATAAGGAGAGCAATTCTCTTTATTTCAGGCAATTTTCCCTTTCTTTTCCATTTTTGAGGAGTTTGGGCCAAATGTACTTTTTCTCAGATTACTCTGGAGCAAGCCCTTCAATCTTGGCACTGACTTCCTGTCAGCTATAATTATACTTATCCTGAAGTTGTGCTCTTGGGGACAGAGGAGTCGAGTGGTATCAGGAGGCCTGAGTCTGGGTGACTCCTCTGAGAATTAGTGCCTTCCTGTGTCCAAACAGATGATTTTGGACATGAACTATTCCTAAATTTGGAATAAAATGCTTGCTAAGTTTCCATCCAGCTCTACAATTTTGTGATTTTCATTTTGTTTTACACTCTGCATATTTGGCCAATTGCCGTGGATATCATTTGCACCTCCCAAGAGCAGAGTACTGAGCACTTTCTATGCTAGGTACTGTTCTAACTGCTCTTAGAAGAGCATATATATCAACTCACTGAATTCTCTCAACAACCCCTGAGACAGAAGCAGTAATTATCCTCAGTTCCAGATAAGGAAACTGAAGAATAAAGAGGTTAAATAACTTACTCAAGGTCACATAGCTAGTATATATCAGAGCTGGGATTTCAATGTAAGCAATCTGGTTTCAAAGTTTATTCTCTTAACCATTATGCTAAATTGACTAACAAAGCAAGAAAGTGTGCTGGTATTAATTCTATTGTCCTTTCAGCTAATTATTATTATTTTTTAAAATATCTGTAGGTTGTGATAGAAGGCCATGATTTAAAGGGGAAAAAACTACCTCTTAAAGCTTAGCTATATAAGCACTGTTTTGGTCTACTGTTTTTGACTGTTGTCCGCCTTTAGCTTGTTTATTAGATATTAACTACTAGACCTATGAGGAGAAATAGAGCATGTGAGTATGTTTGTGTGAGGTGTGTGTGAATGTGGGAAAATGAGAAAGAATTCGTGCCACTGGGAAGGAAACTTATAGGCATGAGAGAAAGGGAGGGAAAGAGAAAGAGAGGAAGAGAAGTTTCTAGAGGAACTCCTTAAAACATTGCAAATTGAGGTTAAGGTAATGGTTAGGTTTGTGGCAATGACTTGAATAACCCATGTACAGCTTTACTAAGGAAATGAGAGTGTTTCTCTTCCTCGATAGTTTTGTACATGGATACTAGTTTTTTAGTCATTTCATTTCCCATATTAACCTCTTTTATAGACTGCAGCTCTTGATTTAGGCTGAAGCTCATGGTTACAATCAACTTTTCATAATTTTCTAGGTCTAACAATCTGTAACACAGGTGTAACCCCGAGAAACCAGAATGAAAATAGAGCCAAAGGAATGGCACTCCTGCGTACTTTGAGGACGTAGATGGTGGAGTTGATTTCATTCACGTGCCTCTGAGCCGCGGCCCCAGATGACACGCTCAGCAGACTGGATTTGCTTTCCTCAATGGAGAGCGCCGCTAACCGAAGGTCATCAGTCAGATCCCAGATGCACTTATCACAGCCTGGAGGTAAAATGGGCAGGTCATTTCATCAAAATCAAAAGTCGGCTGGGAAGCATGCCTCTTTAAGATCGTTATGCGTAGTTCCTTGGTTAACACTATTTTTATTTTTGTTTCTTGAGGAGCTATTCTGGGCCACAGAACTAATCCTTACACTCAAAGCAGAGTAGAGCCCAAGAAGAGCCAAACTGTACATCAGGCACTATCCCCGCATAAAACATAACAAAAAACAAGCAACACATGCAACAGGGAAAGTAGGTTCACAGGGACAACAGGCGCTGGATTGAGAAGGCAAGGAAGCGCAAAAGGGCCGGCCATCTGAGAGACGGGTGGGCAAGGAGAAGCCCCATCCACTTTCTTTTGTGGCGGGACAGCGCTCCGAGATGACTCTGTGTCAGGCTTCGGGCTTTTGCTTGGTGCCCGCTGGTGAGGACGGCTCTTTGCTGGGCACCCCTCCTTTTCTCTTAGCTTTTCTTAGTTGCTATCAAGTTCTAGGGCCGTGCCTGTGCTTCACCCCGGGCATAGTGGCCCCACCTCCTGTCTGGATGAACACAGCAGCAGCAGGAGGTCTGTTGGACATCGCTGTTTGTGAATATCACTCCCTGATATCTGATGAACCTGGCACGTGATGAGGCAGGTCGGGTTTCTCATTGCTCCCTATATTTCACATCTGAGTTTCTTGACCACTTGACCAGGGCCAAGTACCCTCCTGTGGCACACTCACAAGGACACCCTTTGAAACTTTCCTGTTCCCAATCTCTTTCCCTCAGATTGTGCTCTCTTCTAGAGAACTCATAAATGGAGACTAAAGTGTTAATGGTTGTTAATATGTTAATTTGTTACTTGAAGTTTAACGTGGTCTTACCTATATGCTCTCTTAAAAGAATGACTCCCCAGCCAGCGTATCAGGCTGGTGGGGGAGACGCGTAGGGCCAGTCAGGCATTTTGATGTCCTTAAAGTGACCTTGCTTAGGGGACCACCTATTCTATCGGTGTGTAAACTTTGCCCTGCTTGTGCCTCGAATCCTATGTCATCTTCTAAGATGAGATTCATTGTTATTATTAATCTCTTGTGCCTGGAGGGACTGAGAGGCCAAGATACCATTGTCTGGGGGGGGATACTTAATGTTAAAATAGTCTTTAAACCACTCTACTTAAAGGCGAATATTATTACTTTCTTGAGAGAAGGCTTTCTAAGGTAAAACTTTCCTTAAATTCTTCTAAGAATCAGTCATGGACTTTACTAGACTAAGGGCTTGAAGGATGTTTGGGAAGTCATTAAGACCAGCTCTGGGCATTTGTGTTGAGATATTTCAGCAGGTTCCTGCACCATCAGGACTGCTCGTGATTTGGTTGACAAGAGTGACAGAGAAATCCAGGAAAGAAAGATGGTAGCTCCATTTCATAAGGCCTGAATATTTTATTTCTGGTGCCACTTCAGATTTGGAGTGACTTGGGAAAAGCCACTTAAATCTCTTGGTATCTCAGTTTCCTCAGTGTTGTAAAGCATTGTCTGTATATCGTATTACCTGAGGACCTGAAGAAATAATCTAGAAAAAGGAGCTAAAATGAACTCAGTCATTGGGAATTGTGTTTCTGATTTTGCCTTTACCTGTTAGATAAGATGCTGAACTTAAAGATTTGATAAAATAAGTTTTCTAAAAAAGAGGTGTTTATGGGGCTAGCCCAGTGGGTGGCGTAGTGGTTAAGTTTGCAAACTCCACTTCGGTGGCCTGGGGTTCGTGGGCTCAGATCCTGGGCATAGACCTATACACCACTCGTCAAACCATGCTGTGGCAGTGACCCACATACAAAATGGAGGAAGACTGGCACAGATGTTAGCTCGGGGCAAATATTCCTCAAGCAAAAAGAGGAAGATTGGCAACAGATGTTAGCTCAGGACCAATCTTCCTCACCAAAAATTAAAATAAAATAAAATAGAGGTGATTAAATGTAAATCACCTATTTGCCAACTGGAATCAAATAGATGACTGAATATCTTTTGTTTAGGGCCCGTTTGGTTGAGGCACAGACAGGGTTAAAGCCAGGGGTGGGACTCAGGCAGTGTCTAGAGAGAGGGTACTGCATAGCTCTTCTTAATCCCACACCTGCAGCACATTAGAGAAAGTGGGTTAGTGAATCATGTACTGTTATTTTTACTTATGGTTGGGCAGTCCGTGCCTGTAGGGGCTTCAAAACTTTCCAGGCATTCTCCGGTTACGCTGTCACATGGACCTCCCCCACAATTGCACACTGTGGGAAACAAAAACAAGAGATTAGGGATTCACTTCTTAATGCTTAAAATATGGTAATGTTTTTGTGGTTTCTAGAAATACTGGCTATCAGTATATAATTCTTCAATGGGGATTAATTATGTTCTTCCTTAAAACCGTGTGGAATCTCTGATATAGGGATTATGCCCCTCACCCAATTAAGCCCGCCCCAGTGAGATTTTCAAAGGTGACCCTGGGGCAAGAGTGAATCTAAATTTTCTGGGATCCTATCCCAACTTTTTGGGATTCTGACATGACTGTTTAACTGCTTCAGTCCAAAAAGATCCTGGTGAATTTCACAAGGTACAAAATGATCACGGAGCCCATTATTCAACTGGAATCTGAAAACCATCCTTTCATCACAGGCTGATTCTCCAGTTTAATCCAACTCCAGACTTGATCATTGCCAGGTGTGAGGGAGGAGCAGCCCAGCCAAGAAAGCTGGGGAGGTCTAAGCCAAGATTCTTGGCTCCCACAGCGCTTGACCCTTGGTAAGGCTGACTCCAAACCTCCAAATGATAGCTATCAGTGGATGGCTGGGAATAATATGGTAGAAAGAATTAGGAACATATTTACATGAATTTAGAAGACCTGAGAGCCCATTATTAATCTACTGATGATTTTCAAGAATGCCTTTTGGAGAAAAATAGAAACAAAACCCTAATCTCATCAGACTGTTCATTTTCCACTGAGTTTTAGAGTGGAAATTAATCTGTACTATTTAAAAAGGAATTCCTAAGCTATCTATGCTAGCAATAAGCTGGAATAGAATTATGAATTTTCCCCACCTCTTAACAGAATAATCATAAAAATTAGCTTCAAGGGGGACATACATTTATTACATTTCAGCTGTTTAATGTTCCACAAAATGCAGATTTATTAAACAGTTCAGCAAGACCAAGCTTTATTGTTTCTAACATTATCTTCTAAGAGTGATTTGCAATTAAGTAGTTTAAACATAAGTTTAGTAAATGTTTTGAGAATCAGAATCTCAACATTTAAGGCTTTGATTTTGCCAACACTCTTTCCGACGTCTGCTTTCTCTCTCTTTAGTCTGACTGGACCCAGAACTCCTCTGTGCACATTTCTTTCTTGTAGACATGTTTATTTTTACCGTGACTTCTGAAGATCATATGTGTTTCCTTTTAAACGTGTTTTCAATTTTAAACTCTTCACTTAAAATCTTTTCAAGTAGGAATCTGTGCCAGTGAGAGGATTTCCAATGGAAGCATGCCACCAGAGCACAATACCTCTTCCTCACCCTCCTGTCCCTCCAAGTCACAAAAGAGCAGAAATATTCAATCTCAGCCTTCCTTTAGTCCTAGAGGAAGGCCATTTAACTTTACTTCTGAAGACTTCTACTCTATGTGGCAAATGGATTGGAGAAATCATGAATAAAATGTGTACATTTCAGTCTAAATGTCTAACCTGGAAGATTTCTTATATTATCTCTGAAATATTTACTCTGATAATTTGAGGGAATTGGGGGATGATTAAACTGTACCCTTGGCTTGCTAATCTATTTCACTGAAATGTCAATTTTACCAAGCATAACTGAAAAAAGGGACTTAGCTTCCAGAATAAGAAAACTGATTTGAACCTTACAAACTTTCATTCAGTCCTCTGGTCAATGACAGGTAATCCATGGAAGTCTGATTTACTTCTTTGATCAAAATTGGAAGGACATAAGATGATAAGGCAAAAGTTAATTTGTGTTACTATCTGATGGTTCGTTCTACCCATGGGCTAAGTTACATTAGTAGCCTTGATAAAAATATCTACCCCCAGTGAGTTTGAGATGCACATTCCTGAGAATGTACATTGCCCTGGAAAACTGACAGGGGGGCACTTGCAAAATTTCCCCAAGGTAAATTCATCTAAGTTCAGTATTGACAGAGGACTTGCTACTATCACATACATGGTGGCCACTGGCTGACTTAGGATTTATAGTGTTGTACCTGCACAGTTCTTGGCTATTCTGGCATCCCCATAGTAGCCAGGGGCACAGCGTTCACACTTAAACCCTGTGGTGTTGCGTAAGCAATTCCTACACTGGCCAGTAACCTCATCACAATCTTCGAAGATCAGGTTGGGATCTGAATTTCCATTGCAGTCACATTTCTTACAGGTGCTTCCAATCAGCAAGGGGTTTCCATAGTAACCAGGAGCACACCTGAAGGGGAATCACAAGTTAATGATGTAACATCCATAGTTTTTCTTCCTTTTTGTCTTCTTTCACACCTAGAAGAAAGTGTAGTGAATAATGGTGGATTGCTCTCCTAGAACTGATTCCCATCTCCCATCTTCCTAATAGGACCAGATTTTGTTTTTAAGGAACCACCCCTTCTCATTGTGTCACAGGCTATTCAGTTCTGCCAGACCTTCAGATACAGGAGTATCTGGATATAACTAATGTGTGGGCATTTTTGGTAATCTCAATGACTGGAGTGCACTGCTGGCATATGATGGGTGGTGCCAGATATGCTAAATGTACTAAATGAGATGTAACACTAGGGCACAGCCAAGAACTGTCCTGGCCAAATGTTAACAATACTTTTATTGAGAAACATTGGTCTAATTCACCATCTGCCTCGCCATAGTGAATTGTTCAGATAACCTAAACCTGAGCCAATTTCCTGGCATTGTCCTGGCCAAAATGGATTGGCTCAGGAGTGATTCAATCGGAGTGTACCGCAGGACTCTTGTTTAAGGGTTGGGGGAAGGCATTCTCTCCATCTGCAGGTGAATGAAGAGGCAGGTAGTAATCTTAGTTCTGGCAGCCATCTTGTGACTGAGGGAAGGCAGTGTGGAGGCAAAGCAGAGGGCAGAGCTGAGAGTACCACAGATAAACAGAGTTGGAGCCAAGATAGCCATTCTTCTGGAACTTTTAGATATGTGAGACTACAGAGGCCAGGAACTCAACTGCATTTGTTGTGGGGGCAGAGCTGGTGACTAGGGTCATGCTGGCTGGGCCCTTAATGAGAGAGCCCAGCCCAGCTGAGGAGTGGAGACTGAAATCCATCCAGCCTTTGCTGACCTTGCCAAGCTGTTCAGTCTGGGTGGGGCTGCCTCTGCCCAGAGGAAGAAATGCCTTTCTCTGTTTTTCCCAAAGGTGCCCTGTGGGCCAGCAGAGGCCCTACTGCGAGTGGTGGACTGCAGGCCCTATCTAAGGGAGCAGATGCTACTTGGCTCCTGTTAACTCTTTCCAGATTGTAGCCTTGAGGGAAGGAAGGATCTGTGTTGCCAGATCTTCCTATTTTTAAAGAAAAAAGTTGAAATCTGGACTTTTATGTGAAATCTCAGTTTTTAAAGTTTGGCTCAAACGTTTTAAGAATACCATATGAACCAAACAACACATGTTTGCTGGCTGGCTGTGGCCTTCTCTCTGCTGTAGACCCTAAACTAGTGCCGAAGAGTGGCTAACTGAGTCAGTCAGCTAAGACTGTAACTGAAGATGCTTCGGGAGTGGCTGGAAAGAATGTGAGGTCACTCCATCATGAGACTGAAGGTCAGGCACAGGAGTTAGTTCTGACTTGAGAGACAAAAAGAAAGAGAGCCAGCAAAGATTTTTGAGCGTGATGAAAGTGGTGGTGAAGGAAGCCAGTGTTGGCTTCAGAGTGCAGGATGGAGTGTAGGCTGGAACACGGAGACCAGGGTGGGGTGTGGAGGGCTTGGGCTGGGGCGTTGGCCGTGGGAGCAGAAAGGAAGGGAGGATTTTCCAAGGAAATCAGTAAGAACTGGCCAGTAATAATAAGACACTATATTTTTAAAAGGCTTCCATTTAAAGTAAGGGAATCATGATTTAGAACATTTGAAAAATAGAGAAATGAAAAAAATATCCCACCTGTAATCCCAAGACCCTAACAAAATCACTGTTCAGCATTTTGCCTATGTTCTTCCAGCCTTTATGCCTGCGTCTCAGTTTTTTGGTGTAGTTGTATGTGATGGCATATGTTCAGTCTTTACACCCCTTACTTGCTTGTGTCTCATCGCTTCACCTGGGTGAGTTTATTTAGTTACCATGGACATCTGGGAGGTAGGGCACACAGGTCCGGCATTCTGAGGCTGAGAGACTACTGTGGTTTTCCAGGCTCACATAGTTGGGAAGCCACAGCGTAAGACCCAGACCTTCTGACCCTGGTGTTCTTTCCTTCACTCCACCCTGGACCACACTGCTGCTGCTATAAATGAATGAGTAAACTCATCCAACAGAGGGACAATTCATGTCTATTTTATGTAAGGTGTGGAGAGACAGGAAGAGGAAAAACACACAGCCTATGCACTGAAAGAACCAGAAATGAATTAAGCATAATTATACATAATATCACTAACTCTAGAAATCAAGGTCTATGAAGAAGATAAGAATGAATATAAGTGCTACACACCCCCCAAAGAGACACCGCCCAAGAGGAAATGTTCAACGAGTTTTGTTATTCATACTCCTGTCTTTGCACTTCTGATTTACAGACCCTCTGGTCCCCGAGTCAGCGTAAATCATTCCTCTATGGAACACACGGCTGGATTGAATTTCTATCCTTTGCTGCAGTTCACCAAACAGGGAATATTAGACTCTTAGACTCACTGAAATGGGACTCAGACCTGCCACCTCAATGTGTAGCTGGGGATCCTGAGGTCCGGGAGTGAAGGGACTTGCCCAAGTTTACAGAAGCCAGATGCCAGTTACTTTCTTTTCTCTGTTCAATTCCACTGTATTTGATCTCCATAGGTTGTCCTCTCATCTACCACAAGAGAAAACCAAACTCTCTATTCTGTAAGTCAGAATCTCTGTCACAGTAGACACCCATTTTGAGTTACTTTGAGTTTCAAGAACATCTTTTGGTGGTAGGTTCAGAGGCAACTCTGAAGTCACAGTACAAACATCAACCCCGCAGATTTTATAGAATGAGCATGCAAAGGATTCTTACTCACAGCACTCTATAACCCCCTACTTTTATAGACAAGGAAACTAGAGTGCAGAGAAGCTAAACGATTTGTTCACTGCTACAGGGCTCAGACCTGTTATGGGATTCCAAGTTAATGCTCTTTCCACTCCACAGTCTGGCATTAATGAATTAACTAATTAATCAGTTAATTATTGTAACAGTTGAACAATCAAATGCTCTCAGTGCACCATTTCCTGCCCTCAAAGAGTTAAAAACAAAGGATACAAAATGACCAGTAGTTGGATTTAAAGCTGGCATTGGAGCCCTGGTACCCAGTAGCCGGGTCCTATTTTTTTTTTCTTCCATAAACTCATTTCTAGCTTTATTAATGACTTGACTCACTCAGGGAAAATAGAGCTGATTAATTTACAGTGCAAATGAAAGAACTGTGGCATATGAACTTTGTCATTTCAGTTAGCGATCATATTATATGGGCAAAATGGAAAGCAAAAACATGATTTTTTTGGGAAAAAAAGATGATTTTGACCAAAAACTATTGTTTTGGGAATTTTTGGAGCTCTTTTCCTCTCCTCTGCTTCTCTTCCCAGGGCCATGCATCTGTCACTGAATGTCTTTATCAAGGGTGCCAAAACTCCCAAGTGGTACAGAAGCCTTTCTGGGAAAGATGTCACTCTGTAGCTGCCATTGGGATTAAATTAAATGAGGAAAAAAAAAAGCACCTGTTACATAGTAGGTGCCATGTAGATGCTCTCAACTTGTCTATGAAAGACTGGGAAATAAGGGGAGGAAAATGTAAGTAATCCATTCAAGGTCACAGGGCAAGATCCAGAAATGGGGCAAAGCAGAGAGCAGGGAGTCATAAGAAAAATTCTATACAGATAATGGGGTTGATAGCTTAAGTTTGAAAAACTTGGTGCCTGCAGAAAGAATCAAACTAAATCCCTGAATCATAATAAGCATCAATAAACATTAGCTTTCTCTTCCTCCTCCCCCTCTTTATTCTTCTTTTCCATCATCAAGGCCATCTTCAAAATCATTACCACTGTCATCCTCATTATTTCTGATGATACCATGTTCAACCTTTCCTGTTAGGGTTTTAAGATTCCCTTGGATTTGCTTTAATTTGCCCCATTCTTCTCTCCTGATCCTTAAGCAACAAGATCCACATGATAAATCCTCATATGGTCTTAGCATGTCTCACACTCCACCACAAATTGAATGGATGAAGGTACATTATTAAAGCTGCCATGGGAGGTGATGTGGAATACTGAGGCATCGAGATCATATATGTTTATCAACTGAAAACTTTGGATTGAACATTAAGGGTCCTGGGTTTGGGTTTTGGGTTTCCCGCTAACCAATAGTGCAACCTTAGATTAAGTCTCCTCATGGCTCTGAGTCTCAGGCTCCTCATCTTTAAATGTACTACTTAGGAGCAGAGAAAAGGTCACACTGGGATGAGAATGAGAATTGCAAAACCCTTGTCTAGAAGGTTGTGCATTTTAAAATTATTTTCATCTGCAGATAACTTCCATTTGCAACCTCTATTCAGCTAGAGGACAGTGACTTAACTCACTCAATTCTAGGTCACCCTCCTCTGTTTTCCTGGCATGGGGTGGAAAGTGGTGGGTCAAACAGGGCAAGAAATGCCTGACTCTCATCACTACACAGTGCCTTTTTAAAAGAACACTAAAAGTGCTATTGTTTTTTACTAAAAAAAAAGTATTACTGAAACGAGTATTACTGAGTGCCAATCATGTGCCTGATACTGTGATGGAGGAAGAGTGGACAGAGACATGAATAAGATGCTACTTCTGTAGAGAAGCTCATAGTTTAATAGTAGAGCTTAAAAAAGCAAAACAAAACTATGATTTTGAGCAAGTGTCTTACCTTCTCTGTATCTCACTTTCTTTCTCTGTAAACAAGGATGAAAATAGCATCTTATAGGAATTTTTTTTTTTGAGGCTTAAATGTATCATTGTAGGTAAAGTGCTTACAACAGTACCTGGGACACAGTAAGCACTCAATTAATGTTAGTTATTATTTTTATCATCATCATCAGGATCGTCATCTAAATGCAGTACAAGTGGTAAGCTCTACAGTTGATCTGGCGGATTTGGGGAGCAGTAGGTCAAACATATGGAGTTTAAATTGTGAGGTGGGAGAAGGACTTTGGGAAAGAGCCAGGCAGGGGCCAGGGCAGGGGATGAAACACGGACTCATTGGGAAGACAAGGATGTTTGAGCTGTTTTACACGGTACGGTAAGAGGTGCATGTTTTATGCTTTAGACCAATGTTTCTCAAACTTGTATGTAGTATGGATCCCTGTGAAAGGGAAAACATTTTCATAGAATATGTTTCATAGAATCTTCTAATGTTCTTTTAAATTATCTTTAAATATTTTAAGCATAAAGCTGGGTGGAAACTCCTCATATCTATGGCTTTTATGCATCTTGAAGACCAAAATAAATTTTCCAAATAAAACATAAACAAAACTATAAAACTATTCAAATTCAAATTAACAAGATAATGGATGATGTTGTCTTGTTGCCATTTGCAGCATGACGTGGTAGAGGACTGTTTGGGTTCCGAATTCATGTCCTGTCATGTGCTCTGTGATGACTCAGTTTGCTTTGATGTCATGCCATTCAGCCTCCAATCATCTGTGCTGTGTCATTGGCACACCATCCACTGTCATTTTCTCCTCAGTTCTGAGGCCGATCTCCCTTTATTATAAAATTGTACTATAGAAAGTCCAGCGCATGTTTCAATTAACTTTTTCCTCGAGATTATCATTGAAATTGAACATAAAATTAAGAAAATATTCACTGAGAGCCCATGAACCTCCATGAATATTTCTGAAGACACTAAGGTTCTTGAGCCCCAGTTTGAGAAACACTGTTTTATATTACTTGGGTGTGGCAGTGAAGGTTGAAATAGAGCAGAAGTTCACAAGGCAGTGAGAGGATTGATGGGAGAACCCAAAGGAGAGTCAAAATGCGGGTCCCCAAGCCTCACCTCTAGAGGTTCTTTTTCAGTGGGGCGTGGAGAGTTTGGAGAGAGCTCAGGAATCCAATGGTTTCCGGGAGATACTTACACATAATCACATTTGAAAACCACCACTTGGTTAAATAATCTCTAAGAACAGAAGCACCTAGAGTGTTCTCAGTTTGGACTGATTTTTATCTTTGTTTGAAGTAGATACCCATGCACATCCTGTGGAGATGTCCAAGTTCACAAATACGTTGAAAATGCAGATTAGAAGAAACTTAACTGGGACAATTTAACAATCTGGCTGTTAAAACAGAAACCCCTCTCAGCCCCAAGGTCAAACACAAGTCAAAAGCAGGCAAGGCCACCTCCTTTGGGATGATCCAGCACCCCCATGGAAAGAATACTCCTTCCACTACACTCTTGAAGAGGCTTGGCTTGTCCTCCTATTTAGCTTTTCTTTTTTTCGGCCTTGTAATGAATGATTTTCAGGTTTGCCTCCTCCCTCAGCCTTGACTTCATTGTGGACAAGAAATCACGTCTTCCACGTATTACAGCCCTACCCCCTCCACCCATCTGCTTGTGTGGCCATTTCAAGGAAGAGTTCTCTGGAAAGTCAGGTCAACTTTTGATGTAAAAGACCTCAATACATTCTCTTTAAAAGAGCAGAGTGTGAGGAAGGGTGGGCAGGAGAGAGAAGGAGAACGAGCAGAGAAAGTTGCTTGAATTGATTCTCCCCCATACAGACACAAGGCTTTAGAAGAGAGGCTTTCTTCCAGCACCTTTGTAGATGCAGTCTCCTGTCAAAGGGAACCTAGTAACTGATTAACAATGTTTCTTTTGCATATCAGAGGCTCACCCAATCCCTTAATTGTTTAATTAATAAATTAACTAATGAATTAAGTGATTAATGAATGAATGAATTCATTAATGTTTAAAATAGAAGACCCTTAGGAAGACCTTTGGGAAAAGCAGCACGGAGACAGGGAAAGAATCCAGATTTTTAGCCACACTGTGCAAATCCTGGTTCCCCCACTTAGCAGAGATGTGACTTTAGACAAGTCCCATCACCTCCCATAGCCTCAGTTTCCTCATTTGCAAAATGACAAAATATGACCCTCGTCTCAGGGTAGTTATGAGCCTGAGAGATGCGGACAGTAAAGCAATGAGAACACGTGAGACAATCAATAAACGGCATTATTTAGTTCAAAGCTATAATTTCTAGCTAAGGAAGCTGAGATTCAGGGAAATCTCAGCAGAAACTAGACAATGATCACAATGACTTGTACTGTCACCAGTTGATTTTTATTGAGCATTTATTAAGTGTTAGGTGCCACACAAAAAACTTTACAGTGTTACCTTACAATGGTCCTATGAAGTGAGTGTTTTCATTCTCCACTCTGGAGATGTGGAAATTGGCACTTATGAGTCAAATAACTTGCCCAGGAGGATCTCAAAGGGCTAGAGCTGAGCTACAAACTCAGCCAGGCTGGCGCTAAATCTCTTCAACACTCTACCTCCACTTCCCGGTTGAGTGCTCTCCCCTCGACCCTCTTGTTCCAGGTCTGGAATAAGCACCAGATCTGATCCAACCTTACTGGGAAATGGCAGGTTCCAGGAGCCTCCAATGTGGGGTGGGGTGTTTATTATCTACAATGCCTACAGGTGGGCATGCCGTCCTGTGCCAGGCCCTCCACTGTCCTGACAGGACCCTTATCTGCACCTCTGTGTGATTTTGCAGGACTGAGCTCTTAGGGACCGAGATTACTTCACTTTTGGGAGGCCTTGCATTTGGTCAGCAGGGCTCTAGTTAAGGCAATTAATTCCCCTCACAGGAGCCATCGAACACGCGTTAGCTGCTAATACTGCTCGATCCTTATCAGACTAAACTGAGTTTAACCTCAGACACTAAGGAGAAAAGGTCCATCCCTGGCTGATGATCAATCCTCTGAGACCCCCAGTGAGCCAGAAAATGAGTAAATCTGGTGCCTCCTATGCCTGGGTCCCCAAGAAAGGAAATACAGAATGAGTGTGTCACAAACATTTATCAAGCGAGGGTAATCTGATCATCTTTAGCAGTTCCTCCTAAAGGATGAAATTCATGTGGGCCCTCAGCTTTCACTTTCCCTCTTCCCTTATAGAAAAAAGGGAAAAACTCTCACAACTCTTTAGCAACAGAATTATCCACATTTTGCACGTTTAATACTCATAGTAACAATGCCCTCCGAGTACAGAGATTTTTCTCTGTACCATAGATACTGTGGCTTTGTAAAAAGAGTTCCAGAGCTACTCTTTGTGAGATGGAGGGTGTCTTGTTTGGAATTGAGATGGATATAATTTAAGGTTTACATCCTTTTTGAGCCCCAGGCTGAGTGTGTGACCACATTCAGGACAGCTGGGTGTGTGCTGTTGTGAGGTGATCACGATGCAGACACTGGACTAGATGTTGACCGGTCCCTCCTGGCCCTTCCCTCCCTGTCTTTATGGCACCACACATCATTTTGCTGCCTAAACACAACGGTGAAGGCAACATTAATGGCATATCTGTTAAAAATAAGAAGACCTCTCTGTGAGGATCTTTTAGCAAAAGCCATTTTATCTTAGAAATCTGTGGGCAGCCGACAGGTGGAGAGAATGGGACTTGTCTTACCAGGAGATCATTCAGTGGGAAGCCTTGTATCCTTAGTCACCAAGGCCTTTCTTGTTTGAGCAAAGCCCAGAGCAACTTAAAAAAGAGTGTTAAGTGTAAATACCAAAGAGAGATTCAGAAAATCCAAACTCCCATGGAATTGGTTTACTTTTCAGGGGAGGAGATGATGTCAAGAAAGGTTAAATAATAGCTTCATGCTTTTTTCAACGTATTGCTCCACTAACTGATAAAGGAATGACCTTTTATTTAGGTTTAGGTTTAGGTTTAGGTTTAGGAAGGATCATTTAGGCAAGGAAGCCTTTCTCTTTCTCTCTCTTTTTTTTTGAACGTTAATTGTACTACTGATTCTCAGTGACGGAGAGAGAGACGAATGTTACCGAAGCCGTCTAGGGAATCTTTTCAAAATATGCCTACTCATTTTACTCTTGCCTGCCCATTTATCCCGAGATGTGGCCCTGGCCTGGACACCCGGGGAGCATATTGCTATAGCGGTACCTGGGGCGCGGGATTTGGGGAACTCGCCCAAGGGGTTCTGGAATGCTATCCTCTACTCCCTCCTCTTAGGACCTACTGAATGGGGGCACAGCAGAGCTGATGAGTACAAGAAACAGAGATTCCTTTGACCCACACAGATAATAGTGAATTTTATTAGCCTACCTTTCACAGTTAGGTCCAGCGTAGTTTTCTTTACAAATACATCGAACAGCTCCATTTTTCCTATAGCAGGATTCTGCAAAACTAGAGTTGTAAGAGAATATTAGAAGTCAATTCCAACATATATAATAAAAATATATATTTTTTAAATGCAAGCCGAAAACACATTCCAAAGCCAGAAGTAAAATAATCAAATTTTACCTGCGATTTTAGATTTATATGAAAATTTCTTCTTATTTCCACCACTTTTTGTGTATACATTTGAAAATTTCTCCCTTTTTTTCTGCACCTGATCTCTTCCACTCTTCAAGGTCATGAACCAGTTCTAAACTATACTCTATAATCTCCAGAGAACCTTAACTGCTTTCGTGTATACCTTGAAGATTGGGAATAAAGGGTTCAAGGACTGGCTCAGTTGACCAAAGTCACAAAGCAAGTACTCAAGCAAGAAATAGGACCCACAGTAAAATGGTTCTGGTCCATCCATGGAACCCCCTCATGATTCTTTTTTTTTTTGATAATAAAAATGAGGACACAGGAAAGAAAAGTAATAAAAATATTGTTTCAGCAGAATAAATAACTATCTTAATTATTAAGGTGGGGGAAATGGAATATTATTCTCCACATGTTTGGAAAACTCTACATTGACACATGAATCCATCCATATGAGGGATGTGTGAAAAATTTTATAGACTTTTAAATTAGTCTTGGCTTAGGTATTGTACAATCAATGAAGTGTGACCCATGGTTCTCACATTCCAGCATGTCTCAGCAATTTTGCCCTAATGGTCTTTAGAGAAAAGCAAATGGATGTGTTTGCTTTGTTTGAAGACATTTATAAAATCAGTCAGAACACAATATGTGCTTCTCAGTGAAAGGCAGTACCCGCAGTTTATTTTCCTTAACAGTTTGGATAAAAATATTTCAAGAAAATTACATTTCTTTGGCCTTTACCCTTTACTTTGCTTGTTCTTATTCCTCAGCCTACTTAAAGAAACACTGTCAGTTAGGAATCCAGAACATGAACAAACCCTCACGCATGTTTCTTTGAAGATGTTCCACCCAGCGGCCTGCCCACAGCTTGAAGGACTGAAATATCTGCCGGTGTCTGGAGCCGTCTGCCCTGAGCTAACGTCCTGCTGTTTCAAATAGACGACATTTTCCTTAATTGGAGCGATTACCATAGCTACTGGTAGACATGGAAGATGTCTGGCCAACCCCAAAATAAATAAATGAACTCTGTGCAAATGGTCCCTGGGTGTAGCTATGTGATCATTGGTTTCTGTGGTGGGAGACTCAGAGGCGGTACCAGCCACTGAGGGTTCCTTCTTTGTTTTTCATCAGCATTAATTGTTTATATTTTCTTAGGGTAAAGTCTGTTTTTGGCTAGGGAAATGAAAACACTGTGTCTTTCTCAGCCCACACTAACAGCCATGGCGCCCTCTCCAAGTGGAAGGGAGCCTGTTGCTCTTGGAAAACCCTTAGGGAGCCTAAAGAAAAATAGACTCAGCATTGTTTGTTTGCTGAACTCCCTCAAGCATTATTTCCTTGCTTTCTAATGTGGCTATTGTAACTGGAAATCCCAATCCTGGATCTGGAGACTCAACCAGTGGATCTTTCAAAGTGTAATTCAGATTCATACTTGGTGCCTTTCTGAGCTCAAATAAAAGTCCTGGAACTTTAATTTTTATAGAGAGTAGGAATATGAATAAAAAGAGCTGAAAGAGGTAATGGGCCATTTGATTTTTTTGGTAAGATATTTGACTAGTATTTGAGATTAGTTAACTCGGTCAATAAGAAGTCCAGATCAAAGGCGAGAACTTCATATGATCCAGGCACATTTGTCCTGTTCTGTGACCACAGACTACCCTCCCTCCCTTTTTTAGCCAGTTTTTTCCCTCAAGGGATTTGGGAAATAGAACTATTGCCACTACAGAGAAAGCAGATCTCTCATATCCTTCCCAATTCCTCCACACTCCCACATAATGTTTTTCATTTATAGGTTGTGTATTTTTGCTTTTGTGTTAATTTTTAGCAGGTTTCTCAACCTCAAATCTGCACTACAGAGACTTGAGTTTTTCAGTCTGTAAATATGTACCTAACTTCAGAGCACATTCCCTAAGTCCCTTGATTGCTCTTTTGAACCCGAGTCTACTCACACACACCGAGAAAGACCATGGGTGGAAGTGGTGATCCTTGAGGCCTATGGAATCTGTTTCCTCTTTCAAAACAAGAAGCTCATTACCCAACTGTCAAGTTTCTGCTTCATTTAATTGAAACAGTTAACAGCCTTCAGAAGAGCTTCTTGATCAACTGAAATACTGGATAATTTGCTCAAAAGGTAAAAAATCATTTGCTTTAGGAGCTTCAAAATACCACTGTATTTTGACCTATTTTAATGAGGGCAGGACTTTTTGACTGTTTTGTTCACTGCTGTGACCAGCGACCAGTACATGACTGGCTGGATCATAATAAGTAGCTGGATAAATATTTGTTGATTGCATGTAGACAAGACTTCTCAAGAGGAATGAGGTTCCAAAGTCTCTTAAGATGTTAATGTCAGATAATTTAGGTAAGAAAGTCTTGTCATATGAATGGGGCAAAAAGTGAAAAAGTTGGACAATATAACTCGAAGGAAGCTTTTGGGGTTGCCTTTCTAACTCATCTGTTAGTTTCTAAAGAAACTGCAGCTCAAAGCTTATAAACCTATTTTGAGCAGATGATGGTTTGTTTACATGGAAGAACGAGTGAAATCTGTTATTAGAAAGTTGGAGGTAAATATATTTAACAAAATAACTATACCACGGCAAGGGAGCGGCATGCTGAACACCTCATCAGATATGGTTCAGACTAATGTTTCAGAGCACGATATTAATGAAGAGTTAAGGAATGTACCTACACAAGACAAAGGGAACTCATAAATCAGGACACACTTGAGTGAAAATAACAGAACAACTAATGTTTGAGTTTTCTAGTCTCACTCTCAGTACCATCCATTTTGCACACATTATTAATACCATCGGACGTGAAAAATCACAACGCAAGGGCTGAGGCAGTTTAATGGTTTCTAAAGAAAGATGGGGCTGTAAAACATCTGACTTACTTCTTCACTGACTGTCAGACTTATCAGAGGATTTGAACAAATTGTAAGGTCTTAGGTGAAATGTTAGTCAATATTGGTGTTCAATTAAGGAAAAAAATTTAGGGGGACATTTGATGGTCATTTTTTCTCTTTATAAGAAAGTATGTGTGTGTGGCACGCATTCAGGCCTTTTAAAAGTTATTTTATATGCATTATTTAACTTAACCTTTACAACAGTTATCAATTAAATATTATATCCAAACATTTAGAACAGTGCCTGCCATAAAGTAAGCAAAATATGTGTTAGAAAAAATACAAAGGATGCGTTCAGTAAAGCCAATATCTACCATATACTTTTCCATGTGTAAGGCACCAACCCTCATGCTCCACACATATTATTTTAGTCCGACCCTATGAGGTAGATCCTTATACCAACTTTGATTTACCAAGGGAAAAACTAAGGTCCAGAGCAGGTAAAGGAATCAATGAATGGAACCAAGATCTGAATCTAGTCTCCTTGACCCCAAATCCCAAGGAAAGTGAGACATGGGAAGAAAGTACCTTGTCTGAGACCACACAACTATTATATGCCAAAGCAGGCACATAACTCTTTCCACTTGTTGTATCATAAAAAAAATATATATATTTGGTTTTTGTTCCTGGTTCCTGGCACAGAGCTCCTAAAACCCTTGGAATTTCCTGAGTGATAAGACTGTCTTTTGTTATTTGTAATGAGCCCCTTTCAATCATACCTAAGTTTATGCTAATCAGGTGACTCTTGTTGGGCCCCTAAGTAGCTTCAGGATGGGGGCTGGTCTGCCAGAGGAACCAACCACATGATTAGAAGGTTGGAACTTTCAACCCCATCCCTTCCCCCACCTCAAGGGAGGGCAATGGGGCTGGAGATTGAGTTCAATCACCAATGATTTAATCAATCATGCCTATGTGATGAAAATTTGATAAAAACTCTTAAACCACAAAGTTTGGGAAGCTTTTAGGTTGGTGAACACATTGATTTGCTGAGAAGATGGTGCACCTGGAAAGAGAGCACATAGAAGCTCTGCTCCCTCCCAAATTTCCCTCCATACCTTGACCTATGCATCTTATCCATTTGGCTATTTCTGAGCTGTATCCTTCATAATAAAACTGTAATCGTAAGTATAGCGCTTTCCTGAGTTCTGTGAGTCATTCTAGAAAATTATCAAACCTCGGGGGGCATTGAGAGAACCCCTGAATTTGTAGTCAACTGGGCAGAAATGTGAGTAGCCTGAGGATGCCATCTGTGGCTGACTTCTGAAGTAGGACTGAGCCATTAACCTACGGAGTCTGCACTAATTCTGGGTCATCAGTATCAGAACTGAATTGACTGTAGGACCCCTAGTTGGCATCAGAGAATTGGAGAACAAGTTGATATTTGGAAAACCAAGTACCAGTATACCATCTTAATTCTACATTCTGTCATTTTTAAGCCAATAAAATGGCCAGTCATGACTTGACTATTGGATTTCTACATATTGTGTGCCTGAAAATAATTCTACTATTTCCATTAAGATGTATGTCTATTCTCTTTAACTTCTCACTTAGGTCAAAACATAGCCAGAAGTGAAAATTAGTTTTCTTGGAACTCTTCCATAAGCTGTTGGCCTAAAGCATGCATTTTGTTTATCTGTGTTCTAATTCTGATCTAAAAGCCTAGCTGGCTGCCATATGTAGGGAAATGTCTACTCTGTGAGAGTCAGAAGAAACACTACTAGTGAAAACATCAGATTATAGTGAGTCTGTTGGCATTACCAGTTGTGATCTCTCTAGGTCAAGGGATAGCCGAGAAAAATTGAGACTAGCTTTGCTTTTAAAAAGAGAGACTTCATTGATTTTGTGACCCCCTCCCCCATATTTTGGGAACAGAGTCATCACCTATACCACAAGCGCTTAAGTTCCCCTGAAAGTGTATTTAGGCTAGAGACCTTTCCTATATTGTTTCCAGTCTTGTCTCAAATTGAGGTACCCAATTTTGACTGTGGAAAAACCTTAGAACACTGGATAGGGCAGAAAAAAAAAAAAAAAAAGGAAAAGGAGATAAGCAGTAGAAGAGACCATTTTCCTTCAGGACTTACTTGGCCACGTGGGGCAGGGGACAGGGGCACGGCTGGCAGAACCGGGGGGCTCCCCTGATGGAATCTCCGATATAACCATCGAGACATTTCTCACAGTGCTCTCCTGTCGTGTTCCGCTGACAGTGCTATGAGACAAAAGATAGGAAAATTGACAAGGACACAAAAGAAATTTTATACACAGCAAATCTGGAAACCAAGAAATACTTCAAGCTACGGGGATGTCAAGCCTGACAAAATAGATGATGTGCATCGGTACTGATCAGCACAAAGGAACCACGCTGGCCCCAGTCAATGCTGGAAAGTGTAGACAATGGTGGATGACTTCATCCTGGACTTCTGTGTGTGCACTAGCAGCCTGGGGACTCTCTTTAGAGTTTGTGCGCAGAGGGAATTATTCATCAGTTACACAATTCAATTCCGAATGATAATCAGAATGATCAAACTCTGGATATTCTAGAGCATCAGCTTACTGACTTGGAATGAATATGAAATGAAAAAAAAAAAATCCCCCCTGGTGTTTACCCGTGACAATGGGAACAATTTAAGGATTTACGGGCTTGGAAGAATAAAATGTGCCAGACTGAAGCATAAATGGAGTAGAAGGTAGACAAAGAATATTCTGCTAATGGGTTGGTATCTTGGATAATGACATACAAGAAACAGTAAGCTGGTTTATTGTATGATTTTTCCATTTGTAGTGAGGATAACTGGAAGAAAAGCATAAAATAGCTCTTCTTCTGCCTAAAGAAGGCCTGTTCATCATTCAAGATCTGCACCACGCCTCGAAACCTCCAGGAATTCCTCCCTGAAGCTCCCCTCCCTGATCCTTCCCTCCTTCCACTACCCACAAGGTAGTGTTATAATCTGTTCCCAGTCTCAGCAGCCCTGTTCCCCACACTGCATCTTTCAGCCCTGTACTGCCATCATCTTAAATGGAGTAGGTACTCTAGTTGTTTGCTGAGTGATGGATGAATCTCTGACTAGTACTCTACAATAGGCAGTGATGCAAGTCCACTGATATTTTCTCCAACTGGACTGGACTGGATTTCACAAAGCAATGCCATTAGCACTGTGACATTTTCATCTCCACATTCGCCAGAGTGTATAAAAGTTGAATAGGGTTTTCAGTGAAAGATTGTACTGTTAGACTCAGAAGGCCATTGAAGAGGCACCCTCCTGCTTGAGTAATTCCCTTGGTACATCTATGCACAAAAGCTTCAACAGACTCAACTTGTTTCGAACAGTGCTCTGTGGAGGAACCTCGGGGAAGGCAAGACGGAACAGTAGTAAGCTGAACTCTGAGCTCTTTATTTTTGTATTTATGTTCTATTTTGAGGTTGAAAATAAAATAATAGTGAAGTCCTGCTCTAAACATTTTACCTAGAGTAAATAACTTAATTATCACAATAATTCTAACGTTAAGTTACTATTTTTTTTCTTTTATTTTACATATGAAGAGATGGAGGCACAGAGAGGTTAAAGAAATTGCCCAACATCACACAGACAGTAGACAGCAAAAGGGAGATTCAAATTCAGGCAATCTGGCTCAGGAGGCTAGGCTGTTGATTTTGACGTTATACCGCTTCTCCAGTGTGTTAGAAAAAAGGCTCCTTTCCCAAAAGAGCTGTAAAATGACCATATAGAAAGTGTCAGACTATTTTACTAACAGTCTGAGCTTCAAATCAAATACAACAGACCAGTCAGAAGGGAGGAATCCTAATGTGGGCAACAGGCTATCATGGTTGAACACTCTTGGGGCATTTGATCAGCCATTAGGTATGGACAGTCTTTGGCCCCTGATTAGAATTCTGCGAGCAGAACAGAATTTAGAGGCTAGTTCAGATTGCCTGACAGATCAATGAGAAACTGAAAAATGGAGTACGATGTGCAAGCAACAGGATATTAACATATTTCTCTCACAGTTCTTAATATTGTATCTAGTGCTAAGTCAGCCTTTAGTAAATATTTGTTGGAAAAAAAAGGAAGGAAAAAGTGGGAAAGGGTGAATTAGTGAATTAGTGTCTGGAGCAAATAAACGAAATTAACATGCACCCGAAGCCAGCTCAAACTTGGTGGCAATCTCTCACTGCAAGGAAAGCCAATGAGCCTTGCCCAACCACCAAGAATCTAAGCCATAAACAATCTGATAGGGCTGCTTGTAAACTGGGGTCAAATTTGTCTGAGTCCTTGTTGGACAGACGAAGCCCATCTGTGTAGAAGAAAATAGGCCCGTTGTAAGATGTTAGGTCATTCTTCATGCCTGAAGTGACTACTAAGCAGCAAAAATGAGCTAATTCCCAATTCTATCCTCTTATGGCTCGAGCGATGCTTTGGATTCCTTGTCAGGGCTCTAATTCTGCCATGGCAGCCATGGGGAGCAATTACTCTCGAAGGCAAAGCCACCGAATTTCTCCAACCTCTAAATGCACAGAGTGCAAACACTGACTTCCTCATCTGCCTTCTTTTAGAGGATTTGTTATGAAATTCCCTAAAAGGCATTGATGCACATTCTGGGAGCTGGGCAGAGACAGTCGTGGAGGCAGGGATAAAGGTCCCTAGCTCTTCCATTTTCTAGCTGGTTGACTTTGAACAAGTCACTTGACCTTTCTGGATTTATATCCCCTATCTGTAAAATGAGGACCTAAACTAGATGGCCTGTAAGCTGTCTTCTAGGTCTGAAAATCTTTAACTCTGAGATTGCAAATATCCCTTTACTCTCAGTGTTCTGCCATTTAAAAAACAGAAAAGAAAAATGACAGTAATAAATAAGCATTTGTTGGGGAGGGGAAGAATTTATTTTTTAATAAAATTGGCCCCACTTAAAAAATGCAAAATGCATTCTGAATCTTTGACCAGTGGTTGAGAAAGCTACATCTAGACAACCAATTGCAGACAAGTGTTAGGAATGACACGTGAGCACCAGTTGTGTCTCCTTCACGTGAGAAATGATGTCTCTCCATGACTTGGCCACAGCACCAGCGTAATGTAGGAAGAAGGCCTGAAAGGATCAGGTTAGCCTTCGTGTGCTTTGTCACATGCTTCATGCAAGACTAGTCTGCCTAGATCTGTGGTTCTCAAAGTACGTCTAGGGAGGTCAAGACTATTCTCGTGATAATACTAAAATTTTATTTATCTTTTGCACTCTCATTTTCTCTTGTATGTAAGGTGGGAGTTTCCTGAGGCTACACGATATGGAGATCTCACCATGGATGGATACAGAAGCAGATATGAGATCCAGCTGCCTTCTATTAAGCCAGACATGAAAGATATTTTCGATTTGTAAAATATGTTTATACTTTATAAAAACATTATTTATGTTAACATGAAATGGGTTTATTATTGCTATTTTCAAATAATTTAATAAGAAAATATTATAAAAAAATTTCAGTTTTAAATTACAAATGTAGTAAATATGGATGGATATAATCCACGTAAACAAAAGGTCTTTGGCAACTTGAATAATTCTTATGAGTGTAAAGGGCTCAAGAGACCAAAAAGTTTGAGAACTATTGCTCTGTCTAGGTCAGTGCTTCTCAAACTTCAGTGTGCACACTGATGACCTGGGGATCTTGTGAAAACGCAGATGGTGACTCAGAATGTCTGGGTTGAGGCCCGAGTGTCTGCATTTCCAGCAAGCTCCCAAGTATCGCCAATGCTGCTGGTCTAGACTGTACTTTGAGAAGCAAGATTATAGGCAGAAACACTAGTATAGGTACCACTGTTTGCTAGTTACTCACCATTGGGCCCGAGCCTGAGTCTCTAGCATAACAAGACAGTACATACCACTGCAATAAAGAGTGACCTAAGTGTCTCATAAATTATAAAATGAAAGGTTTTTGCATTTAAGTTAGTTATTTTATTAACCAATTCATTCATTCACTTAACAAACCTGGATTAAGCTGATATCATGACAGACAATGAGCTGTGACTGTTACTAAAATGAAGAAGACCCAATTCATTTATGTCATTTTGTCACATGGGTCATTTTATGAAGAAGACCTGGTACCTACCTTTGAGTAATTTGCAACTTGTGAGGGAAACAGAGAGGTAAACAGACAATAGTCTAGTGTGCTAGCTGCTATGACTGAGGTGTGGATAAAGCACTGACCTGCCACGGGACAAAGAGGAAGGAAAGGTTCTAGCTCTTCCTGAGAAAGTTGGAGAAGGCTTAACAGAAGTGGTGACATTTGAACAGGGCCTTGAAGGATAAGCAAGAAATCCCAGGGAGGGAACAGGGAACACAAGTTCAGACACAGAGTATGAAAGTACAGAGTAAGTTGAGGTGACACTGAGAAGCTTAGTAGGGCTGGAGTAAAAACCTCTGAAGGATGTTGGAAAGGGAGATGCCTTGATTAGGGTGTGTTTTTGAAAGATGGCTCCTTTGCTAGTGTGGAAGACAGATTAGGGGAAGGAGAGTCTGGAGCAGGGCACGGTGAGCAGTGGGGAGCTGTGACAGCGGTCAGGGAGGGATGCTGTGGGTGTGAATTAAAGCAGTGGGACAGCATGGAAGAGAGGAGGCTTTCTCCTAGGTTGAATTGGTAAGATTTGGTGTCCAGTTAAATGCTAGGGAAGAGGAAAAGAAAGTTGATAGAGCATCTGGAACATCTGAGCATGGGGGGTTGGCAGAATGGTGCTGTCATTAATCGAGGTGGGGAATATCAGCGGAAGACCAGGTACGTTCAGGATTGGGAGGAGAAGCACAAACAATGTATAGAGAACTTATTTGCATTCTGTTCCCATCATATTCTTATATTGCGGGCACAATGCAACAGGGAGCTCCACTGAGCTATCCATCCTTAAAATTCTTTGGACATGAAATTTTCTGATTTTGCTTCAAAACTTTAGCTAGCATGGAACCAAATCCATCACTATTTGCAAAAATTTTGGGGTTTTCCACATTTGCAATAGATTGGAAAATTGTCAAAATTTTAATGTAAGAATTATGCACTTTGCCGGCCCCGTGGCTTAGCGGTTAAGTGCGCGCGCTCCGCTACTGGCGGCCCGGGTTCCGATCCCGGGCGCGCACCGATGCACCGCTTCTGTGGCCATGCTGAGGCCGGGTTCCACGTACAGCAACTAGAAGGATGTGCAGCTATAACATACAACTATCTACTGGGGCTTTGGGGGAAAAAATAAATAAATAAAATTATAAAAAAAATAAAAAAGAATTATGCACTTGATCTAGGTACCAATTTTATAGCTGCAAGTAAAACAGGAAAGAGAAGTCTCTATAACTCAATTTCTTCTTGCTGTTGGACACCTAATCAATGTGCTGGTTTATTGATCACACACGCTTAGTCTTACGGGGACTTACATTGGTTGATTTCTGCCTTACACACATAATAAAGAAGAGTTTGAAAATCAGGAGAAAAATGCTAGTGTCTGCATAAATTAGAGATGTAATATCTTGGCTTTCCTGAATGAGGTTTTAATTAAGCTTTGAGAGTAATAAAAAATTCATTAGCCTTCAATATATTGGATTACTTCCCTTTCTCCATTGTGCTTAGGGTAGAGTAGAAGTCCATCTGAATATTAGTGTCTTTTTAATTATAAAATTATTCCAGGCAGTTGTAGAAAATTTGGGCAGGTATACTCTTAAGTGAAAAGAAGAAAATAAAATCCATCCGTGTTTCCACCAGCCAGATGCAAATACATAACAGCTTGATGTGTTTCTTTCTAGATTTCAATTATATTTTTGCAGTTTTTTTAGTGGTTTCAAATCTGAATATTTTGATTCAGATTTAGAATTTTTTTTTTCTGAAATGCTGGCACATAAAATCTTTTTAGTTTTTCATTTGATTGTCACTGAGCAGATGGGGGGTTCTGCATGTTTCTAAAGCTCCCATGGTCCTTTACATTGAGCGTCATTACATTGGTCATGGCCACAAGCATTTTCAAGCAGCTGTTCTGGCCCTACAGTTTTCAGCCCACACAATGGGAACCACTTAACCCATAGCCTAGAGTAGTGTCTGGCATATAGGTGGTGCTCAAAAAATGCTTATTTGTTAAATGAATCAATGAAATCAATGGACAGACCAATCCCTAATCAAAAGGAACTTGAGGAGCCCTGTGCCAGCGATGAACTTTAAGTCAGATTTGCTCCACTCTAGCTCTGCTCAGTGGGCTCCTGGCTTTCTCTTCCAGTTCTTTAGATGGTAAGCGGTCTTAGTCACGGCCCCTTCTTGGTTCTCTGTATTTAGCTTCTAGATCTGGGATAAAATATGGGTTATCTGCGACCAGGCATTCCTGCCACCAGCCATCTGTCTGCTTCTACTGTTTCTTCCCCTCAATTTCTTTCTCATGCTTCCTTCTGGAATTTTCCTAGAGAGCCTGCCATATCCACCGGAGTTGCCTGGGCTTGGGGGCCCTGCCTAGCTGACTCAGCTGAGAACTCTGCCCAATGTGTTGCAGGTCTGATAAGATGCAAGGTGGCCCTTTGGAGAGACGCCCAATACATACTGAACATCTTTAATTAAGCCACTTTTCCCTTAGCCACCTTTCTGCACTTGAAGGGTTAGTGTTCCTCTTGTAAAGAAATCTCTATGCTTTTTTGATATGTCTAAAGTGGTAGCATAACGTTGTCTACTCTATATTTTATTGTCGAATGGCTTAGTTCCTTAAAATCAGTTGGTCAAATATAAGGTCAAATTGAAATTGGACATTGGAATGGAGAAAGAATTAGAAGCAATTGGAGGAGGACAAGGCAGAGGGGTTATAAGCCTTAAAAATAAAAGCAAAATAAAATAAAAGAAAAGACAGTCTTTTATTTTTGGTTGCTTATAGAAGATGGGAGAAATGAGTTAGGCCAGCCAAACTGCGAGAAGCGGCTGAAACTCTGGTGCCCACAGTAAGCACAAGGAAGTGTTCATGTGGAGTACTGCTTCTTTTCTGGCTTTCTGAGAGCTGAGAATGAGCTGGGGCAACAGGCAAGGAGCTAAGAAACCTGCTCTGCTCCACCAGTAGGCTGGAATAGGGACGCCAAAGGAAACAGAAAAAATGGAGTTTGATTCCAGTGAGACACTACAGATTTAATACTTTGCCAACTAAGTGACAAAATATTCTTTCTGTATTAGCAAGCCTCTTTAGCTCCCTCACTTAACGTTTAATTAAATACAAATTGCATCCTTTTTGGTCTTTCTAAATTAAATTTATAAGAATATATCTATATATTTAGCTTTAGGGGATAAGATTGTGGGTGATTTTCACTTTGAATTCCATGTACAGTATATATCTTTATTGTTGTTTTGTGTGTTTTTTACATTGAGCATATATTACTTTAATCAAGGGGAAAAAAGGTATTTCCCTCTGGGTTCGGTGGAGTGGGGGAACCACCATTAGGATGAGTAGGATGGTTCTTTCTTTTTTTTTCCCAAATGTTCTGGCTTGGATCAAAGTGACTGCTGGAAGATTGGCAACTTCCCTGAGTGTGCATATAAATATTCACACCCCAGCTCATCCCCAAACTTTTATTAGAACCTGGTGTGCCTCAGGAACTGTGAAGGAATCACGTGATGACCGTGCCCCTCAGATAAAAGCATGACAGCTCCTTTTCTGACCCTGTCATTGTAAGGAAGAGTGGCTTTGTCATACCTCTCCATAGGCACTAGCAGGAGGGACTTTCTTCCCCTTTAATTTATTTCAATCTCCCGTCCTACTGACTGCCTAACAGCAGCCGATGGGCTTGCAGTCCCTACTGTCTTATATTTTAAAAACCGGATAACAAAGAGCCTTTAATTGGTGAAATTATCAGAGATGTACATTATTAGTTCCAGCGCATCCATGGGATTTTCTTTTCAAATGTCACTGGGATTAAAATAACAGGAAACCGGAGATGGAAGCATGAGAAAGGCGTGGACTTTGGCAGCTGTGTGTGCCTACACTGCTACAGAGGACATCCTGGATGTGACAGTTATTTAAGAAGATGGGGGAAGGGGAGAACAGAGACACTAGGACTAAGCAAACACTACAGAGACAGCAACGTTTAGTGTCTGCCACTTAATTCTCTGTCCCTAGGAAAATGGCAAATGCTAGGTTGAAAATAAATGAAAACATTCTAATTTGCATCTTAATGTCATGCATGAGTAAAATAACACCTTCATGTGCATACCCTGGAGACCACTTAAAATTAAAATTATCTGTTTAATAGGGACAATTATGCTAACTTTGAGGTAAATAGGTGTGCTTAATTAAGTATTCTTGTAGTTTATGCAAAAATATTCTTGCAGTTTTGGAAGGCCTCTTTTGCCTCGTAGAAACTTGAAGAATCTAATCTTCCTGTTATATTGTACAGCTCATGAAGGAAAACATGATCTTAGGGCATAAGTCTTTTTTTTTGCCTCCCGTGACTTCTACTAAAGCCACTTCCGAAAAATATTTCAATTCCCATTTTCACTAAGTTGTCAGGCCATTCAGTGAAAATGGGAAACGCATAGCAAGCACTTTTTTGCTAGAAGGCTTCTCAGTCTCCTCCATAGGTCTCTATCATGTTTCACTGAGGAACAGTCTGTTGGAGAATTCATTTCAATTAAAGAAAAAGGAAAGCCTCTGGGGGCTTGAACACAGAATTACAAAGACCACAAGGCCAAAGCTTTCATTTTTATTAGCTATTTGGTTCAAATATATTTTTTTCTTTTTACTAATTTTGATCTATAGACCCGACTATCGTAAGTTATAAAATAGGCTATGAAACAACTGTTATATTCTCTTGGTTTATGTGGAGTGAAGCCAAACATATGGCAAACTATACTATTACAGAGGAATTTGGATGGATGATTTCCTCTTCTTTGTATGATCAATCCCATCGCCACTGGCCTACAGCAGGAAACCAGCTGCTGGGAGTGGGAGCAGTGGGGCAGTTACCGCCAGGAGCACACAGGCATTCAGACACGAGCCTTGGTGGCCACTTAAAATCATAAGCCATTTATATGAGGTGTTTTACAGGAAAAGGTGAAGGGTAAAAGTGAGATTAATTAGCGGTTTGCTCCTACTCCTGAACAGGTAGCTCAAACGTCCAGGAAGAATACTTTATCCCCACCCAAGATGCAAAGGCACAGTGAAATATGTGAAAAGTGCTAGGTTCCCCCGACCTACCACACAGAATCCTGAGCCGTCCAAGCACTCGTTGGAATTCCCGTTACAGTCACAGGGCGAACACTCTCCTGACTGGGCCAGAAAGAATCCAGCATCACATTTCTGAAACAGACACAACAAAAGCATTTTCATTACTGAAAAGATCAATTTTGGTCAATATTTTCTGAGAGGAATAAGAGGAGATGATTATTAAACTAAATACTTCTTTACAAAATGTACTAAAAGGAACTCTCCATACCACCATTTAGTGATGTATATCCAATTTTCTTTGTTATGTATTTTTTTCCCTTCTTTCACTTTTCAGGAGAACAGGAGCACCTTTAACACTGTCCCATCATTGTAAGGAAGAATAAGATTTTAGGAAACAGTAAGGAGAAAGAAATTTTATAATGCTTTCTTCCAAAACCAAGCCAAACCAAACCATGACTATTAGTCATGGTAAGGAATTGCATCATGTTCCCTATAAATAAAGACTATGGTTTCAGAAATTATTGACTATGTCATAAGAACTTGGAGTTGTATCTTTCATAAATTTGGGCTCTTAAAAAATTCTGTTTCTTCAGATCCTAAAATTTTAAAGGGAGGAGTTAGGAAATTAATGAATTCTTACACTTGTCAGGTCCTGTGTGGGTCCTGTTCATATATTTCATTTATCTTCATAACTCTGTGAGGAACACATTATTTTCCTTCATTCTAGTGATGAGATAATTAGACCCAGAGGTGCTAAGTGGTTTGTGGTGATGTTAAACCATCTTGCAATGTACCAGTCTACCCATACAACAATGAATTGCCCTCCCCAAATGTAACTAATGCTCCAGTTGAGAAACTTTGTGAGATTGTTCCTGGTTTCTGTGATTAGGTTTATGAATATGGGCTTATGTATTTCATGTTTCTTTGGAATGTCTCGATGATGCGAGGCATAAATGGCATTATAGGCCTGGAAGTCCACTCCTTGCCCATCAGACAGATTTACGTCTAAAGAATTCCAGACAGATAAGAATCTAGATTGTTTCCACAAACTTACAGAGTAGGAGATTTCACATCACACCCCTCTTTGACTCATTGTAGTTCGTACTGTCCTGGCTACCGGGAAATTTTTCATTTTATCTGGCTGAAGTCCCTCTGACTGCTATGCAAACCCATTTCCTCTTGCTTTTTTGTCTGTAAAGAAAGAATCACTAGCTACTATTCACAGTATAAAAACACCACCAGTTTGGATCCTAAAACTAAAATCTAATATTTTCCATTTGGAGGAAGATTAATAGAGAATAATAATATTTTCCCATGAAGAAAAGGCAAAGAAATTCCATCTTTCTAAGTGAGGGAAAGTAAGGCTGAGAGGGGACCAATTTATAATTTATAATGGCGAGTTTGTGGTTGATAGTAAGTCTTTTTCTCAGTTTCCACTAGGGAACAAAAGAGAGGGAAAGGTGCTAAAATTGCGGCAGGAAGCATTGAATTTACACCATCTAATTTCACAAGTTTTTGACCTTTATTTCAAAGTATAAAAAATACATGTTTTCATTATGATGCAGTACTACAGATAGGTATACATATATATAGCTCAGAAAAAGGATTCACAAAACAATAATTACCCTTACTATGTGCCATGTACTTTAAACCTATTTTATTTAAAAATATATCCTGGTCATGAGACATAAAATTGATGTGATCACCCATGAAAGTGTTGCTTCCTGGTCTGACATTGGGAGGGTTTTTGTCATAAAAGGAGTGGGTAAGAATGGTGAGGGGTTTAGTATTAATTATCTCAGTAGGCTCCAAAACACCTGTTTCCCAGCTCTCTAACGGACCATATTATAGACGTTGGGGGAGCTTCCGGTTCAGTAGTACTGCTGGTGAAGCAAAAAAAATCTGCATTAAAAAAATTGTATTTTTAAAAAATTTATTTTAATTTTGTCCAGCTTTATTGAGATATAATTGACATATAACATTGTGTAAGTTTAAGGTGCACAATGTGTTGATTTGATACATTTATGTATTACAAAATGATTACTACTATAAAAGTGTTAGTTAATACCTCCATCATGTCACATAATTAGCATTTCATTTTTGTGGTGAGAACAATTAAGATCTATTCTCTTAGCAGCTTTCAAGTATATAATACAGTATTATTAACTATAATCCCCATGCTGTACATTAAATACCCAGAACTTGTTAATCTTATAACTGGAAGTTTGTACCCTTTGACCAACATCTCCCCATTTTCTTCACCCCCAGCCCCTGTGACCACTATTCTGGTCTCTGTTTCTATGATTTCCAATGACTGGGGCTGAGAATGGAGGTGCATTTGGAGGAGAAAAGCACATGGTGGGGGCAGGGAGCCTGGTAGTGATGCCTGGAAAAGGGGCATGAGAAAATCTATTTGTACCATGAATGATGATAAAGACTTTCCTTTGGCCTGAGGAATCAAATTTCAGTAAAGGTGTTTTGAATTGACATTACTTTATAATTTTATTTATTTATTTTTTCCCCCAACGCCCCAGTAGATAGTTGTATGTCATAGCTGCACATCCTTCATGCCTCAGCATGGCCGGAGAAGCGGTGTGTCAGTGCGCGCCCGGGATCCGAACCCCGAACCCCGGGCCGCCAGCAGCAGAGCGCGCGCACCCACCCGCTAAGCCACGGGGCCGGCCCGACATTACTTTAAATCATTCCTGCAGTTTTCTTCTGAAGAAGACAAAGAAAATTAAGATTTGCCCTGAATAAATGCATCATTTTGAATACGACAGTGGCTAATCCCTTACGTCTCTGGGGCTCTGGCTAAATCAAGAGACTCATTTTTAAAAAATAAAAATAAAATCATCACAACATAGAAAAACAAACAAAACAAAAATTTGGCAAATTTTGTATTTTAGAATAGCTTTAAGTTTACAGAAAAATTATGAAGGAGTAAAGAGTCTCTTGAAGATTCCAATGTGCAACCAGCTTTGGAAGGACTGCTTCAAAGCATCTCTCACAGTGCCTTGTACATATTCATTGCTCAGTGAACTTTTGTGATGTGAATGGTGTGGACCAGGATAGGAAATCTGAGGCATATGTGCTGTTGGAAACCAACGGCTTACACTGCTAATCCAGCCACTGCTCTCTGCTAGGGCTGGATTTAGTTTCGAATCTTTTTCAACACAGTCCAGGCAGCCACTGCCTAGACTGGATTGTGTGCAAGATGAAATCTTTATGTTATGCCAAGTTTAGGAGGAGACTTGACTCTGGGAGTCTGTCATTATCCACTTATCCACTCCCCAGGCTAAGGCTCTGATCTGTGAAGAATGACTTGATTCCAGTCTCTCATACTGTGGGAGATGGGAAGAAAAAGGGAGGCAGGAATAGGGTTGTATGCAGCAGTCATTTGGATGATATCTTCTAATTCATCTATCCAGAGTAGAAGTACCATTTTTTTTTTTTATAATTTTATTTATTTTTTTTCCCAAAGCCCCAGTAGATAGTTGTATGTCATAGTTGCACATCCTTCTAGTTGCTGTATGTGGGACGCAGCCTCATCATGGTCGGAGAAGCGGTTCGTCAGTGCACGCTCGGGATCCGAACCCGGGCCGCCAGCAGCGGAGCGCGAGCACTTAACCGCTAAGCCATGGGGCCGGCCCAGAAGTACCATTTTTAAATTCACATAAAGGCACCACATAGGCTAATGGAAACCCTGGGCATGGGGAGCTTCTGACGCCGTTACTAAAGCCCATGCGCTGGATACCTTGGACCTTGTGTTGTAGAACTTTAGAGGATTCCTTGGAATGTTAAATTGTTAAGTGGTTCAAGAGAAATTTGTATATCCTCAAGGAAGAGCTGTTTAACGTTGTTTCTTTTGCGTGGAAATATTTCATCATGGCTCCAGAAGGTTCTGTTAGGTTTTACTGAATCTCTTCTTGAAATTTTATAAGAAATGGCAAAATTGACCTTTGTTATAATACTAAAAGGTAGCTATTTTCAAGGGTGAAAGCAGAGCTATTGCTTAATTTTGTTCCTGGTTAACAATCTCTTTGCTTAGTAATTCTAAGACCTGTGCTATTTAGAGGCTTGTGAAAGCTGAATGATCTGCCCACAAAGAAAATAATGTCTGTCTGCTTTCTTTTGGAATATTCTCCAGAATTTACTGAACAAAGATGGTGTTTATGTATATGTGTGTATAAGGGAGAGAAGCCTTGCAATCAATTTTTAGATGCTATACTGAGCTCTCTTTCCCACATGAGAAGAATGACCTCAGCTGACAACTGTATAAATGCTTGGGTGGCTGATTTTAGCATTCAGAGAATTTGTACCTTCTGGGATGGTGCCACGGCCTTTAAAAAAATTAATAACAATAACAAGGATAATAATGATGATGATAATTATATCATAGTTACCATTTATTGAGGGCCTAGATACCAAGTATTGTGATAAGTGCTTTATCCACATTATGGTATTTGCTCTTCATGACAATGCTGTGAGTTAGGTATAACTATCTGCATTTTAGAAATGAACAAACTGAGGATCAGAGAAGACAAAAAATGTATCCAGTGTCACACAGCTTTGTAAGGGCTTCAGATCAATCCAAATCTTGTTCTTTCTCTACTATAACATCTGCCCCTCATAAATAAATAAATAAAGTTTAAAAAATTTATTTAATTGAAACTTTAATTAATTGAACATAAATATCTACCATGTTTAGGTCACTGTGCTGGTCAGTGACTGGAACAGTCATATAGTTCTCTCATTTTAGCCGACAATGGCCCTATGAGGGAGGTTCTGTTACCTTCATTTCATAGATGAGGTCTTTGTGGCTTACAGAGATTTGTTACCCAGGCCAAGTAACACTGATAAGAAATGGTGGACCCAACATTTAGATCCTTTGTTTGACTACCAAGCTTGAGCTCTTAACCATCTGGTCTACCATTAATATATATTAACCAAACCCTTCTCATTGGGCATTTAGGCTATTTCCAAATTTTTGCTGTTAAAAACAGTCTAAAGCAAGCTGAAATGGATAAAAAAAAAAAAAAGTAAAATCTCTCCTGTAAATGCCAGAAAAAAAATCTTAAAAAATAGATACATGCTTAACATTATAAAGTTATTAATATATAAAAACCATTGAA